GTGTGTGTGTGTGTGTGTGTGTGTGTGTGTGTGTGTGTAGTGGCTGGCTGTGCAAGTTTTGCAAAATTGCAATTCAATGCCTCTCCCTCCCTCCCTCCTCATGATCCATCCCGGTTCGGGATGTTGGGTGTGGCCGTGTTGTTCTTTTTTTCAATTTTTAGCCCTACAAATAATCAGACCAAAAAAAAAAGGTAATTCACGGAGGTATTTCGTCACATCTCTCTCTCTCTCTCTCGCAAGGAGAAAAAAAAAAGCCACCGCGGCGTCGATCTTACAATGTGATCCTGGGCGATATGATTGACTTTTCCGCATGTCATTGTAGATCAAACCCGTCATGCTTCCAAACGATGCGCCGCCCGGTTTAGGAACAAGATTCTTGTGCGTATAATTGGTAATGCCGCCTTGGGGGGGAATTGACCGCCCGATGCCCGCCCGTGACAGGTTTCAGATGGGATGATGGCGACAGAAAGAGAGAAAGCGGGTTCATGTTACAACCCGATCTCTTCCAAGCGAACACTTGTTCTGACCGAGGCTGTGGTTTTTTTCTAGGTACTCACTCTTTCTTTGATACTCCACTCTTAAATTGGCACATTTATTCGAAGGGGTGCAAAACTTGGCGACCGAAAAGTCAAAAAAACTGTCACTATTCATGACAGCTTGGATTTTTTAAGATGAAATTCACAATGCCTACTCGCCCGTTGCCGGCATTAGGCTTGCGATAGTGAATAGTTTTTGTAGATCGTCTCGTGGTTCTTGCCTCATTTTAAACGGCAACTAAAATAGACTACGCCGTTAGCACCTAAAGCTTCGCTAAGGTGGTGGACCGACTGGCCCCGGGGAGGAGCTTTGAAGGCGACAAGTCCAGTGGGCGGTGGCTCGCCCAAGCCCAATCACGGCCAAATTTCGAGTCTCTCAGAAAACATGGTTCGTAAGCGTGGCGGGGTAAAGTACAGGTAGTGACGACGGGGGGAGGGAAAGCTGACAAGGGAAGATGACGATGTACAATTAAAGGTGATGAAAAGTTTGGAAGGGTCAAGTGCAGCTGGACAGTAGAGCAATGACAAAGTCTCTCACATTAGAGCAAACCTATTATTTTCTCCTCTCGCCTACCTGACGCAGACAGGGTCTTTCTTGTTGCAAAGAGAATCGGAACTACACACATATTGGAACTACACGACATCTGCTACCGGCTTTCTTTCTGCTCTGGGCCATGTGGCTTGCGATACTATCTGTTATACGTGCCAGTCCGGCAGCTCAAGCGGCGGCATAGCGCTACCTGAGAGAGAGGATCTCGACGTGTGGTCCCTTTTCATTTTAGTCGCCGTACTATCGTGTTTGTTGCACAGCCCTGCCTCGGACAAATCGTATAGAGCTGCTTGCTCTCTCCATCTATTTACCAGAAGGACGTGTTGGGACTTTGTCCGTGCGCCCCGAATAGTCCTTTCTTCCTCAGCTTCCGTCCACGATTCAGTGGTGTATCCATTTGAGTATTCCGGGCCGCTCCCCGGTCCTAACATTTGGCCAAACCCGCCTGTCAGCACAAAGCGGTAAGCATTAAACATGAAGCCTGGACACGGTAGTACCACGAACGGGCTACCAAATGATATTCATCTTACAGTGGATTTTGAGAAATACGGCATTAACCAGAAACCAGTGGCCAGAAAACGCTCACTGCGGGCTCACTACTATTGCTTCCATTTCCATCACCCATCAATCCAACCCCAGGAGTCTCCATTTATTTTGGTATTTCTGATCTCGCTTCTCCGTCCGCGTCAAGCCTAGTGGCTACCGCTTGAACGGCATGGCGGAGTTTGGAAAAAGAGGTCCTGTAACGTCTGTTCAGCTTCTTGCAGGACAAGAGCCCACAGACGCCCGCCGTCGCCCAGTCTGTGCAAGTGCATACATGTGCATACATGAGCATAGAATCTCAGCCAGAGAACAGTTTAGAGCCTGTTTAGAGTCTAATCTAGTCTAGGCCGTTCGCCGAATGAATTCATTCCATTCGTCTGGGCAGCTAGGTACTGCTGTTAATATATGGGATGGGTGGGATATGGAGATCAGATAGGAGGATCCTTGGAACCACCAACCAAACCCATATGCCTTGAACTTCCCTTGTCTTCCCGCACCCAAGAGGGCGGCTTCATAAGTGCTTGCTTGCTTCGAAAACAAGCCCCCCCGGGCCCCTCTCCCTCTGCTGCTCCAAAGTCACTCCTGAGTCCTGACAATCCTGGGCCCGGACCCTGGCTCGCCGCTCCGTTGGTTTGGTTGGCTCATCATCCGACGACCTACGGTACGTACGGGATACTAGGGGTGTAGCGTATCCTAGATACATACCTACCCTGGTCGCCCCCAAAGTCCAAACCCAGACCAGAGCTAAGGGAAAGCTGGTCCCTGGTTCGATGTCGGTTCCCAAGTTTCCTTTCCTTGGGCCCGGGACCTTTTTTTTTTGTTGCTCATGTAGCTCCCACCCCATCCAAGGACATGAATACTACAAAATCACTAGCTGCTTGTTTCATGGGTTGGTGACCATGTCTGCTCTAGTTACGGGTGCCCATCTGAGCTGCGGGATGACTTTGAACGGCGTCGCAGATGGCCGATTTGATACGCCATGCGCTGGGCCGGGGTTTTCCATGCTGCTCCATCATCAATAACTAGCTCTGGATCTCCTCTCACAACATTCCTGACTGTTATTTTTTTTTTGTTTTCTTAATATTTCCCCCCTTCGTCTTCTCTCTCTGCCATTGGGTAGTCCGTGCAGCAGAGCTTCTGCGCTTCCTGATTCGCGGCCGAGAGAAAAGCCTCTCAAGCATTCGTGCGATCTGAGCTGTGCTCGTGGGCCATGCCAGTTGGTTGCGTCAACGAGGCCAGCCTCTGCTTAGCACCACTTGTGACAACCACGACAGGAAACAGGGACATGCCAGTCTGAACTTCTTATTGTTGTTCAATACTCAAACGGTTGGCTGCTCGAATAATGGATTACTATCGCCGGGCATCGTCTTGTCATATCTTCAACCTCCTCCCCTCGTTTGCTGCCGCCTTTTCACGCCTTGTGTAAAAGAGCAAATAATTATCATTCGTTCTTCTCCAAGCCGCCCTCTCGAGAGACAATGAGGGTCGGTCTTTTCAAGTCTACCTCCAGCGCTGGTCGCCCAAGGGCGGGTCATTCCAATGTTCGCGGCAAGGTCATATCCGCGCCTATTCCCATTCCCAACCCAGCAGACGACGATGAGTTTCCCATGCGTCGACCGGGCACTGGACTCGCGACACCCTTGGGCAACGAAGGGCTTAGCAAGCTGCTGGTGCCACCCGAAAGAGCATCGACGTTGGACCCCCAAAGCATGTCCAGTGGCCAGCTCCCGTCCGAGGTGGTGGTACCCGAGGAGAGATTAGAAACGCCGCTGCAAGCCGATCCAGTATTCGCTTCAGACACTTCTGACAGCCCGGCACAAGGGCGCACAAATAGCAATACTTTGAGATACTCGGTGATTAGCAACAACACCGATACCGATCAGAGCAGAACTGCCCCTCAACGCAAAAGGTCCACCTTGCGTACCACGCTGGGTCGCCTGTTTGGACGGAGAAAATCGCCTTCCAGCCTGGGAACACAACGCAAGAGTTCTTCGGGGTCCGCTGAGCAGCAACAGAGACAGAGTGTAAGTGTGGGTCCTCCTTCTTTTGTTATAGCTGCCGTGGTTTACTTTGCTTTTTTTTTTCAACTTGATTGGAAGCTATTTTACTGACTATAGTAGAAACCGTCTGCACTAGGCCGAGCACCGACCAGGGAAGCTGAGCCAAAACGGTCTGCGTCTCTGCCAATTACAGAGTTTGACCGGGCCCTGCGCTCACATTCTGTCGGCCCCAATGACCACCTTGCCATCGAGAGCGCACGCACATCGTATAATGGCGGCTCGCTAAGGTATAGGAGGCGGGCGGCCACGACGAGTAGCAAGCTCTATGCTCGCAGGAGCGAAGGTATGGGTGCAATGGCTGGGCTTTCCCCCAGACCGGCTAGCACGCATGCTAGAAGCACTCAAGATGGCCTGGACCAGAGCAATCCCGAGAACATTGGGCGGGCAATCACCAGCGATGTGCTGATGCAGCACAGGCGGTCCCGGAGTCTGTCACAAATCACAAATGTTGTCGAGGGCCCCACGCAGAGGAATCGCCAAGACGAAATACGGTATTGGAGAGAAAGCTACGATCCTGGATTCCAGTCGCAAGCCTCATCCATTGCTGCGGTCGAACTTGACAATGATGATACGGGTCATGTCACCATGGACATGCCCGAGCAAGTCCCCTTGGACGATCGGCCAAAGACGCCACCCCAACCTTTTGATTTTGGCCCGCTGGCCGGTATGAGAATTACTCAAGCTGCTAGTCTGGAGGAGAGAGTTGCTACGTTGGAATCGCGAAACGAGAAGCTGGAGAGACTGGTAGCACAGCTATTTGATCTGGTGCCTGGCGCCAACAGCCACAGGTTTGCCCGGCAGCAACCGCAAACCCCGCCTACCGCCTATACATCGTCTACATTGGCACCGGCATTGTACCGAACGACCACCGAAGAGCGGGGCCATTCAAAGTACGCGAGCTCACAGCACTCCAACGATTCCTTTGGCGACGGTGTTACCTTTATTGGCTCCCTTCCGCCAGGCCCTGGGCCACTGAACCGCCCGACATCGAATGTAACCGCAACCGTACGTGGTGCATCCAGCCTGCCCACCTTGGCAAGAGATTCCGCGGTCGATGATCGCTACACAAATCTACTAACCATGTTCGAAAATGAACGTGCCGCTCGTCACTACCTCGAGGCTCAAGTGAAGCAACTTGTGCACAGAATCGAGCTCATGTCGACGCCTCGAAAAGCCAATATAATGTCCTTGTCAGGCCCTGCCATGACCCACTCGGTCTTTGAGCATGACGACGATGACGACGACGACGATGACGATACTGATGATGCCCGCCGGGATGATGTTTCGGAATCGGATGCCTTTGAGACGCCGCGTGAGGAGTATTCCAAGCATGCCCTCGGTGCCTTTGGGGAAGAGCTCACCGACGAGGATGCCGATGGCTCGCGGAAAAAGGCCGCCCGGACGCTGTCGCTGAGCCAGCTCACCATGGCCAAGTCACGAACACGAAGACCGGCCAGCGCGGAATCGGGCGTCGAGTTATGACTGCATGGCCTCAGCGTCGATACACGAAAGTCATGAAGTTTTCTTTCTCATGAATTCCAAGAGCGTTCACGACTGACACGGCCCCATTGTGCTTTTTCGTATTTTTGTTTAAGCATGAACGTATTTCTGGTCATCTATCATTCTTTTCCAGTCCAGTTCATGAAATATTGTCGACTCTTACCGACAAGAAGCCAGGACGCATTTTTGGCTTGTCCAACATCGAGTCAAGCCACGTGCGGAATGTTCCTGGTTCATCTCGAAAACTAAATTTCACGCATCTTGTTTCAGCAGCATTTCAGAAGCGTTTCGTTCTTTTTTCTCTATATTCCCTTGGCTCGTCTATCCGATGATGAAAAAGTCGCAACGATGGAGGAGGAGACGGCGGCAGCGGTGGTGGTGGTGGCATGATACCCGAGTACGGTTGTTGTTTGGGAGGAATTGCAGCCGATTAATTGTATGATAAGCAGAGAGAGACAAATAGCGATACCTGATGCCTCAAAGCATCGGGCGTAATGAAGAACAGTATTCAACCAAATAAAATGGTATAGTGAGATCATCTCCCACGCAACGTGACTGATGGTACGGTTGGCAAGGTGTAGCTACGAAAAGTGATATGGAGAAGAGAAGCGGAAAAGCCGTTTGTGGCTCTACATACATAACGCGGTAACTAGCACGTGGCACCCGCTCACGTAAAACGTATTAAGCAGTCAGGAATCAAAGATCTGCTTCGTGAACGTTACGAATTGTCATTTCTTATTAATATGCACCAAAGGATCAATTATCCAAAATCTGCCCGTGGCTTAAGCCCGCTGTCAAGAAGGCAATGGGACATGCCATCATCATCGCCATCATCGCCATCATCGCCATCATCGCCATCATCGCCATCATCGCCATCATCATCTTCGTTATCCGAGCAGTGGGTAATCGCCAGCTGTTGTAAGCGCTGTGGCGTTCTGAAAAATCTGGGATCCCGCTCTATTACCAATGGCAGCTGTAAGTCTTCAGGTCCATCTGCATTGGTTTTATGAATAACTACTGAAGCACTTCCAGTTTCTGTCCGTGGGAATCGTATTTCAGGTGTGCTGTTGCTGGATCCTGCCCAATGTGGGAGCGCCGTTATCTGTACGACATCTGTTCTCGATCCATCCAGTTGTGAGACCTGAAGTTCGAGCCCCTCGGCTGTTATGCTACTTCGCATGACCGCCGCCCCATCTTTTGAGCCCACCGACGTCGAAAAATTCTTGACAGCTCGACCAGCACCAATCTTGTGAAGCTGGGCTCCATAGTCTTCGCCAATTTTATTATTAGCGCTGACTCGGTCCAGATACCAATGCTGCTTGGTCTCTTGATCAAGAAGATCTGAGTCCTCCCTCGTCTTACTGGCTGCTTTAGAGTCCGTGTCCTCGAGCAAATCCTCTGGGATTGGCGTGACCGTCACTAACGCTGCGTGTGCCTTCCAAACAAGATACCTCCCGCAGTCAGAAAATTGGACAGCATCAACGAAGGCAGGTTGGGCTACTGATTGATGATTGTTGTTTCCCGAAGCTTTCCAACAGAATTAGTAAGACATAATCCAGTTTAGATATACACGTACTTATCAAAAAATTCCAACAGTACAACTTGTTGGGGTCCAGAAAGCGCATAAACTCTGCGTGGGGTGGAAAAGAATCTCGATATCATCTCTCAATCCCAGGGATTCGGAATCTAAGGCCGCCAACGGTAGCAAATCGTGACTGGATGTCAGTTCGAAGGCTGACATTTTCACTCGTGGCGGTATGTGGTCAATCACGTGCTCTATGTCTACCTGTGGCTTTTGAACCTTCGTGGCAAGTATTGCATACTTCCCTGTAGGACTGAAAGTGATCTTGCTCCAAATCAATTTCAAAGCAGACTGTTCGAAATGCAAAGCACCATTGGGCAGATCAATTGTCTTGTAGCATACAGGCTCCGGCCATGGAGTCTTGAGAAGTCCGCCCAAGACTGAATCAATTGCTGGATCCAGCCTCCATATCCTGTGCGATATAGAGAATGACAAAGTATCAGGGCTTATTGACAACGGAAGAGGTTGAGATTGGTAGAAGAGACGGATGTTTGATGCGTCAAGCTGAACGACAACTCTTGCAAGCCGAACACCATCAAGATCAAGTGGCCAGAGATCGAAGGTGGCAAAGTGTGCGACGGTCGACACCTCAGATTCAGATCTCTGCTCTTGAAGCTCTAGAGCAGGAGAGCAGAAACGTTTACGAGAGTTTTCTCCTCGAGGAAATCGAGAGGTTGGTAGACTGTTTGTAGACTGGTGATCCTCACCCACCCAAACGCTTAGTACTCCAAGAAAAGACCCGTCCGTAGAAGTAGCCGAAATCGATGCCTTTGGATGACTTGCAAGACCATTGATATTAGGTCTCTCCGGTGCACGAGATTTGACCCTTGCGCTACCAGGTGAGAAAAATAACTGGCTTGCCACGAGTCCGGAGGCATTAGTCTCATCCCAAACGATGTGTGGCGTGATGAGCAGGTTCTGGTGCCATACCTCGACTATGCGGTCAAGATCATGGCGGAACTCAAATAGCAAACCGAGAAGGGCACCATCAACCCTGAGATTCGTTGTTTGTGTGATCTCGGAGAGCCAGCTAGCCCACTCTCGAAGGCCGGAGCCTGTGGGACGAGCGTGGTGTCCCGTAGTATAGTAGGCTTCAAGCCAAGCTGTCATGGTCCTTGGACTTTCCATAAATATTCTGAAATCTTTTGCAAATGACTGGAAAGCTTCCTCAAATTCCCTAGACACTCTCAGATCTGATTCCATTAAATGGAAGGGGTCCGTGTTTGAAGAAGCCGTGTGGTGGATCCAATAGATAGCAGCGTAGTCCGTGAACGGATACCATATGGATAGCTCATTGCTTGACAGACTTTGCTTGTGGCTCTTGGACAAAGGGCTGGAAGGAGTATAGTATAACAGCTGACGAATGCAACAATGTGCCAGCTTGAGGTGAGCTATTTCAAGCACCGGCAGTTGAAGTAGATCATGGCCGGGTACCGATTCTCCAGATCTGGAACCCAAATCCCGGCGGACCAGAATCTCCTTGGCAGTGAGATGTACTAGCTGTAGACCCCGAACGGACTTTTTGGACTTTGATTCGTGAACGATCTCTACGAGGCCTTTGGAAGCCATAATCGCGGCATTCTCAAACTCGCTGATGTCTTCTTTGGAGTTGTCCTGAGACCATAAGCCATCAATAATCAAGGCTTGCCGGATTTGATGGGTCGTCATAGGTGCGGCATGATGTACAAGCCAAGTGAGAATTCGTGCTGCAATTTGACACGCTGATTGTCCAGATTGTGTGATGAGCAAGAGTATGCGGTTATACATTTTCTCCAGACCCTCGGGAAAGTTGATTTCAACTATGACCTGCATTCTTCTGTTCTTGGAGAGTGGTGTCAAACGCAAAAACTCCATCATTAATCGTGCCCAAAGAAACATGCCGTCTGCACCTTTGACCAGGTGATCGGTCAGTTGTTCCAAGTCGTGTTGCGCCGAATCTGGAAGGATCTCTTCCTCTATCAAAAGCTCGAGTTCTCTTCCAAAGAATCGACGAATGTCATTTGATATTTCTTGCTTGGGAATGGGCAGTTGTATATCGGGTCCAACTGAGCGCTGCAAACGAGGTACACTGATGCGGCTCAAAAGTAGAATCCTCGGACTGCAGGTATACGACAAGCGAAGAAGTGAAGAGACGAAGGAATCGCTGTCACTGCACTCATCGACCCCATCGACGACTACAACGGTATTCCTAGTAAGACTGGTCTCCAGCAAGTCTATCAAAGTCGCTTCAGATGCGTCGAGTTGTCCCTGAGACTTGGACGTCATCATGAAAGCAAATTTATCCACCATTGTTTTGTCGTATCGACAGGACCAGAGAAGTTGACTCAAAAGCGAGCGAAAAGCCGCTGCAGGGTCTTTCGAAACCTCCGAATTGAAACGGAAGAAGTGGTACAAGACAGGAGTGATCTCATCTTCATGATCATTGGTTTCTTCGAGCTCGTCCAAAATCGAGGTGGCTAGAACCGTTTTACCAGACCCTGGATGACCTACATGGTTGTGATTAGGATCGTGCTACTAAACGATTAAAAAAGAAAACGGCGACTTGCCATGAATCCACAATGTGTTTGTGCCAAATTTTCGTTTTGTTGAATTGAGGCGGTCTCCGGACCCTGTATTGATCCACGACAGATACTGTGGGTGGTCGAAAATCCATGTAGCTGTCGAGTTTTCACGCGTCCTGGAGTTCATCTCGCGTGCGTCTACGTGGTCTGAAGGCCGTAGCCATTCCTGGATTCTGGAAACAGATGATTCTATAGAGACTATGTAAGCGGCATGTAGTCATGAAGATAAAAGGGGAACTTACCAAGTCGGTGTCTCTCCATAATAGCTTTTGCATCTTGTATGTCGGACAAAAGCATTGCGATCTTGGATCGTAGCTTCTCATCTTGTTCTCGTTTAGTGTCCGCGAGTCTTCTATCCTCGGCTATCAAACGCCTCTCTTCCTGTGCAAGCGCGCGTTCCTTGGCGGCCTCTTCATGCTCCTTTTGAGCATACTCGCGCCACCTTGCAGTGGCTTTTGTTTGCTTATCCTCACATTTGAGTCTCCAAACTTTGATCTCCTCCGAGACATTGTGCTTATGAACCTCCATTTTATCGATTAAGTCCTTGAATCTGGCATCAAATGGTTTCCAAAGCAAGCTTCCTAATACAGCAGGCGTTCTCTTGATCTCTACATATTCATTAGCACAGCCCAGTAGCTAGATCATCAGGAGTCAGGACATGGCTCACTCCCACTAGATCGTGTGAAAACCGTGACAGCAGCCTGAAGAATCTCCAAGAAGTCAACATAGACCTCCTCAACATTCTTACGAATGCGTCCTGAGTTCTCATCGTTACATAATTCGCCGATGTCATGATAGCGCGGAAATACTGCCAGAAGTTGTTCGAGGAGTTCCAATAGCTTGTTGAAGAAAGTCACGATGTTGCTTGATAACTGTCTCGCGAGGAGTTTAGCAGTTCGGTCAGAACTAGGAAAGAAAAACGTATTCAAAGCATAACCCACCTGAAGAACGAGCCGAAAGGCGCCCCAGAAGAGTGCTGAGTACTCTGGATTAGAGGACACGAGAATGTTTACAACATCGAAGTATGGTTCAAGCTGTTTCGACACGGAGTAGACGCAACGGAGCGGCTTTGAGCGGTGTGCTGTGTGCTGTATGATATCCTCTAGGGCCTTAACAGACTTCTTGAAATCTTCGACCGACTGACAAGGCGAATATTTCAATCTGTCTTCGGGACTTAGAGATTTGAGAAATCGATCGCCAGCAGCGACGAAGATATCGCTTGTGACAGGCACCGTCCTCTCATATTTCGAGGCCATATCGTGAGGTCAACTACGCAATGGTATGATGGAATCCCGGAATAATCGACAGGCATTTCTGATGTCCAAAGGTAGTGTGCAGAGTCGAGATGAAAAAATGATAATCCGTTCCACTGTTGTGAGAAAGGGCGACGACGAGCGGACTACGCCCTCAACGAAGGAAGCCTCGAAATCAATGACGAAGATCATTCATGTTGTGGTGATGTCCCATTAAGATGGTGGCTGTGTTGTGCGGGGGGAGACAAGAAAAGAGAGCTATTTTACGTGGTCCTAACAAAAGTCTTCACTGCAATTTTAGCGTTGGCAAAGGCAATGGAACTGCGCGTTTAAACTGGCCACTCAAGCTCATAGCAAGAGAGAACACGACTTGTGCACCTTTCACTGCAATCTTGGCCCCTTCGAAGCAGTGAGTGCGCAACATTGAGAGTCGTCCAAGCTCATGAGTATGACTAGAGCTATTTTCAAAGAAAGACAAAAAAAAAAGAAAAAGGATCCAAGTGCACTGCAAATTGTTAAATTCTTTAGGTCAGTGTAAATTACGATGTGGTATTTTTCCCAAGGTCTGTAGGAAATGTAAAAGTCGTCCACTAATACGACCGTATTGAAGAAGCTAAAGATAATGTCAAAGATGATTCTTCCAAGGCCAAAAACTAAAGTGTGCACAAACGGGAATCGAAAACCCCTTCCTGTACAACATGAGAATGCACATGGACAGCCAAGATCCTCATCCACGTGTGGCATAATATCACAACAATTACGTTCGAATTCTAGACGAGCAACTTTTAAGATTGATTTTTGAAGATGTAGAAATCAGCTGCTAATTTGGTCATATGCTGAAGAGGATCCAGAGTCTGTGCCGAGTCTTCGTGGGGCTGGCGAGGTATATGCCATATTGAAGCGCAGATCAACAACAGACTTGCTTACAAAGGCAATGTTGGCGCCCGTAGAGGTATTCAAGCTCCCAATATTCCGTATGAAAAAGGTGACAGCTACCACTCTACGCGCGAATATCCAGTGGACTGGTGCCAGCCTTGGGAAAGTACCTGAAAAGGATCGCCCTTGGTAGGCATAGCGTCCGCGTTCATAGGCGCGCCGCGATAGGCCGAAATAGCTGGAGTAGCATTGAGTTGCGCCAAATCTGACATCTACAAATGTCGTTAGTGTGGAATCTTCACTGCAATTTGAGACCTCTCCAAGGCAGTTCAGATGGCGACATGAGAGCCTTGGTTGTAAACATAGAGTCTTGCACGGCTGAAAGAAACAAATATCTATTTAAAAGTCTATTATTCTTATAACATTATCACGTTCACGAAGGGTCAACAATCGTATGACTGGCTTCAATTCCAAAGGACTTGATTTAATATGAAGCTCGAAACTCACAAGTAGGTAGGCAATTACTCGATCAAAGGGATTGGAAATAAGTGAAAATGGCCCGCGTATAACCGTACATGACAAGGATTGATACAACAGTTTTTGAGATACTGCCGCCAGTAAGAGAAAACAAATTGAACGTTCCAACTAATCAAGACAGGTTCTGCTGTGAATGTAAAAGGATCGTGTAAATGGAAGGGTTCCTTGCATGCGGCTCGAAATGATATTACTGTTATTGATATCGAAGCAGGATATAAGTTATGAGTTGTGAAGCACTTACATATTCAATTTAGTGATTGAGTGAGACGGATGATGAGAATAGCGATAGACTAAATATATATATAGTATGCTCATAATATGGCTCGAGGCTGTCGTCTCATCGAGCTTACCACCATCGTTATTCACGCTCGGACACGACGAAACCATCGGTAGTGGCTGCCAGGGGTACATCTTCTTGAGCATTGCCGGTTGCGTGGATTGAAAATTACTTTAAGATGCTAATCGACTTCTCTTGCATATCAAGGGATATACAATGGTTTCAGCATCTCAGGAGCGGGAGCAGTCTCAAACAGGTCGGGACATTGCAGCACGCCCTGTATGTTGATACTGCCGCTGACCAGTGCAGACCAAACACGGATTGGCACGATACAGGCAGTGCCGTGGCCCAGCAATCTCATGGTGTTTCTGGGCGTAGCTAAAGTTTTGTTGTAAAGGTGGAGTTTGATGTTACAGTGCAAGGTCGCGGCTCTAGAGCATAGTTGGAATATATACTTCATTCCCGCGTTCGAACCCAATCAAGCAACACGCGCATTGGCATAAGCCCCTTTGGTACCGCCGGTCATTGGTCAAGTTTGACCACCGTGAACTCAACTTCAGCCCTCAAATGAGTAAGCCAAAACCCAAAGCTGCACTGACGTGCATTTTCAAGTGTTTCGGTGGCACATTGTTGCTCGTTAGCTGCAGATCATGTCACTCGTATAGTATAGGCGGAACTGTCCGGCACTGTTCCCGTGCGCGCAGGGCTACAGGACTGGCTCTCATGATACGTTACCTACCTCATCCATCCACCAACTTCATAACCTGTCGTGTTTCTTCGCAAAGCTTGCCCGGCACGAGTGAACCGACCAGCTACGTTGCCATTGGCACGTTGTGGAACAAACCGATAGCCGGGAAAAGGTACTTGAGAATGTGGACACCAATAAATATGCCCGAATAAACCATGTCCGCGTTTCGCTTCATTGCCCTGCATCTCTGGCACTCTCGGCATAGCTAGTGTCCTGCCTGGCTATGACAAGAGGACCGAAACTAATTTTGACGTCGGCGGCTAGAAGTTTGATCCTCTATTTTAAGATAGCCCATGTAGTAGCTATTATTGTCAACAGCATCAGAAACTTCTGTGCGTGTGTGAACTCCATCGAGTGTTGCAAATCATGAGATTTAATGACTACCTAGGTACCCATCTGACTGCGAATTTTATCAAGGCGCTGGCGACGATGGATAACGCTCTCCTCTCCATGATGAGTGGTGACACGCGCATACCTAAACTAGCCGAGTGAATGTCCTCTGCAATTTCAACTCTCAAATGCAATTTTCCACGAATAATGGCCCCTCCTGCAAGAATCGCACCGATCAAATGACTTGTCTGTGGATGAGTCTGTGGCTTGATCGGAGTCGTTGCTAATGAACCAGAAATTTGCTTCGGCGATACCTTTCTTTTGGAAATCAGACTAGTGGCAGATCAGATGTCGTGAGGGCCCGGTGCTGAAAACAGTGTCTCTTCCTTGTGCTTCTCGTCAAGGAGCTTGTACCAGCGGATCGAAAACATTGGTTGGCAGATCATGTTCGATACAGGATCTCTGGTCATGGGCGCATTTGGTCCTTGGTTTTCCATTGGGTGTGTGGAATGAGCAGCTGAACTTTGTGCATGTAGTATTATCAGAGCACCTTTGTATGAATTGGCACCAGAGTCCTCCTATCGCGGCGCAGTAAAGCCTAGACATGCGGCGACAGGCGGGTATATGAGAGCAGGTAATCGGCAATGTACCGGAAGTCACTCATGTCCAGGTCTCGGCAGGCGGCAGAGTCCATGTCGTACTTTTTTCCCTTCTTTCCAACAATGACAATGGGACCGCACCAATTGAAAGGTTGGCCAGGCAGCGCTGCGAATGAAGCCGCAAGGTTCTTGGGGGCAAGCACGGCTGAAGTGCTCTTGTTCTTCTGTGATCCAGCAAAGTTTGAGCGGCAGCAGATGACGATGGTATCGGTGAGAGATCTTTGTAGAATTGCGTCGGTCTGCACCTGAACTCGCTCGGGCAGAGTGTTGGGGCCAAGGAAGGGCTCCAAGTCTGGAAACGTCCACTTGTAACCATCGACCTCGTGCAAAGGGCTCTCGAGCCAGACGACCTGTGGCTTGGATTGATCCTCAGGGAAGAAGATGCCACGAAAATGGTTCTCGGATGGGCGTGTCGACAAGTCAAACTCGGAGAAAGACTTGCAGAGGAGCTTGTGGTTGGGCCAATCATTAGCCTGACACTCCTTTGAGCAGTAGCAAGATGACTTGCATCGACCGCAAAGCTGAGCGTCTTTCTTCTTGCATATAGTGCAGGTACTGCCTTTATCGACGTTGGGCGGCATGGCGATCGTTGGATTGCGAAGACTGGTCAGAGTGTGAGAAGAGGAAAGGTAAGATGGAGTGACAAATACAAGGAAAAAGGATGTGTGAGAAAGAAGAGGTAGTGGCTTTCATTGACTGATGCGCCACGGCCTTGACTGGATGGTTAACTGCGTTTGCTGGGCTGGGTGGTGGTTGTGCTTTGGTTGACTGTAGACTGCAAACTGCAGTTGGTGGAGTTTTATTGTTCTGCTCTGACTGATGCGGTTGCGTCTGACAAGAGGTCAAGGGCAGGTGCAAAAAATTTCGTTTTTGTCCTAGGCAGCCACGCAAAGGGCGTTTCAGCTTGTTCTGTATCAGTTACGAACTCGCTCATGCCAAGTCACTCGCCTTGAGTCGCATACCTTTGTTCATCTAACCTAGGATATCCCCCGTGGTCTTCTCACACCAGTTTTCTTTCCAAGTCAGGTGCATAGTATCCTCATGGCGACCCAGGAGAGACAGGAAGAGGGAGAGCAAAAGCTGCAATATGATCAACTATGCAGAACTTGGCCAGCAAAAGACAATGTATGCGCTTGCTGATTGCTTCTTGAATCGAAGTCAGTCAGTGTACTGGAATTGGATGATCAGTATTGAATATGACCATCGCGTTACCTTGCCAAGATGTAATCGAGGTTTTGGTTCTCGCCAACGTTGATATCAATGGCAGCTACCGACTCCATGTATTGGCCCATTGCATTTGAAGGTGCATTGATTCCATAATGCTCGGATACATTAGCTCTCCAACGCACTTGTCTGGGACCTTTGTAAAGTCCTTAAAGGCCAACCGAGACTTGCTACCAGGACAGAGCCGGCAGACAATAGACTCGTTGCATTGGTAGGATAATGGAAACTTACAATAGATGATTCTTTTCTTGTGTGGACACTGGAGGCTCAGGATCTCATGAGCATCTACTGCAAATAATTATGGAAATTGTTATATGTCGTGGAAGAGGGGAGTCAGTTCTTCCGCTCAATCTAGAACTGTTGGATGCTGTCCAATATCACGGCGAGCACACAACCGTATGGGCACAAGTGACATGCAATCCATGGCAACTGCGTGTATTGACGGAAATAACGAGATTAAGGAAAGAAGGGAATAATAAATCCATAGTATACCTAGGGAGCGTCGCGTTATCCAAGTACCCTCCCAACTAGAAAAACCCCAGCTATGACAAGTGGAACACTCCCGGACCCGAACTGTTTTGCTCGGCTCTGCTAGCGTTCGCATTATCCCTGTCCAGATCCGACAGGATATCCGTGGGACACAGCTTCCTTGACAAGCTCTCCCCAGTCACGAATCGTATCTTTTTGCGATCATAAGGGTCTTGCACGGCCAAGCTCATGGTCTTGTTCGTCTTCATCTCATACTCGGGCACAGGTCGTTTGCCATCTTTGCTCCACTTCCACCCGGTATTGGCATCAGGCTCCTGGAGTTCATAACCTTGCAGAGGGGGTGGGTTCCATTTTGTGACCTTGTATCGGCGCATGCGGACAGTTGGGTGGAAGAATTCGTTTGTGGCGCCATCCGTGCCATCGCCCGGGTCGCGCGGGTACTCGCCAGGCGTGCGGTCTTGTCTCCCTAGAAGGCGGAAAAAGGCGCCTTGCAGTCCAGTAAAGTTGTCAATGATTGGTCCGCAGCCCCAGCCGTTGGTAGGCTTGATACCATCGAGGGCCTTGCTGTGTTCGTGAACGAGATCAGTGATGGCGTCTTTATCAAAAGTGAGCATTTGTGAGAGATTGTCCACCTGCGGCGCGGAAAGTCAGTCATTGGTCGACATGTTGTTGTTGGAACCAAGTCTGGGTTTTGGGACGTCGGGCTTACCATCCATGCAAATGTATTATCGCCAATCTCTTCATGGTCACCAAAGGCGTGCCAAAAGTCTCCTTGGCCGCCAATGTTGCCATGGACGCCGGGGAACCAGCACTGCTCTAGCCTTTTGGCAGGACTGTTCTCACTCTTGTGCCAAAGTGTAGGAGGAAAGGTGAGTCGTTTTTCATCCATGGCCAAGGCTTGGAATGCATAGTCCACGTCTAGTAGTGCCGTGGGTTAGCTCGGCTTGTTTGTGTAAACAGTAGTAGACAAGACTCACTTGGGGATACCCTTGTGTTGTGAAACGCATACTGCTTGTTGAGCGGATAGCCGAGTTTGGCAGACAGTTCCACCAAGGGCCAATTTGGAATTCCCTAGTCACCGAATATTAGCAAGGGTAATCATTGATTCGTAAACAGCGTCGCGTACCAAAGCTCCAACCGTGTCCCAAACACCAATCACTTTGATCTTGATGTCGGTAAAATCCAGCTGGCTCTTGTGATCTCGGAACCACTTTGTTTTGCTGAAGGGTTGACCACTCGTGTTCCTGCGGTACTCCCGCCACATTGCTGGGAAGTATTTCATGTTCACCGGTGACAGGATGCCAATGTCTGTGACGAGACCCGCGACTGAGCGTGCCGTAAATGCACCGCGCGAGAAGCCAAAGAAGAACAGCTCGTCGCCGGCATTGCGATCATAGTTATTTGAAATGAAGTCGTAGATTTGACACACGTCATTGTCTAGACCCCAGCCAAGCCCGCCTTTGAGTTGATATATTAGTACAGCAGTTCGAGCAAAGAGTAATTAGCCTTTCGGGGAACAACACACCATAGATGGCTGCTTGGAATGGGAGATCCCCAGTTCCCAGGCCCGGGTGATAGAGCACAATCTGCTCAACGGTATCTCCATTCTTATCAATGCCGGTCCTCGAGATGGCTCGTGCCAATTTAGCGACATTGGAGGGCACAGCCTTTTGACCACTGTCTGAATTCAGCCATGTGCCGTCAGCGCACAGGATGATGCGCTTATAGCTTGCTGGCTTGTTTGTTTGCTCAACCTTTGGCTCCGCCATAGTGTAGTAGAGCTAAGCAGTCAGAGACACCGAGAAGAAGAAGGAGATTCAAACTCTTTTCACTGTTGGTTATCTTTTGATGGGGTTTCGATCAATGGTGTATGTATTCAGTGTGAGAAAGAGTCAGACTGATGCATCTTTATATGCAGCAAATTTATATGCCATTGGGCATGCGTGGATGTTTGCACGGGACTATTATCAACGAGGCGCCGTCGAGTGCAGTGGTGCAGATGCGCAAGGCTTTGCTGGATGGCAGTGTCTGATAGACCACAAGAGTGACTAGACATGTGCAGACTCACGGGCCGGGCATTCGTCTTCATCAAGGTAATTACCGCTAATGACTTGAACCGTTCCCATTAGTCAATATTCACATGTTTGGCCGTGTTAATGCTAAAGCTCCCATTGGTTCAAAGTACGTTCTTAAATTAGAAATCGAGCACTATTTAGAGGCAACCTTAATTCAACTATCCGCCATTAGTAGTCGAGTTGGGGATATCTACACATGGCAAAAAGAAAGCTTCAAAAGCTTGACATTCGAAAAGATGCCAAACTAAAAACACTAACTAGTCTTTCCCCTAAAAAGGAAGAAACCTTCTGCGATGACTTAGCGAGTATTAAGAAAGTTCTCCTAAACCGAATTCTGGCTGGAACATGCCACGATTATCTTGCGCATGCGCAACTCTTCAATTCGAAGCAACCACTTCATAGCCAAGTTGTCTAGTCACATGTGTGAAGCAATCCCAAAGGGTCCTCAAGGACGAGTTGCTCGGACACAAACTACCAAGCTGCGCTCTTGATCCATGTTGTGATTAATTAGTCATTCGTCTTGGACAATGCAAACAATGCTTCTCCCGCTAGAGGAACTACTCAAAGTCACTAGTGAAGTTACGCAACATCTCGGACGATGAGAGTTTTGATCGTTGACCCAAAGACTAGTTGTGAGATGACAAGGCATTCCCATGGCAACCTGCATTGTCAATTGGTCGTGAAAACAAAGTCTATCACATATTAGAGTATAGTTTAGCGAGAAATTGAAAAGAGGAAGTGAATTTGAAAAGTTTGCCTTGTGGGCGCAGTCTAGATCCTCTCTTGTATTCACTGGTGCCGGGCATATTGCCATAGCCCAACTCAATAGACACTATAAGCGCCTGTGGATGAACCAATCGCGTAGCTTTCTCAACGGCACTCATATGATCAATTTGCCTTAGGCATCTCCCCAAATTCATAGACTTTATCGCTGCCGGAGAATAGGTTCCGGCGATTGCGAGTGAATCCTTCACGTTGATTCGGCTGAAACCTTGTGAGGCTCGGAAAAATCGGCTCTACTCACAGATATGCCACAATGCCTCCATGAAATGCTATTACACGTGCCCTGATGTTCTAGTATTTGCGTGGATCACGGGCTGGCGAGTTGCTTCAAGGCTAAGGACTCACTGAGGGCAAGTCGACACGGCGTGCCCCGAGATAGGCAAGAGATGGGGCATCAAATGCCTCCCAAGTGATCGCAGTGAGTGTGAACTTTGCGGCTGAGAGGAATGGAACCATATAAGCACCAACGAGACCAGACGCCTATGTGAATGTTTGATTAGAACCAATCAACAATCACGGCTGAGAGGACTAACTTGCACCAACGCCAGCAACCTTTTCGACCCTTATCTGCACGTTTTGGTGGAAAGAACCTCGGAAACTCGACAAGATACGAAGCTGAGCAAGTCTATTGAGATACTATAGAAATAGGCTTGTCTGAAAAACAAAATGAGATGCCTTGACGCCATCACGTAATTCCTCTTGATGAAACAGGACGATGCCTCTACTGCGCAACGGCTGCTTTCTAGATAAGCTTCTTCATATCCCACAATTATTGCAACTAGAGACGGGGATATGTTGCTTTCATGGATTATACTTCCGAAGAAAAATCTGAAATGCCGTGCTGGATACCCTGTTGACGCCAGGGTCGGCCCGGGGATCATATCCGCCTTCGTGTCCCAAAAGGGTAAGAGCTGCAAGCGGAATGCGCTTGGCTAGAGCTGGCAGATTGCCACGGCGTCTGTCCGCGGCATCCACCACGGCAAGCTGGGGGACGAGAGGATTGAACTCGCTCATCCGGAGTTGTGCACAGCATGGAGCGTCTGAACACAACCGGCAGGCAACAGTATGGGTGTGATTATGCGGCTAGATAGTCATAAGCATGGAGCTCACAGTCGAGGAATTGGTGCTGACAATTAGAAAGGATACGGTTGGCCGGCTTCATGATAGTCATGCCGGTAGTGGTAGTCATCGGCCTCATTCCGCTTCCGGTAGCCTGCTGTCAGTATGCTGACGTTTTGCCCCTTCTCAATAGGTGTATAGAATCCCTACAACAAGCCAGGATCTGCGTTAATTTTTTTCTTCAGTGCCATGCAAGCCTGATAGTGGCCTGTCGCCTTGCTGACCCGATGGTTAACTCCACTATCCGTCCCTCCATCGGCATAAGACTTGCGACATAAATCTCCTGGTGCGCAAGCGATAAAGTAATCACCTTCTCGGGACTGTTTACTCGTCAAGTATGGACATTGCCACCATGATCAAATTCTCATGACATGCAATGCCTGATCCCGAGTACCGGGTTCGCCTCAAGGTGCTCGGCACTTTCTTTCATCTTTCCTTCGCCTGATCAGGTTGTTATATCTAACTAGTGAGGGCGACCAACTATGAGACTTGAGAGGTCTGCTGGGATCGAGACAATTACCAAGTGAATGCTCCAAGTGTCTATTTTCGGGGACTTGTTCCGATGAGACATCTGAGTTGCTGTGAAAATATTTCTAATCGCTGGTGTTTATTGCCCCAGTTCGATATGGAGATAACAAACTTGAGGGCGTTCATCGATCCATGCAGCATTTATTGCGTAAGCCCCTGGGCATCCCCTGAAGCACAGCTTTTGACGGCACTCGGCCAGAACCAGGATTCCGGTTTGTTCATCAACCAGACCCTCTTTGCCCAGGAACAAGGTACACTTTACGGTTTCCCTGCATTGCTACTGCAGAATAATATATTATTGTGCTACAAACTGGCAGAGATTTAACTCCATCATTACCATTTCCATCCTGCTTGTGCTGTATCCATGAACGCATCGTTTTCAGCTTGTGTAAACATTCATCTGCACAATTAAGCAGCAGGTTTCAAGCATTATTCCTCTTTAAACTTGTCAACATCATCGTTCCCATGCATCGGATAATACCCCTCACGTGGTTTCTGGCTGCGCCTACAGCTTTTGCTCTGCTTATAGAGGCTGACCATCCCTTTTAACCCCCGAGGCCCGGGGATTTGCGAGCGCCGTGCCCGGCTTTTAATTCTCTCGCCAACCATGGCTTTCTTCCCCGCGACGGACGAGATGTCGATTTAGACACTGTCGGCGCCGCTGTCTTGCTCGTCTTTAATATGGATTATGATACGATGCTGCTGGTGGGAGAGCCCGCGCTGGCAACGTCTATTACTGGAAATAGCTTAACGTTTCATCTCAACGATACTGTACAGCACTGGCCACAAGAGATTGAGCACGATGGTAGTTTGGCCAGAAATGATACTTATTTTGGGGACGCCTTGACGTTTAGCCCATAGGCATGGGGCCGTACCTTAGCCTCGTGGGGCGATGTTGAAATCATTAATGTAGGTTGGCAAGAAGTATTTGAGATAAAGTGAGGCTAGTTTTGAACTTACTCTTTTCCACAGTTTGAAGCAGCAGCAACCGAGCTCCAAGAGCGGTTTGACTGGGGCCTAGCGCATAATCCAGAATTTAACGCAACTTTTGCCAGAACAGCTTCACTGTTGCAGTACGCATTAGTATTTGGAGCATTTGGCAAATCCGTTTAAGGCGATGCTTAATATGACTGGGTGAAGTTTTGGTTTGAGAATGAGAGATTGCCGCTGGAGCTGGGCTGGCAGCCACTAACGGAGCAGCTCAATCACACCAACAACGAGGCTATCGCGGCAAGTATAGAGGCCTTGTGGGACGAATTGGAACAAGATGAGTAGCGACCGGGCTTCAAATAGCACTCATACAGACTTGGCCCGGATGGCTTGTATTATTTCAAGTGTGTTATTATATCTTCCGCTATCATGTGCAAAAACAAACTGGGGAACGTATAGCGAGATATAGCTTACTTCTATGATGTAATGTTTTATTATTTTTCAAAAACATATTTAATTGCCTGAGGTGGTCTATAAGCATGACCATGAATTAGGGCGACACTTGGTTCGCCCAACCCATGGACTTGGGTATTATGACAAGGATAAACTTGTGGTGGCAAAACCTTGTTCAATAAATTACAGATTAGATATACTCTTACTGAATAGCATATTTGACTAGCTCACCCACCTAGCATCAATATTGCGGCTCATCTTGCTAAGCAGGGAAAAAAAAAGATTCATAATGTGGCACGTTTTCATGGATGGCTGGATCCGAGACCACATGCAATACACACATGATTGGATGCAATTTTTACAACTCATATACAGCATAGGTGACTCCATTTCGGTACTGAATTTCTGGACCACTCCATACCTGATTGGCAACATTTGTTTGCAGCACCCTTGACTGAGCGATTCGCACGACTCGGAGAAGTACCAGAAAACATCAAGGAAACGGTACCCATGATGGGTCTCTCGCAAGTTGCCCTAAATTTTCGGGCACATGGTATGACTGTAGTCTATCTATCCGAATATAGCAAATTTGTAGACCTGCTTGCGAAGATGGCAATTGATGGCGTTGACTAGACTGACGGCACAGAGGCATCACTCGCGAGTACGTCCATGGATCTAAGTTTGGCATGTCTCCACGAATGTAGAAAGTGATACGACCAGTGTCCAAAATAGAGAGAATCAAATTGAAAAGGGTTTTCCATCTACGAGACTAATATCTGTACAAACAGACATCATCGTCATTACTGTTGTGGCACCCTTCGAGTGACACAATACTCAGCCACTCTGAGGCGCATCAGAAACACAAAGGTGCCACGAGGATGCAAGTCCTATATAGAAGTTTTTCGAAGAAATCGAATGCTAAAAATAAAGCGTACACTTCGCTCTTTGCAGTTGAATGTGAGAAGAAGAATTGACCGAGGTGGCTCACCATTAAGTCGCTCTGACAGGGCTTATGGCCTCCTTGTTAGGACCCTAAGATGATATAATTTTGTACATGTATCCGCCAAACCTGGCAAGGCATCACTTTACTCTATTGAAATATAACAGGAGGCGCCCAACACAATCGTATGGCCAAAAGAAGGAAAGATTTGTCAGGCCAAGAGTCACTTCATTCTGCACATCCAAGCTCGACGCTATCTCAAGAAAACCGATGTAGCGTTTTTTGTTTGCTTTCTAGCCATAGACGCGTTTTGAGTCTGTAGATGACCTTGGAGAATCCTCACATTGTCATGCCTATTCCCTTGCAGAAGGCGAAGATTGCAGTAAAATCGGTGTCTCCAACAACATCTGCACAGCGGCTCCCAATACATCGACGGGGCCCCGTTGATTTAATATCGACGGACCCGTCGACATTATATAAGCGCTATTTTACAGCGCTTCGCCACGGAGTAATATGCTGCACGAAATAGCAAAATGCTATATAAAATGGCAAAACGCTATAAAGCGCTATAAAAAGTGGCAGAACGCTGTAAAGCGCTGTAAAATAACGCTTATATAATATCGACGGGTCCGTCGATATTAAATCAACGGGGCCCCGTCGATGTATTGGGAGCCCTGCACAGCCTTGGCCTGACTAATATACTCATAATATCATCCAACGATTGCTGCATCTGCTTCGAAAGGGTTAGAACTGCAGTAGCATCTAATCACCAGCCGAATCAGGACTGATATTCCCATTGCCTTTGCGTAGGTTAAAATTGCAGTGAAGAAGCCATGCATGAGCGGGAGTAGATTAGTAAGGCGTCCAATACCATAGGGCAGATCATCTCCAACTGCATTGCCTTTGAGAGGGTTAAAATTGCAGTGAACAACAAATTTGGACGTGTTGTATCCCGACTTGCCCACAGCAGCGTCGGCGGCAGGGCTTAGTTCCACTGCAATTTGGGCCCTCTCAATCTGTCCGGGTCACTCCTGCCCTCATCCCGCAGTGAATCTGATATTTTAGGATTGTGCATTATATGTACCTACCCTACACAGGCTTGTTGTACCGTGGATGTTTATTACTATACAACAATTGCATGCAGTTTGCATCCTTGCGCCAACGAACTGCTGACAATGTTCCACCGGTGCGTACTGTAGGAAAAGCCAAGATAGCAGTCATAATTGAGATTGTCCTTCACGCGTGCGAACTCTCTGAAAGAGGCCACACTAATTGAAACATGATAACAGAGAGGGCATCTCTTCGGGATATCATCCAGCCGAAGGGATACCCAGTCCAAGCACATGCACGCAGGAGCTGATAAGATCAGGTCAATCAGGTCCCAAGTCTATCAGTTCAATCAAAAGGCTGGTAAATCAATGGTTTTCTCCAAGAATAAGATTGACACGCACGATAAGGTTCAATGCAACGGCTCCAGGAACGGCGCTGTCATTTGCAGGGGTTGAGACCTAACGAATTAAATCGAACGCATTTCAACTCCTTGGGATTAATGTTCACTTGCCTGCTCATAACCTGCGCATGTGACCTTTTACCTTTCGAGGCGAATAGCAGAAAGCACAAATCCGAGAATAGAACAAAACATCCATGCAAAGAGGCCCTTCGCTTCGCTACCAACGACTCTGCTGCTGCGGGGGAGACCATGAGCAGTGAACGCGCAATGCAGGGCTGATGGAGAATAATCTGAAACCCAAGCGGCAACTCTGTGTCAATGAGGAGTTATGTATGTCTTGACGTCGCTGATCCCGCGGGCCCTACAATTAAATCATCAATTAAAATAAAAAAGTATATCTTCAATTTTTGAAGAAATAAAACAAAAGGGCGAGACTTTTAAGACTTGATATAACCTTATTTTCCTGCCGCTTTTTTATTATGCCTTTCTCTTATGCTTGTTGGTTGTCCCCTCCTGGGTTCCAACACCATGTTCCCCCCACCTCGTGATCCTTGGCAGGCACAGCAGTCTCTTGATGTTTCTAACCAGGGGTCCACGTATGCTGGTGGAAGGGGTCACAATTGGTTTCACCCACCAATCATGAACCCAGTCACAAGTGAACCTTAGCGAAGGTGGCGGCAAGAAGAAGGAATACACACGCATAGGCACACGGACACAATAGACCACCACCAACCGACACGGCATATCGTCGATCATCTTTTCCCACTGAGGGGAACAATCCCGCGCCCGTGTCTCGAGACATTTTTTTTCTTTCTTGGATGAATTTCTCTGCCGATGCCTTGCGGCAAAAAAGAGAACCAAGTTCAGTTCTTGTTCCTATTCACTTCGTTCACATGGGGAATGTTGGCCCACCACCACCCCAGACTTGTAAGCTCTTAAGCGATCCCGTCGGCCTTTTCCCCTTGATTACGACGACAAACCAGAACAGATGATGCTGGCAGTCAAGAGAAGGCTGGGCCTCCCGCTCTGCCTGGGCTTCTTTATTCTCTACCTAATTTTCAACCTTCGAAGCCGCGAGTCGGATGAGAGGCTATGGTCGGCAACGGCAGCGCAGCAGGAATCTCTGGTCGATCCCAAGGTTCTCCATGATGACGACTACTTTTGGAGAAGGATCCCTACCCACTACCCGGTGCGGTCCATGAAATCATTGCCGACAGGCCGGCCGCCGCGCACGCTGCACCCGATCCAGGCTGAATTCGCCTACGAGACAAAGGGGGACCGCCAGCGCCGCCTGCGGAGGCAGAGCGCCGTCAAGGCCGCCTTTCAGCGGTGCTGGCGGGCGTACGCGGCGCACGCGTGGCTCCAGGACGAGGTGGCGCCCGTGAGCGGCTCGGCCAAGAACCACTTTGGGGGATGGGGGGCTACCTTGGTCGATAGCCTCGATACCCTCTGGATCATGGACATGAAAGACGAGTTCGACGAGGCCGTGGCTGCCGCGGCCAATATCAGCTTCGAGACGAGCTCACTGACCGAGATCAACGCCTTTGAGACGACGATTCGCTACCTCGGCGGCTTCCTGGCGGCGTACGACTTGAGCAAGGATGAGAGGCTCTTGCAAAAAGCTAGAGAGGTCGGCGACATGCTCTATGTCTCCTTTGACACGCCGAATCGAATGCCCATTTCTCGCTGGAACTTGGACAATGCTGTCTCCGGAGAGAAGCAGTCGGCGCCGCAGTTGGCTCTGGTCGCCGAGATTGGTTCGCTCTGCATGGAGTTCACCAGGCTGTCCATGGTTACTGGCGACCCCAAATGGTTCGATGCCACCGAAAGAATCATGCTAGCTTTGAAAGAGCAGCAAATGAAGACACAGCTCCCTGGACTGTGGCCCATCAGCGTGAACCCTCGAGAGATGAAGTTCACCGAAGATAACACATATAGTCTTGGAGCCATGGCGGATTCCGTGTTTGAATACCTACCAAAAATGGTAGCTCTGACTGGAGGACTTTTGCCGCATTACGAGGAAATGTACAAGAAGGCCATGGAGACGGCCATCAGGTTCAACATGTTCAGACCAATGGTACCGGATGAAGCGGATATCCTCATATCAGGAATTGTGCGGACGTCGGAGGGCGGCAAATACACTGTAGAAACCCAGGGGCAGCACCTCGTGTGCTTTGCCGGCGGCATGCTCGCTGTTGGTGGGAGACTGCTCAACGAGACGGAACACCTCGTAGCAGCCAAGAAACTCGTGGATGGATGCATCTGGACGTATAAGAATATGCCTCTTGGGATCATGCCAGAGATCTTCTGGATGGCCCCGTGCGAGTCGGACGCGCATTGTCCATGGGACGAGCGGAAATGGAAACAGGCGTTACTGGCGAGAGCTGGCCTGAACCCCGACGACCTCGACAGCGCTGCGTATATCATCAAAGACCGGCGGCTCCCCCTGGGCTTCACCGACATACCGGACCGACGCTATATCCTCCGGCCAGAGGCGATTGAGAGCGTCTTTATCATGTATCGTACAACCGGCGACACGAAGCTGCTCGATTCGGCTTGGGACATGTTCGAGGCCATCCAGGCGAGCACCAAGACGGACATGGCGAACTCGGCAGTGGCAGATGTCACAGTCGCCAGCTCGACAGATACCCAGCAGACGGACTCGATGGAGAGTTTCTGGATGGGCGAGACGCTCAAATATTTCTACCTCATCTTCAGTGAGCCGGATCTCATATCTTTGGACGAGTGGGTTTTCAACACGGAAGCGCATCCATTCCGGCGATTAAATCCACAAAGATGAAGAATAAAGGACATGATCTGTAGTCATGATATAATACAAGAAATCCTAGCGTATAGATTGCAATGGCAATCCTCAAGTTCCGTGTGTCTGGAACGATTGACTCTCTTGTCTTGCCTTATTACTGACATGGTGCTATTTTTGCCGTATATATGAGACTATCGCAAGTCAAATGGCTCGTTTTCCATCGTCATTCAAGCCTGCATCGTGATGACAGTATATATCGCGTCATGAGAATTCACATGATAATAGAGGCAGCTATCATTTAAACAATTTGGTGGGTGCCGGTGCCAAAGAATTGCAAAAGATAGGCGCAGTAATACCAATCAGAGGAGTGGACAGCAGCTAGGCGAGCCCCACCCAGGAGGACCCTTATTAGGTGGGCGGGACTGGACTCGTTGGGGGACGCGACCTCAGCTCCAACGCCAAAGGATTGGAGGCGCCCGAGGGATTGATACGCAGGCTGCATCTGGGACGACGACGCAAAGCTGACAAAGAAAAATCTATTTCGACGCAGGGGACAAGTTGTCAGCTTTCATTGTCTCAATCTCTCGAGTCCTGTCGATTCTTGTCGCAACAAAGGGACAATTTCAATCATCTAGCGAAGACGACTTCTTTTCTGATTGCAACTATTATCTGAGCTCCCCAGGATTGAGCAAGACCCCCCAATTTGCGCATCTCTACGGAATCCTTTTCCCCACTAGGACAAAGCAGTTTACCTTGCTTGAACATTCAGAGCTCTTTCTTCCGGCGCTACTGAATTCTGATCGCGAGAGACAGACTTTCTCGATTTTTATCTCTCTCTCCCTTCTCCCTCTAACCAATTCCTTCCGAACCTTCTTTTGACACGACCCGGATCGCGAAGCAAACCCGCACGATATCGCCCATCATGAATTCAATTATAGCGATAGATCACGAGAAGAAGACAACGTCGGCCAATTATCGCGGGTCCAACTCGTTTGCGACATTCATGATCATTGGACGTGAGTTCTAAACCCATAACCTATCCTCGCGAAGGCCCGGCGAAGCCGTGATGTTTGCCCTTTTGCCATTATCCCTTGCTTCTCTTTTGGCGGGTAGGGGAAAAAAAAAGATGGGACATTCAAGACTAATTCGCGTCTTCTTATAATACACAGCCGTCTGCTTCTTCCTCGGCATCCTCTTTGCCCAGTTCCCCTACGACTTCCCCCTGCTATGGACCACGGACGAGGTGGCGCCCGCGTACCTGGACCAGCTCGAGACGCACCTCAAGTTCATCCACGCGGCGCCGCCGCTGATTGCGCGCATCCTGCACATCATGGTGGGCACGGGCTTCCTCGGCTTCTTCGTCAAGCTGTTCCGCCCCTCCGAGGCCAACATGCTCTTTGACGGCGCCGGCCTCATCCTCTACGTCATTGGCGTCGGCATCTACATCACCAACATCGTCAAGGGCCTGCGCACCGTCAGCGCCGACATCTGGGACGCCGCCACCGGCAAGGTCATTGAGCAGCCCGGCGCCCCCGAGCTCCAGGCCGGCGAGGTCGTGCTGGGCCGCGAGGACAGCCTCAAGGTCCTGGCTGCCAGCAACACCATTCTCGCCCTCGTCCTCGTCGGTGTCCTGGTCCTCCAGGCCGGTCAGTGGTATGCCGAGCGCAAGGACAAGGAGGAGGCTGAGAAGTTTGAAAAGGAGGAGCGGGAGAAGAAGGTCCACGCCGGTGGTGCTGGATCCAAGAAGAAGCAGTAGAGGTGACTGCACAAAAAAAATGGAGGCGGCTCTCGTGATTGTCGAGACGCGCTTTCTGGTGTCTTTCGCTTTTCTGCATAAGATTCAAAATAGTGCAAGATGTACTTAGCCTTGCTCAATTTGCATTTCGGGAAGAAAATGAAGCATATTCTGCCCGAGTACTATTCTGTACATCCATCTGATTCCCCTGGAAAGACATTATTCAGATGGGCATGCATGGTATCACTGGTGATCATGATCATATCAAATTGAAATGGCAACGCAAGCAATGACGGTAGACAAACATATTCTTGAAATTCGTTCAACACGTGAGTGCGATTGGTCTTGTGTAGTGTGTGTATGTACAACGAGTGTGACCTCTTATTTATCATCATCATATATCCAAAAGGGTGAAATGGATCAATCCTGTAACGCCAAAAACTCCAACGCTTTTCCCCTTGGTGACCCATGGTATCATTCATCTAAACGTTATAAAAGAAAGAAAAAAGCCTCCTATAGAGGCATCAAAGATTAATAGGGTGCCGTTCGTTAAACTCCTGCACACGCGACAGTCCGCTCGGCCACCTTCTCAAATTAGTTTCCGCGCGCGGGCCGGGCCATCAACGCCGCGACTCTATCTGCGGTCGCTGGTGCCCGGGCGAGCGCCTGGCCATTGCGTCAAGGTCGTGTCGCGCGACCTTCGGCCGACATCAAAGTCGGGCACGGCGAGTGTGTCATTGAAGGAAATGTCAATGGTCTCGAAATTGCCTTGATCCTCCGACACCCTCTCGAGATGGCTGGGTTGCGCCCGCGCCTTGTCGGCTTCTGACTCGACCTTGAGCGAGTCTATTATGGCAGAAGGGTGGTAGCTGCGCCCGTCAAACTGGCTGCCGTCATGATGGCCCGGGCTGCTGCTGTAGCTGCTGATGGAATCCCGACTCTGGAACGACTTGGCCCCATTGTAAACGTCCGGCGTCTGCTGAGATGGTGCTGTGCGGGTGGAAGGGTTCGACCTGGATATGAAGTCGGACCGACCGTAGGTGAAGCCATCCTGGGGAATCGGGTTTGAAATCATGCCTCTGGCGTTTCTGGAAATGAATGATTGATCAGATGCACGCTTCGACTCCTGCTGCTTGCGTCGCCGATACACGAGATAGACGGCACCGATGATGGCGGCGACCAGAAAGACAACGCCGCCGACCACTCCGCCCACGATGGCCGACACGTTGGCACCCTCGGCATGCTCCTTGGCGGCAGTATCGCTCGCATCGCTCGAGCTACCTTGGGAAGCGGCACCGGTCGTGTGAGCCCCAGCCGCGGCCGAGTCTGTTGCCGTAGCGGTCGGTGCTGCCGTCGATGCATGTCCTGTACTGGCTGCAGTAGTGCCTGTCGCCGATGCCGTTGAGCTGGCATCTCCTGCGCCCTCGGGCATCTGACTTTGATCTTCATCTTTGGCGCAGTTGTTATCTGCGTCGCATGTGTAACCAAAGGGACAGCACATGGATCCACAAGTGGGCAGCTTGCTAGTCAGTGCCGTGGTCTTGACGACGGCATCGGGGGCGCTGGTAGCGTTCTGGAGCTGAACGTCACACACGATGGAAGCAATGACGCTGCAGTCGTCGCCGTCCGGGCAGCACACAATGGTGGTATTGCCGGCCAGGGCAATGCACGACGTGCCGGGCTTGCAGCAAAAGTTGTCCGGCAGTCCGGCCTGCGGACATTGGGAATAGGAAGTGTCGCCACACGTGCTGTCTCTAGCGAAGATCTGGCTTGGTGGGACAGACATGGCCAATGTCGTCGAAATGGTTGATGAGAGTGCCGCTGCGAGCATCCAGGCTCGCAGCACGCCTCTCCATCTTGTCATGTCTTGGTAAATCGTTGTTGGTGGCAGTTTTAAGTATCGAATGTGAGTACGGTATTCGCTCCGGGCTAGTTTCCGAGTGTTTTTGGAAAAGAAAATGATATTTCTCAAGCAGAAACCAATCAAGCTTTGGCTTTGGATCTTGACGTGACGAGTTGAATATCTCAAATGGGGGACATGTAGAAACGCGAAGCGGGTAAAGGAAAGCAGGGGTTGACTCTTTTTATGATCCAGCAAAGAAGAAACGAGTCACAAACAGACAAGGAAGACGATCTCTTGTGATGGATGGCTTTTTGTGAGTCTAAGGCTTCGATGGGAACAAGGTGGATAAGAAGAATCGTCAACAACAATGACTTGTCTAGAAGAGCATCGTCAGGTGAATAAGAAACAGCCAGGTATACGTGATCCTATCGTGCTTTGTTTCCACCTTGTTCGATCGTGCTCCGATTCCTTGGGCTGGAATTGGGGGGAGTCATGGTCTTGACACTGGTGCAATCACTTGACTAGAGAAGCGGCCTCCTCTGACCCAACGGATAAGCCATCATGGACGTCCGCGCGCACAGGACACGGCGAGATTGAAGTCGAACTGACGACATCGACTGGACATTTTTCAAACTTCAGTGATAAATGGATTCATTTCCAAGATGAGGTTGGGCATGGAGCCCCACAGATCTGGTAACGAGCGAAGCAGGACGGGTCGAATGCAACCACCCGCTCGCAGGTGAGGCAGTGCTGGTATTGAACCGCGCAGTCGCCAGCCAAACGAGAGGCCATCGTGAAGCGCTTCTCTTTTGGCGGCTACAAGGGTCCTGAAAGTGTTGATGCGGATGGAGATGGAGGAGGACAAAGGCCTCGGGTTGGTCCATTCTCTGACTCTGCCCGTCAGGTTAAGCGCATCTTGGCGCCGTCAGAGTATATCATTGGCCCATAGTTTTAGCGCAAAGAGTCCAGGGTTGCCCAATTCGGCCACAGCGCCCTAGAACTCTAAAACCAGGGACAGCTTCTAGGTCTCCTAACACGCTAAGAAAATCAAGCTATGTACCTACATACAAGAACTACATAACAGCATCTCCTATCTACATATATCTTCGGGGAATAGGTCGGCCTCAACATTTGACTTTTCAGAGGAACAACTTGTCAAATAGGCCCGTTGTTGCTTCCCGGTAGCCGTTTATCCGATTTTATGATTGCCCAACAGGTCGATGGCAGCATTTCGAGACCCTAAAGAAGCAGCGTAATGTTCCGGGGGCAGTATAGTAGCGGTGCCTCCCTCTAAATGAGTGCCCTGCCAACCGACCTCGCGCTCTCGGCTTCCCAATCAACTTTCCAGCTCGCCAAGGGCATCAGAACAAGTAAGCAGGTAGGGAAAAGCCTCACGACACGTCACCTGACGTTGCCATCAAGGCAGATAGATAGCCAACACATCGTTGGGCAAATAAGAAATGGGCAATAAAGTAAAAGAGAAGAAAAAGAAAGCCAGCACATGCCTAGAGAAAATCAAGGCAATTGACCGCCACTGGGGCCACCTCAGCCACATATTTGCACCAGTCTTTTTTTTTTTTTTTTCCCTTGATTCCACGGGAGGGCTCCTTTGGCTTAGGCGATCGTCACTACCAATACAGGTAACCCGAAAATCCTTGAGGGGATCGCCCCTCAAGCGGTCCAAAGAACTATTTATTATTCAGCCATTCAACAAGAGCCAGAACAGCTGGGTCACTTGTGCACGCCTCACCCTATGGGCAGCTGAGAGACGGCCACGGAAGCTTGCAGCTACGTAGTACTTTGATACTTGGCACGGAACCAGTGCCGATAGAGGAAGGGGGCCGAATCTCCTTACCTTTACCTATCTTGGCCTCAATTTAGTCAGGTCAGGTTCCTCTTGAGGGACCGGAAAGAATTGGGACCCAACGGTGTACTTCGTGTCAGTGTACTTTGTAAGAATTGAGCAATCATTACAATTCCGCTTCGTGATAACGTGACCTCTTGTAATGTCTTCCTTTGGGAACATCGCTTCGCATGTTTTGTACTAGAGTCACCTATCAATTCGCTAGATCTAGGTCACATGGTTTTACCTGTCGCAAGGTTATACATTCACCGCCCCTCTGGCGTAGGAGTTCATACCCCGGCGCAAGTCGCTGATTCGCTTGCCACCAAGAATTAACGTGATCAAGATCTGGTACGCCGAGTATCAGGGCAAGGTTGAGCAAGATGAGCAAATATCGAGTCAATTATCATGTTCTTTACGTTGTGGACATGACAGGGTAAATTTTCCAAACTCCACGTTGTACCCAGTGCGACGCAAGGAAAACATCGGCTTTGAGCAACACTGAGCAACCAGGTTTTTCGTGTCACAGCAGGAGGCAGACAGATTCACTTGGAGAGAACAAATTTGCTTGATTTTTGAATTGATTTTTTGTTTTGATTTGCGTTGTTGTTTGTTATTACATAACTTTGCTTTCTCTCGGAGAAGATTGTTTCTCAACGATGAGGTGGTATCAAAAAATAAAACGGAGCTATCATAGAGGAGCTCCCCCAAAAAATAGATGAGGCCTTTCATAATTCGAGCCTCAGTTTCCAGACCATGCTCCGTTTGCCCAACAAGTAAAAAATAATGGTATCCTGCCTTGATAATGCTCCCAGCCCAAATGCATGCATCGGTATATAGAAGAAATGAACGGCCCAACAAAAGCCAAAGAGGGTAAAAAGTGTGTGTTGAAAGGGGAGGGAGAGGAAGATCCCTTTCGTCAAGCCCGCATGTCGCATCGTAAAATCCCATCCGCCATCTCTCATGTCATTTCGTTTCCTCTCATCCCGACAATGGCAACTCAGCCCAGCTGCCCTGTAATGTATTCCAATGATTCCAAAGTCCATTTGAGAAAAGTGTATGTTGTGCCTTGCGGCAACTTCTGTCTCTCTGTCTGACTGAAGCTCTCTCCGAGGGGTATTAAGTAGTAAACGAGATAAAGAAAATAAGAAGAAAAATCGCAACCTGTCGAGATATGCGCAGAAGGGAAAGGTGAGAGCCACTTTCAGTCCAGGGGATTGATGAGTTCATGAGTATAAGACACACTGTGTGATGTAGTGCTCCTCATCCTCCCCAGACCGGCTGGAGAAGGAGAGTTTTCTAGATCAGCAAGTAGTCCCATTGTCTCATCTGCATCACGTCCCTCCAGGAAATGTAAGGAAGCTCCACCATGCCCGAGGCGCTGGGACTCGGCACGAAGCTGTCGGTCTGCTGCCAGACCTCGCGGAGGAGCGAGGCGACGCCGCCAAAGCTGCCATAGGTGGCCGCGTCGCCGAGCTCGGCGATGCGCTCCTCAAAGAACTGGCGGAACGAGGACGAGGCACCGGCCACGGAACCGCCAATGAGGTAGACCCAGCCGAGGCTGCGGTCGAAACCGTTGGGGCCCGAGGGGATGTGCTGGAGCACGTTGGTCAGCTTTTCAACGAGGCCGACACAGCTGGCCTGGCTGGGCGAGAAGCCCGGGATCAGGCTGCAGAGGTAGATGCGGGCGGCCAGGCGGAAGGCGCTGGTCACATTGCGGCTCAGCTGCTTGGGGCTCAGCGTGCCGTTGGCGTTGAAGGGCATCTTGGGTCCCGCCGTGTCGCCCATCTCGGTGAGGCCGATTTGGTCGCCCAGGGCGCTCACGTGCTGGCAGAGCGTCATGTCGTCCATGCCCTCGTTCTTGAGCGCTTCGAGGCAAGCAATCTCGGAAATCAGGTACATGACACGGTCGTCGCAGCCCATCAGCTCGCGCAGACCCAGGGAGGGGTTGGTGGGAGAGAGGTGCTTCTCCCGGTAGGTGTGCGCAAAGACTGGTGCGCGTCCCTGCATGGTGGCGCCGAGAATGTCAATCCAGGCCGTGAGGGTCATGTTGAATGGTGTTTGCGGCAATTGGCCCGCTGGGTCAGAGACAATGCGCGGCAGATCGAGCTTGGTCACCAACGAGTTGACAGCCTGAAAGTGCTGGTGCCACGGGATATCGGGAAGCGTGTCATCGTACCGGCCAACGCAAGACTGGAAGAAGATGAGACCCAAGGTGGCCTCGAGGATCTCGTGGTGGTTCTCATCGCGGTTCAGCGCCTCGCAGAGAGCCTTGATGGTTTCGTGGCGGTGGCGCATAATGTCATTGTCAATCTCCTCCGATGGAATGTTCATGGTGGCCTTGTAGTGCTGGGCAGCCATCATCAAGCAGCAGTGGAGGTATCCCTTGTTGCTCTGGAGCGCGGGAAGGACGAGATCAGAGCCGACAGATCCATGCTGGTTGGACTCGAGGATGGGGAAGATGGTTGGCATCACGTGCTGGATAAAGTGATCCAGCAGGCGCTGGTCAGCCTCATCCAGTTCAATGGCAACCTGTCTCGAGTGGACGGCCGGGCCATGCGAAAAGTCAAAGAAGTTGACATTGAGGGCTTCTTCTCCAAGAGATTCCCGTCTCTCCGAGTAGACCTGCTCCGTCCACTCACCATCAAAGGGGTAGGAAGACAAGACGGTGCCTGGCGGCGGCGGCGTGTTGTATGTGCTGAAGGTCGAGACGGTGGACTCTCTAATAGTGGGAACGTCATTGACAAACATTTGACGCTCAGTCTTGACATCAATCTCATAGGGCGTCATGCCAAACATGAAGTCCTGGTGAGAGTGGTGCATCTGTGGGTTGTAGACGCCATAATCGGCAACATTGGGCGAGCTGTTGAAGTTGAAGGCAAACTGCGAATCAATGGAGGCAGATCTCGTGCGGTCCAAGGGATCCGAAAAGGTCGCAGACGTAGGAAGCGAGTGTGAGAGGCCTGGTGGCGAGCCAACTGAGCCAACTGAAGTCTGAATGGTGTGCGATGACTTTTCCGTGAGCTTCTTGCGCTTGATGATCATCTTGATGTCGTCCTTGTGTTGTCTCCTTGCCTCATTGTTTCCCCACCACATTGGTCGCTTATACTCGCAGCAGAGTCCCAGGTGTTTGCATGCTGTGCACATGGGAGTGCCTTCATCGCACTTCTTTCGTCGTAATCTGCATGTGTAGCAACCTATTATGAAATTCTGAGTTAGCAACTTGGCTTGTTTATACTCTGCTCAACTTACACGGGCCAACTGTATAAGTGGACAGGGCCCAGGTATCAAGTCTGAAGCAGAGAGCAAGAATTGGAGGAGCCACTAACCTGTCCTGGAGCGACGGTGCATCTGTGTCTTTGCCTTTTGGTTTGCATTGTTGCTGCTGGCCTTTGAAGGTGCCTTTGACTTGACTACAGGTTGAGCGACGGCCATGTTTACGGATGCTGTTCTCGACATGACTCCTCGAGGGTTGGGGGGTAGTGTTGACATTTGTATCTTATAGCTGCTACCTCCGTTCAAAGTAAGGTACCGTACCGGGACCCTGTGTGGAACTGCAAGCAATAGGCGGGGGTCCAAAGTAGTGTGAGTGTGTAGGTACACAACTCAGTTGTAGGTGTGGGTGACCGGGTGGGTGAGTGATGGTCCACAGAGCCGAGCAAAAGCGGGAAGAGAACCTGTCTTGGCGTGGACAAGGATCAAGGGTGTCTGGGCCTATAGGGACAAGAGAAGGGGTGGTCTCGTCAAGAGATCGCTTTTTTTTTCTTTCCACACAGAACACCTGCTAAGGGAAAATACCCGCAACGAGAATTGGCCGGGGGTCGAATAGTGGTGTTTATCTGAGGAGGGAAAATTTCGTCCTTTTTTGTTTTTATCGGTTCGGAATGACGGGCAAGCCCAGGTCAAAGTGGTTTTGAAAGTCAAAGATATTATGTTAATTAGGTCTTCTCGTCGAATGAATGACTGGATCCAAGCAAGTCCGGCTTGCCTTTCACTTTGGAATTGAGTAGTACTCTGTAATGAAGAACGGAATGGAGGGGAGGAAGAGGAGGGAAAAAGGACGGAGAGGGAGGAGGTCGTTGAAAGGGACAGGACGACTTCTTTGAATCTTCTACTCTGCTTCTCAAAATCTCAAAATCACAAGTCGGTCTTGGAGGTGTCAAACACTTATATCGTGGCCGCCTGCTCATCGGCCACGACCTACTTACACGCCTGCTGCTGCAATAGTCGCTGGTGGTGCTGCTGTACTGTGATGGTTGCTTCTATTTTTACCTCGTCAACAATTTGGGGTAATTCTTTTTTTACCCAGATATTGCGGGACTAATTAGCAACATACATGAAATACCATGTACGCACATGAAGGCTGCTGACTTCCCGAATGGGATGACCTGGACCGGCCATGCGCTTACACGTTCCAATGAGACGATAGCATTTAGTGGATCTCATTGAGAATCGAGTCACTCGACTCGGTGGAGGGGGGAAAGGGGGGGCCACAATGGCAACCAACCACCACTTCCAGCCCGACGATATGCATGTGCGTCCGTGTGTACAAAGGCCCTTGTATTCGTTGGTAACACCTCGCGGGACCCTCGCGGATGCAAGGACAGACAGGGTTCATCTGGCAGGGGGGCCGGGCAGCGAGCGAAGCTACTACCCAAGCATCCATGAATGGGGCCAGCTCTGCCTTGTTATTTCTATGGCACTTGTAAGTTGTGGCTTGACCAGGCCATGGACCGGCCGCCTTACACAGTTTGCGGTCAATGTAATCAATCACCAGACCATGACCGATGGGAAATGAGAGAGAGCGAGAAAGAAGGGGAAGATCATGAAGGACAAATTGAGAACGTTGGAAACAAGATCTGCACTAGGCAACTAGTTCATATTGATCCTAGCTCAACCGCCTCAGCAATAGTAGCTGGAAACATGGGATACTAGCAGTATGGGAGTCCATTATCATACTAACCAGAGTCTAGTACATGGTAGTAGTATTGGCAATGAGATACGGACGTAAGTTGTACCCGAAGTGATGTGCTCCAACATCGGGTTCGGTTGCGGGTGCATTCATTCACGATGTGACTTATCACGGCGGAATGGTTGTCGTTGAATATAATAAACTCTCGCTCTCAAACCAACGCTAGCCCAGCCAGCCACGAGTGCATAGTGAGAGAGAGGGAAAAACGTGATTGCTAAGGTTAGCTGCTACAGTACTGTGCTGCTGTCTCACTACCCTCGTGGCTCTCCTCGTGGACACAAAGGTTCCAAACCTTTTTTACAAGTTAAGTTTACCGGTCGGAATATTGGTCTCCATGTCACTGATTACGCCATTCCTGCAAGCAGCCATTCCTTTTTCTGTCTACCTCGTGTGAGGAGAGATCGTCGAAAAAAAGAAGAAAAGGCTTCACAATGCAGTGAACGCAAAAGAGGTGCCTGATAGTACTCATAAACACACACACACACACACACACATCGTTAAGATGCACGATAAGCCGAAAGGAAGCACGAGCCCCAACCCCACAAGCAAAAGGGCAAGTAAGCTAGCATCTCGATGGGTGTGGTTACTCTGCAGCCCATTTCCAGGGTCCCCCGGGGGGGCCATTGTGCAGCTACCCTTGCATCGATCATTACTTCTCATGCAGAACGAACAAAAAAACTGTTGATATTGGAAATGCCTTGTGCTGCAGGCAAGAATTCGCGGCCATTCGGTTTTTAACATGCGCGCAAGAACCCGGGGTACCGGGCCAATCACGGACTGCATCTTTCTATATCCGGATAACATTTCGTCGTATGCGGAAAACAACAGATGATGTGCCCAACGAAACGAAAGGAAGAAAATATGGCCTCACCTTTGGGGTCCGACGAAAACCCAAGACCCTCCGGCCTAGAGCATTGCGTGGAGATTATGAGAAATTTTTCCAACGGCCCCAGTGGTTCAAGAAGAACAGTTCATTAATTTTTTCATATTATGTAAAATGGGCCCCGTATCTTCGAGACAGCGTCGGACGCCAATCGATGTGAAAAACACGACTTTTGCCACGGGATTGGTTGTAATTCTAGCCAGTCGCCTCTTTGCTCTGGAAGTTTTCAATCCTGGCCGAGCTCCATAACGACTCCATTGCGGGCACTATGCCATGGGGGAGAGGAAGGAAGGGCAACAGGGCTCAAGTTGACGAATGCAGCTGAAGAGGGGCCCAGTATGGACGCATCAGGCTTGCCCTGTTTGGTCGGCCGATCGTAGACGATAGCAAATTCACAACTCGGTGCTGTACACTAATCGCTACTCTACTCTAGGCGAGTCCATGGTTCTTGTGCGACTGATGCTGATAGGAGGAAGTATTCCCGCCAGTCCGCTTCGAGGTGGTACGACCACGACCACGACGACGGCGTGCAAGGTATCAATGCCTCGGGCACGGCATAAGATAGGTAGTGAGTGATTGAGTGCTGACAGCCTGTAGAAAGGTACCTACACTACCACGACATTGTGAGCAACCGAGAACGAACCACGGGAAAACCACAGCAAAGATGGACAAGGGCCATGTGTGCACTACGTACAAATCCATCCATGGGGAGGGAGGGGGGCCATAGCATACCATAGTAGTACAATACAAAATTCCGCTCTCTCATACTCTGATTCGAAGGTGCCTTGATATTGAATACGCATTAGCGCCCGGGGCGGGACCAACCGAGTCTCTAGCATTGGTCTGCAGTATGTGAGGTATGTGATGAAGAGGGCGATGGAGCTCGGGATTGGTTGATGTCCGGCAGTAGGGGGGCCGGGGTATAGCAGCTAGTGGAGGGTAGCTTTGACCAATCTGCAGCCAGGAACGGCATCTTCTGGCTTATGTATACCTTGGTCATATCAAATCATGGTTGCTAGACCCCCAGGTGCCAAGACGCCGCTCCATTGGATCGCTCAAGTCCTTGCAGCTCTTTGCAGGGCTCTAAAAAACTTGGCTGCCTTTTTGTGCTTTTTTCTCTTTCTGGTGTAGTACAATCCCCAAAGAAAATTGAAATCCCCCCAAGGCACAGCGAGGCCATGCCATCCACCTTTCTCCTTTTGTACTAGGTGGCTGTTTTTTCCCGTGAGCTCAAGTTTTTTGCAATGGCAAGTTTGGCTGTGATTTTTAGCTGATGGAGAAAAGGCCTAGGGTCTTTTTTGTCGTTGCTGGGCTAATTTTGTCAATTAGCCCACGCAACTTTACCTTGGCAGCATGATAGACGATGCTGTCCTCAAACTATTGTTACCTGCATTACAAATACCCGGCGCTAAAGAATCACGCCGTCGAGTCGCAGCTATCCCCTTTTGTTGTGCTATTTTTGAATTTGCCCACAATATCTCTGGGCTAATTATGCCTCTTGGTGAATGCAATGTAACTCTCTCTGCATTCACTTCAATGTCTTTGGGGGCCCGCAGGGGAGGGAGGGAGGATCCGGAAAGATCCTCTTCCCCAGTGAGCCACTGCCAACAGCTGCTGCTCCTCCCCAGGGCTGCATATTTGACATTCTTGGCCATACTACATTGTTGGGCACGGACAAAATAGATGGCAGATCTTTCAAGTAAACATTGGCCGGTGAACCAGCGATATCAGCTTCATTTGCGTGGCTTAGAGACTGACGAGCGCCTGTCGTCGACTCACTGCAGCAGGCGGTTGACCGCAAGAACGGCTCGTGATCAAATTACCTGCAGAATTCAAAAATAGGCGTACAATTTTGTGGGCGTGTATGCTGAATTGCAGACCGACATGAAGAAAAAAAAGCCAAATTGACTCAATAACCTGGAAAAATCATCGTCATCCAACAAGCATGCCTGGACGTTTTGGCAAGGTCGTGACGTTCAGCCCCCGCCAGGGGAAATCCTTGTCCGAAGAAGACGGGCCGGCGACGCATTGATCAAAAGCTGCAAAATGCAAATCATCTTGAGTCTTTTTGGTCTTGACAGAAATCCCCATACACCGTCATGGCAAGCAAGCATGATGTATGTTGCTTCCTTGCCTGCTCCGCCTTCCATCCATCCCGGCTGTCAAACCCTCGCTCATCACAGGTGATAAGTGGAGACCGGTCCATTGTGATATTGCGGTGATATTGACCAAACCAAATATGTTCTGTAAAGAGACAGACCGTGTGGACCAAGATGGTGGCCTGGCAATTAGATACTACTGCACAACCGTAGATTGCGATCAATTGCACTCATCTCGGAACCAACCCGGAATCTGCAAGCACTTGGTGGAAATAAGAAAAGGAGCAAAACTTTATCTTGCTCGTTTCCCCGGGGTATGGTGTGGTATGGTTAGCACATGTCGTATTTGCATGATGCGGCAACAAATAATGGTGAGATCTGTCTAGGCCCTAACCCCAGACTCGATCACCCTCAGGGCAGCTCAATTCTGTGATCCTAGAGGTCAATTGACAATGGCAATTCACTTTTACCGTGCCCTTGGTGAGAGTCAACCATCCACAAGAGCTGCACTCTGTTAGCAAGTGGCGTATAGAGATCTCAAGAGCACAGGCTTCAATGGAAAGCCTTGAGAGCCTCATTGGACAATGGCCGCATTCGGCTAGGTTGCATGGCATGTGCTCAGAACCTCTTTGACGACCAATATGCTCGAGACAATGTGGTTTCTCTTTTCGCGAGAACGAGTTCCGAGGTAACTCAAGGAATTGCGGTCTCTTGGTGGGTGACACGAAGCTGGCTGGGAATAGTCCAAAAAAGCAAGCAGGGAATGTGAACAGGCGACCGAGTCAGTCACGAGCTACAACGGTGATGATCGTAATTGCCCCGTCGACGCCTTCGCAACGGTGCCGCATGGCATAACATCAGTCCACCACAGCAAGCAACGAGCTCGTCTAAATGATGCGCATAACTGTAGAGTCGGTCAATGCTGCTGCGGGCCTGTCCCAGCAAGACGGTAACTTGTAAGACATGACCGGCAGTCACGAGGCTTGTCTTTCTTTTTTTGCCTCTCCTACTTAGCAACATAACTCTGTATAGCAGGTCAATCCACTGTATAGAGAGAGCAATGCGGTGAGAAGTTATGTCGCTCATCCACTTGCTAACATCACCGGTGTAGGAAGATTTTCCCCATGTTGAACAATGTCAAAGTCATGGGTATTTCTTACCGGTTCAATAATAAGACTTCAACCCCCCGGCAGCGCAATTGCTGCTCTTCTGCAAGAGCGGGATCACACTGCAGACGACTCATGCACATACCTGGTCTGGCAGGGAGTTGTCTGCAAGCTACCCAGCATGGGGATATCGCAACACTCGTTTAAATCCATTCCGCCATTAATATGTTTGCTGAAAGTTTCTGCGAGTGCCTTTGTGAGAGCAGTTACACAAACGTACGTGGTTTTTTTGCGCACTGCAACTTTGGGGCCAGCCAGCAAATCCCAGCATCGCATGAAAAAGGAAGACGTTGCAATGCGTCGATATGGTTCATCTAAGATACTACACAGAGTCTCGGTTGCATGCTTTTGGTGGATGCAAAGCAGAAAGTGAACGTTGTGTCTTTCTTCTTCTTCTTCCACAAATTGCGGTATCGCATCGCATGGGCATTGCATTGTACCGTATCGTGCTGATTGCGCGGCGGCGATCCGCATGCCTCGTCACGTTGCTGAAAAGTATGTTAGATCATTGGCTGTTCCCGACATGATCCTTCTTGGTGCTCCGAGACCTCGTGACCTGAGCGAAGAGCGGTGATGAATAAGACGATGAAGGAGATTTGCGCGAAACGGGCACCAGTCGGGCCGCTGCCTAGTTGAGAAGGTTAAATTCTCCTAGCTGCGAACCTGATGACCCAATTTTGTATTTTAGCGGTCGGTCCGTACGGGGTCCAGGAGTTCGGGAAGGACAGTGCTCTGTCGGAGGTAGTATACTTTTTATTGTGTATCCATAGTTGGTGAAAATCCACTGGATATACTACAGTAAAAGGTTCTGACGATTGTCAGGCAGTTTGATGGGGAATGCGATACCGGAATTAGGCCTCATCGACCAGAAGCTATTCCCAATTCCCACAATGCCAAAACCTCGTGGAGCTGCTGGTGTAGCCAATCGCTGTTGAAAGCGGCAACATTGCACAAGGAGAGGGGTAGCAAGCCTGTATCCGCACTAAGTTGCTGTAGGCCGTTCCATGCATTAGTGCCTCCCACCCAATCTCACATAGGTCAAATTGACCCATCAGTTCAACCATTCCCCATCGTTCCTTCTACTCACACACATCGGCACCACCACCCAAAAGACCCTGCCGCCATTTAGTGTAAGGTAGTGTAATAGTAGTGTGTGTGTTGGTGGTTAGGTACCTGGAATCTAGCTAGCTAAGGTAGGCCCTGAGTACGTAGCACTTGGAAGTTGATCAAATCATCTTGCATCTGCCAATTCTGCAGTCAGCACAGCAAGTGGTCGGTCGGTTCGTCAGTAAGGTACCTCTGTCTTGTCCAACCCTCCAGACCACCCAAAGTAGGCAGGTGGGGACGGCACTACGCTCGACACTATTCCGTACTGTACCTACGATACGACGCGACTCGACCTCTCACTTTGTTCTGAGAGCAGATCCGGTCCATCCAACCCCAAATCAAGGGTCCTCGATTGGGCCCTCCATTGTACCGTTTCTCCAAGGCATCGTAGGATCCTCCCTCCTTCGCGTCGCTGTGATTTGCGCCATCGTTGCACCCGACAAGATCCGGTCGGCCTATCTTTCCCTGCCGGCAAAAGACCAAGAGAGCACCCCCATCCTCCAGCCCAATAACAACCCCCTGTCGGTCCATACAGCGCTCCTTTCAAAGTCAGATCAGAAAAAGTTTTTGCAGTGAAGGCCGGAATTTTTCCTGTCACGCGATTGGCGTCTTTGGCTGCTTACCGCGGTCTGGAATTAATCTGATAACTCCTCTCTCCATTCTTCCTGCTATCGTGGCGACGAATGGAGTCGTGAGGAGAGGCCACGGTCATGTCAGGTGTACATTTGCGCCACGTATATCTGGGTCGCATCATCCAGAGATGATAACGGGCTACGTATAACCAAGCAATAGTCAAATGGTATAGTAGAAAAGCATTATCAGCGCTTCATGGTGCGGCATGCATGACATTGAAATCGTTAACCGTCCGACCTGATCCAGGTTAGGAGGCCCGTTACGATATTCACTTGTCATGCAGCACGTTGAGCGACAACGACTATAGTTGCCAGCCAGGAAACTCGTCTGGGCTGGTCTGAATAGAAAGCCCAGACCAAGGACCAGTCAAGCCACGCACGAGAAAAGCACGGTAACCTGACATGGGTGCAAAATCATGTCGGCGCTTAAAAAACACTGTTGCTAGGTGTGGTGAGGTGCAACCGACCAACCACGGCCCTCGGCCTATATGTGCCCCATTTGCTTCTGTCCAACCAGCCTCTTCGTTCCAGGGGGCTTACCGCTCGGATTTCTCAGTGGTCATGGTCTGTTCTGCTGGAGGAATACTATTATTAGTGAGCATACTTACTCACTGTACTGTACACACGAGTGCCGGCCGATACACTGGCTACTCTTCATGCAGTAGTAAAAACGCACGCACGCACGCAGCAGTGACTGTGATATGCGAGCGAGGGGGGCCCCCCAAGGAAACAAATCAACTTGTGACAATACCCGACCTTTTCTCTGTCTGCACCCACTATCCACACTATCACAACCTCTCTCTCCATGCATGAAACACACTGCGGTGAACTCACTACCTATACTTTGATATCTCTTACATATACTGCCCGCAGCCGCCCGCGCTTGTTTCTCAAACCCCTCTTTCCTCTTTTCGCGACGTGAATCCTATTTTTCTTTTATACTACCGTCCTTTTCGTTTCATCCTCGGTATATTGTCTCCTAGTATCTCATATCCATCGGGGTTTAGAAATCGAGGCACGCCGGCAACGGCCAATTGCAAAAAATATTGCAGCTCTGGAAATCAGATTTCCTTACTACAGTAAAATGGTATGACAAAACGAACCAATTCTGAATATCATGGCTTCCAGTTTTGGAACGTGGCTTGGGCTATGTCTAACTAGAGAAAATTTACTAGTACGCACAATACTCGCACAGAATGGTCGAGAGGCCACAGCAAGAAATGCTGCAAAAGTCTCGTCCTCACGATTCTTTCTTTGGCATGAAGGGTCCGGAGCCTAGACCGAGCTCGATAGCCACGGAAATCGTAGACACGGATTGGGATGAAGATGATATCAATAGCGAGATTGAAGATGACGACCCGAACTCTCCCAGATTGAGTCTGAACTCGGTAGGTTTTTTCACATTTTTCGGTCTATATTAAGAGATCATGACACAGACTAACACAAATTTATAGTCGGGCCAGCAAAGTGTAACCACACTTTCCTCGTACGAGGAGGTACAGACGCCCAGGTCGAGTAGAGCGCGCACAGCATTTCCTTTCGAGTTTGACATCAAGCCGGTGGAGGGACCTAGAGGACCACATCTCTTTCGCATGTCCGCGACGTCGACAGAATCCTTCGAACTTCAGGATGCCCTATCTCTTTCGCCAATCACACCAAGGGCTCCCAAGCCTATTGAAACGGAATTCCGCTTTCACCTCGCCCAGGAGCAAATGCCTCCGCGATCAAGAAGCACCCCGTTCCAATTTTCGCATGAGAATCTCGATCAATACGATCTGCCAGAATGGTCACCAGAGATGGTTGCGCAGTGGATGCTCAATGCCGACGTTGAAGCCACAGTTGCGGAGAAGTTTATCGAAAATGATATCAATGGAGAAATTTTGATCACTCTCAAGTCTGAGGACATGAAGGAGCTTGGAATATCGTCTTTTGGCATGCGGACGGCGGTATGGAATCATATATGCGAGCTCATCAAGTCGAAGCCAGAGTCACCTCGACCAGAGACACCCATTGAGGACGAAGAATGCAAAGAGGTCAGGAGGGAACGAAGGAAGCTTGAGAGATGTGAAGATGATGTGCGGCCACGACGCGGCCACAGCAAGCGACGTCTCAACAAGCCGTCGCACGAAGATATCATCTCACCTCTCGAGTCGGTGTCAATCGTCGGAATTGAGCAGGTCATGCCGAAACCTCACAAGTGCTCCAAGGGCGAAAACTGCAAGACCTTTAGAAGGCAGCAGCGCATGATTGATCAGTTTATGAAGGAGCATCCATTTGCGGACACCAGCGGCGGGCGTATTCTGGTCGCAGGCGACCCTGGAAATGCCGCCACTGCACCGGCTCTGAACCGTCAACCCTCGACGGAGGCTCTGCGTCCCATGTCGGATGCGGTTCCTTCCGTTGTCGCTTCATCGGACGTGCTTGGACCTGGCGCAGGCATCGGACCTTTTCAATACCTGCAAGAGGCGACCCTGCGCAACGTGCAGCACAGAGATCCTCAGGACAATGTCCGGCAGTTTCTCGAATTCCAACAGGGCGCCTCCAACGCCAGTGAGGTGCCGCCAACGCCTCCCTTTGAGTTGTACCCGCAAACACAGGCTCCTCATGAGGGTCTGCGAAGTCTGCCTAAGCTGTCCATCCCCGGCAGACAGTCAAGTCAGACTCCTCAACAGCAACGACCATCCAACCTGCGCCAGTCGTGGGTGCCTTACGCAATGGATAAGGCCGAGGCGCTGTCGCCAGACCTCACTACCCCTGTGGCACCTTACCGGTTCGGCTCTCCCTTCTCTGAGATGGACGTCCCCGTAACCTCTGTTCCTCTTGGCCCGGTAGCACGTGATGCCTCTCAGTCAGTTCCCCCGGACATGAACTACCGAGCAGGTCCCACGGCGGTGCCAGTTCGCTCCATGTCGCGGGCATCCCGCCGGCCGTCTTTCCAGGTCATGGCTCCGCTGCAGGAGTATGCCGCTGCGTCGCCCACTTATCACAATGCTCCCACGTCGCCGGCATCAAAGCGATCCTCGCTACAGAGATCACCACCAAAGGCACCAGCTCAGAGGGGGCAGCAGAAGCCGCTCCAGGCACCGCCACGGGCACAATATCCCTGGTCCACCAACCAGCACGCCAATTTATTCGGTAGCCTGAATGGTGCAGTATCATCGCAACCACAGGCCAGCCAAGGTGACGAGGGCATCGCGTACCAAGGACCGGTGCGCAAGCGCAAGACCAAGATGCTCCGACACGAGTGGCACGACCATTACGCGACTCTCAAGGGGACTCGGCTGGCGATCCACCAGGACGCCGGGGCCCGGGACCGCACCCTCGAGTACGTCGACATTGACGACTACGCCATTGCGTGCTCGTCGCTGGCTTCGGGCAGCAAGCTCAACGCCGCCTTCAAGGCCATGAGCATCTCGCGTTCCTCCAACAAGGACGGCAAGGACGATCCCGTCGCCGCCTTTAGCTTCCAGCTGATCCCGCAGGGCCGGGAGGCCTTTGGCACCCGCCTCAAGAAGCGGGAGAGCGGCATTGCTGGTGCCTCTTCTGGTCCGCTATCTGCCGGCACCGAGGGCGCTGTCAATGGTACTGGCAAGACGCACCACTTTGCTGTCAAGAGCCGCGACGAGCGCATCGACTGGATGAGAGAGCTCATGCTCGCCAAGGCGCTGAGACAAAAGGGCGAGGGCTTCGAGGTCAGCGTCAATGGCAACATGATCTAAAATGACCAAGAAATGAAGTTGGAAAAAAAAAAAAAAGGCGAAGACAAAATGACACTTACCCAGACGTCTTGAATGACGTGTTCTGCAAAGATTCTTTTTCTTTGTGTTTTATATAGCTATTCACTGCCAGTGGACGGCAACGACAGTGACGATGATGTTGATACACTCTGGCAGCGATGCGGACTGATTTTTCTCCATGCATGCATGAGAGAGCCAGCAAACTTCTTTTGATACCACTTTGAGCAGATGGCATAATTTTGTTTTTGTTTTTTTCCGTTTTAGTTTTTGCTTTTCATCTAAATACCCCGACCGTCAGCGTTGGCAGCATTGGGACTCGCGATCATATATAGGAATACAATTACACTCCCTTCATATACCACGTTTTGCAAATCCGCCGTGACCAGTTCTGTTTCTCCATGGCCCACCATTATGAACTCCTCAAGATGATCTGATTTTATTATTGAAATGTTTCCGTTATTGATTTGAATTATAATGTCAGCTCGATTTTTTTTTTATCTGGCATCTTTTCCCATTCTTTTCATCTCCTGGGCGTTTGAACATCATAGGTAACCTACAGCATGAGTCACATCAGGATAACGACATGGCATACTCATTGCACCAGGCCATTTCCTTTTTGCAATCCCGACTCGAACCAGAAAAAAAAAAAAAAAACAATTGCTCACCTTGTGGTCCGGTGCGGCGCAAATTGGAACCTGGATAACTTGTTCAGCTTTCTCGGCACATTGCCGCCCAATAGACCCCCAACAGCGGACCAAGCCCTTGATTGGCGAGTAATGATGCAACTTCCTCGGCCAGTTGTAGTGCATTCAAAACTTTGCCCCAAGCAATAATCCGGAACCGAGAGATTAGGTTGGGACTGGTGTCGTGACGAGACGGGTCTGGGAGGGTCGTCTGTGTACGGAGTGGGCGGTAGTGGTACGTAGAGGCGAGTGTGTCAGGTCTACCATCTCGATTCCATGAACGTGGCCGCCCTTCTTCAGTCGTTTGATTTGCCATTATTTTATTTTATTTTTGGCAATGACTACCTAAATCATATTTCATGATTCAAAGGCATCGCCCATCTCCCGGGAAAAGGGCCAAGGAACTTCCAAGATCTTTTGACCATGGCATTCAAATTTTCTTTGCACATGCAAGTCTGGTTTTGAGCTCTTCAAATGCTTTAAGAATACAAAAATAGTACATATATTTTTTATATCACAAGAGGCTCTAGTCACGGATATGCGTCCGCCCATTTTTGCACGTAGTCTATCGTACATTCAGGCTGATTCCTCTGTACAACGCCCGTCTCTCTTTTGCCAAATTCTTTTCGGGGTTCCGATTTGATTATACCCTGAGTTCCCTCTTGGGCATGGCAATGTTGCTCACCTTCTCCCAGTCAATGCACTCCCACCAGTTCTCAACAAATTGCCTCTTTCCACCGTAACCACCAGCGCCGATGCCGTAGTCTCGGAGCCATACGTGCTCCCACGTGTTGAGGCAGAGGATCGGGGTCACATCGATACCGCCGGGTGCAACGTTCTTGCTCCACTGGGAGCCGTTGCTGGCGCCGGCACCGAGACCAGAACGGTCGAGGTACTCGGAAGCCAAGCCCGTCTTCTCGGACGAGGCGGGGCCTTCCATGGTGTTGGCGTCAACGGGCTGGCGGCGCCAGTGGGCGTCCGAGTAGGGCGAGCCGGCCAGGTAGGTGGTGAGGATGCGGTACGACTCGGCCTTGCGGACCTTGACGAGCCAGACGAAGCCCGGGCCGAACATGGAGTTGGCAATGGCGCTCATCTCGAGGCGCAGCGTCTCCATGGAGCTGAAGGACGCCTCGAGGGAGGTCTTGAGCTGAGCTGGTATCGGGTTCTGGGGCTCTTCGCCGGCTTCGCGCTGCTGGGTCGTGGGCTCCTCTTTGGCCTTTAGGGTGTCAAAGAAGAAGTGGTTGTTGTGCAACATGGAGGCATAGTTGAAAATGGGGGCTTGCGAGGGTTCGCGCGCTGTCCTGTTGATGATCTGCCTCGTGGGCGTCTGCTCGAGCTCGGTACCTGCGAGGTGTTAGGCGACTGAATTCTCTAGAGTAGGACCGGGAGTTAGACAGGAGAAACTCACCTGCAGTCAAGATATTGAGCTTCTCGGTTGCAAATTGCATATATTGTGTGTAGGCGAGGTTGAAGCCATCTTCGGACAGCAGACCGCGGATACCTTCGGTCGACGGCGAGCCGGCAATGGAAAGACCTGGCACGGTATGCAGATCGCGGCGGGCGAAGAACCGAGAGGCAGGGGCCTGGCGCTGCGTCGATGGCAGGCTCACTCGGGGTATCCGTAATCTCGGCTTGAACATTGTGTCTGTGTGGGTGGTTGTGGTGGGAGAATCGAAGGTTCGTCGTTCCACCTTCCTATAGCCTGGCCAGGAGCTCGAAGATGATGTCGCGCGAGGCGTCAACTTTTTTCAAAATGCTAGAGGCGCCGGCGACCCCTGCAAAACTGGCAGAGCGAATGGGAATGGATGGCGCTTGTCTGGATTGGGTCGACTAGCGGCGGAACCAAAACGGCAGAAGCTCGGGGGGTCTCAATGGGCTTGTAAGCCTGCAGCTGGTGGGTGACAGTAGTCACTAACTTTTCTGTTGGCATTTTTGATACAACTACATTCATACTTGCAACTATATATCAAACTCTAGGGAGACTCTTGTTATTATTACTTTTCGCTCTAGCTTTATTATGAAATGAGACACCAACTGATTGCAAAATAGCAACACATGAACTTTAAGAATGAGGACGCAAATGGTAAAGCCATGCATAAGTCTTTCTATCCATGCTTAATCCTGTATCTTCATGTAAAACTATCCACCACATATTATACGCTCTGATCATGCCACCAATTATTTGTTATCCAGCGACAGCATATCCCCTCTTCTAAATGGCGTTCGAACGCACATGAGTCTGAGTGACTGGGTCTTCTCCCGATATTGCCCACCAAGCAGTGAACAATACCTTCCAAGAGCCCCATAGTCGTTTGGCGCAATCAGGGTTGTTTAAAGAACTCCCACGCAGTTGAGGATATCGCAAACGCCAATGGCAACCATGACAACGACTCGGATGCAAGAGGCAGCAGCAGTGAAAACTGCCCGGCGTCGAGAATCTCGCTGCTTCGCCATTTCCATTGAGCGCAATTGGCTTTTGATATGTGTCTATGGGTACTTTCTGAAGCCTCAAATTAGCTACCGGTCATTGGGTTCATGAGAAACCTTTGTACTAACAGACTTATGATGCGACGATATTCGCATAAGAAACGTATACCGTGGCTTGGGTGTTTGCTTTTAGTCGTTGGAATCAATCCTAAGCTCAGAGGCAGCCATAAGGCGGTCTTTATTTCTCTGACAAGAAACTCTGGACTATATATACAAAAAGTCCAGCGATCAGATGAAAGACTTCTGCCCTTCAACGCCTGGAGTACTTCACAAGCTTTTTCTGGAAGTGCGAAAAGCGTCCATTGGTCAAGGGTAATATGTGCTCGGAGGGGGTAAAAAGAGGGACGGACCATCACCAAAAATCATTTGCATCCTGGTTCGCCGCTGAGAGCGAAGGACTATAAAATTTGGCTATCCTAGCAGAACATGGGACGAGTCCTCTATGGAGCACGGGGTCCATGGAAGCGTATCTCAGTCCAGAAGTGGGTAAAATGGTCTGATATATGGGGATCCTCCCATAGTCTTTTGGGAATACCTATGCCGCACCGTGTTACACATTGTTGGTTCGAATCGCCATAGTCCGCACTGCGCAACTCAGTTGCGTGAAAGAAAGAACCTTGATACGCGTACAGTGCACCCATTAGACTTGTGTTTTGACTTTCAGGTATTATTGTGAGTGCGATTCGCACTCATTGGCCGGCTAGACATCGATAGATGTAGAAGAATGCAGTTTTAAGGGTTATACATGTAGCTGATAATACTTGGTTCAGTGTGGCTTAGCAGAACGTAGCAAATATGGCAACGTCCTCATATAGGAGAATGAGGGATAGTGGAGGCTGACTTGCAAGATGTCATCCTGCAGAGTACAGGCAGGTAGACAATCTACCTTGTGAGGTGCGAGCCCAGCTGAGTACGAAAAGCGCAACGATTCTACTGGCCCAATGGAGAGCGTGGCTCTCTGATACGCCCGGTCCTGTCGACCCAGCCGAATGCAAGTGCGCCGCACTCTCATTGGCGCCCACGCTGACCACTTCCCCTTGTGAGCATGCTTGTGGGAAAGCAGGCTATGCCAACCTGATGGGTGGTCCCCATTGCGAAGTGCGCGACGTTCTTATTCGTCGCCTGTCGGGCCAGTCCAATTACTTAAAGGTAGGTCGACAGTCAACTTGCTTGCCTGTCTTCACATTTATTCTTCATTGCTTCATTTCCAGCTGCGAAAAAGGATGGGCGCGACAGCTTTTCGATAGACGGTCTTGATTTTGACGATTTTCTTTTTTTGTCGAAGTAGGTAGTCATATCCCAGAACCATAGGTCAACATGCATTCCACGGAACGGACAGCACATTCAGGCAGCCTTCGGTCCATTGCGCCCAAAACTCCGAGGGCCATCGACAATGTCCAATCGTCATCGAAGCTGTTCCAGAGGCCGCCTCGGAAACTCGACAAGGAAAAATGCGACAATTGTCGCCAGGCGAAGCAAAAAGTGAGTATTCCTCAAAGTCACATGTTGCCAAGACTTACACCCTACACAGTGCATCGAGAAGGGGCCAGGTTGCCAGAGATGTTTCAAGAAGGGATTGACATGCTCTGGTCGCTACAAAGCTAGCAACAATTCGCCGACGTCGTCGACAGTAGCTTCCCATGATGATATCGTTCATGTCTCGCCTGGAAGTCGCTCCGAATGGCAAGAAGCCACTTCTGATGAGGAGTTATTCTCCACGCCGGATTCTGACGCGGGGTTTCAACAATGCCCGCCTGTTCAATCCCATACGTCAAAGGTCGAGGACTTCACCGGAGAAGATATCGATCAGGATGTCAAGGATGCGTTGGACGAGCTCCGCGGTCTCAATATTGGTCTTGACATGGCAGACACTTTAGACGATGAGCAAGGTACATGAAGAAGGGGCCTAATCAGCAAGGCAGCTACAAAAAACAAGTTGCTAATTCATTCATAGAGGTTGAATCGTTTGCTCCTGAAATAGGTGTGACACATACAACTAACTCGGCTCAACCCTTGCCTCCATGCGACTGGGATGAGCTTTACGAGGCGTTCATTGCAAAGTATGGATACCCGCCATCCAAGAGACCAGATTTTATGGGCTACTTAAGGAGGCTACGATCATCAGATTCTGGCCTTGTAGAGTGTCCTTCCTGTCGCATGAACAAAGATGGAGAGTTCAAAATCGCAGAGATTAAGAATCACTTTCGATACCATCATGTCGGAGATATCGCATATGCCGACAACGACAACATGAAGCCAAAAGTATGGGCAATTGTCCGCAACTTGGCAGCAGGATTCGAAGCGGGGCAGATAATCGTCTCTTTACGAGACACCTGCGAGGCGAAACGGGAGGAATATTTCAGACGACAAACCGTACATGTCAAACCTAAGCCAAACCTGCCGAGCGTGCTTCTTCTCTTGTCCCAACTTCGAATAGTTTGCAATGGGCAACTTGTGTGTATCAGTCCCAGGTGCAGTCTCGAGCCCTTTGAGCCATCGTGGGATGCCCTAAGAGAACACTATGAGAGCAGTCATGCAAATGACATCATAGAAACTGATCCATCCCGAGTTATCGATGTTGAGGATCATCTCAAAAAGCACGAGTATAGCATTGCTCGTAAACTTGAGAAAGCTGAATCCATCCGCGTGGCATGGAATCGGAAGGGATGGACTTGGATGGATCGGAATTGGATTAATGTTGATACTTCAGAGCCGATGGCTGACTTGGAGCGCATAGCCTTTGAAGCTTCTACCTACCGTCGCATACCACAAACGCGGCAATGGAGACTGGTCAAAGACCTGAATAGGCTGTTTCGCACACGATACAAACAATTCGTCTTAGACACAGCACGGTCATCATCCGCAGAGCTCGGTGTGTTTGCCGATGATCTTGGCAGCACACTTCCAAGCGCAAAACGTCTACGCCGTCTGGCAACAAAAACATTTGAGAAGGTTCTGCGTGGAATGATCCCCAATACATTTCTTGAGATGCTCGCTTTCGGGATGCTGTCCGAGTCTATGACCACAGTCATGCGACAGCAGGGCGTACCGTCTCTCGGCGGCCCAACTTTGGCGGACCATCTTGCGTGGGCAAACTGCATCCAGAACCAGCGGGAAAGACCATCATACGATTTGTTCGCCTGTTGGCTCAAGGATAATTTCTCCATGAATTCTAACGGCTCACCTTATACAGCAGCCACTTGGAGCGCAGAGCATGACATTTCGATACATGAGAATATGAAAAGGCACGTTTTGAACCTCATGGGAGCAAGACGTTCTGATTATTCGTTCAATTTCTCAGCATTCCTCAAGCTTGATATCTTCGCAGACAGAACTACGGGAAAGAAGGCGCCCGAGACAGTGGGTAAGGGTGGCGAAGTGACAGCTACGCCACAGAAAATCAACGCCCAGGAAACGCCCAAACCAAATGTCAATGTCAAGCACCAGCTTATGACTCTCCGAAGCAATGTCATCTTCGTCCGAGTTTATCTGTTCATGATATGTGAGCCTACCTTCCCAATATTCGTCTAATAAGCTAGATCACAAGAGCGGAGCACTTACAATTATGGAAAACAGATATCACAGATCAGGGAGTACTTCTCATATACTTGGGAAACCAAGAACGACAATGTCGTGTGTTCTCCTCCGGCAATCATACCGCCACGGCATACAGTATACTGCGGACAACCGAGGAGATGAAGATAAATATAACCGATCCACTCCTCAGGGATGCACAACAGTGGGATCGCTGCGCAAGCAAGATCTTCAAAGCGGCAGAAACGATGCTTGACTTTGGTCAAGTTTGGCGCCTCGAAGAACTTCATCGTCAAATGGTATTAGAAGTGGAAGTAGGTACTGCCCTGGCGTTCATTGCTTCCGTCATTATAATCTGTCTATAGAACATGACTTGATTGCTAACGACACTTTCAGCGTTCTGTCGAGGAGTCGACACTCCGGCGCTTTCTGTTAAACAGAATCAGTCAGCAGTGTTTCGCCGCCTGTGGCTTGATCAAGCCGGCATGCGAGAATTACAACACATGCTCAGTTTGTCAATGCACGACTTCGATTAGTTGATGGGTGCATTGAGGAAACATGGGAATCTCTGTGTACGATACATCGTGTTTTTACTTTTTTCCCTTGATCAGTGTTGATCAACATGATGTCTTCCTATTGAAACTTGCACTAGTCTAATTTGATTATCATTTGGGTGATGTATTGATCTATATTGCCCGACGTCTTGAATATTGGCGAGGTGCAGGCATATTTGGGTGACACCGACTAAAGTCCGGGAGCTCCGTACATGTAATTGGTTACCGAGGTGTTGATCAGTCTACTATAGCGTACCCAGGTGCACTCTTGTGATTTCTCATGCACTATTGACAGATTGTTTAAAACAGTGCTGCAGTAACCGTCAATGCCAATGCCAGAAATGCCATGTTTGCCGTCTCCATCCTGATGGCGGGGGATCCACTCTTGGTATCGGCTGTTGTGATGTTGTACAGGCTCAGCTTCAGCGCTCCTCCGCAGGCGTCCGTCTGGTTGCCATCGCAAGGAGTATTGCATTCAGCATCAGCCAATTGGACACTCAGTCTGCTCAGTTCTGTACAAGTTTCTCAATCAGCATGCCATTTATTATCGTTGCGAAGAAGAAAAGAAATGAAACAAAACCATCCCAACGTACTATTGGCACACCAGCATTCCCGGCTATACTCGAGCCCAGCGTAGTTGTAGGGCGTGCTTTGGTTGTTGGCACAAAAGTCGAGACATATCTCGACCGTCATGGTGTCTGGCTGCGCCAGAGAGATATCCGGCAGGGCGCGCGCCCCCGTCGACTGTGCAATGCCCGTCGTCTCATTCCAGCATCCCACGTAGTGGTACGTCGTCGACGAGTTGTAAATCTGAAGCTCGGATGTCTCGTTGGTTCCTTGGGCGTGGGCCAAGACTGCCAAAAGGCAGGCAAGTACGAGACTTGGCAGCCGGCTGCCTTTTAATCCCAAGCGAACCATGATTTTGTAGATGAAATGTTTGGAGACGGCTCAAGTTTCCAAAGTGATAGCTGAATTCTTTCCAATGTGATGTTGGCGTCTATGCTGAATTTTCACACAAATTCTGGCAGCTAGGCACTCTGCACTCACTTCAAACTTGACTCTTCTTATGTGGTTGTGTCTCGAGGCTGTCGCTTATTATGTAGATGGGAATGGATCGCAACATCAAAAAGGCATTTTTATTTGCGCAGTGCCAGCCTCTTTATTAGTTTCATTTTCTTCCCATCTGTTTGAGCCGAGAACTACAGGCCCGGAATAGCACCGCACAGCTCCTCCCTTGGGATTGCGGGCTGGCGAGAGAGCTCGAGATTGGTCTGTCAGCAAACAATATTACAACCTCCCTGACATGGCAAGACTTTTTCTTCCTTTCTCGCCCTGCGATCTAGACCCCCAAAACCTATTTATATGGGGATGAAATGATAACGGTCTCGATTTCAGCAAGGGGGGGTATGGGTGGTACCTAGCCAGCTGAAAAAGTCTTGACTGCACAAGATACCCAAATGCAGCACCTACATTAGTCGCCGCTGGCATGTCAATCAATGCTTGGCTTCTGGCCCTCCAGCCTGGACTTTTTTTACAGCTGCATCTGCAGTAATCAATAGAACGGCGCAGAAGGGCCTGCAGCGCCCGTGTCTCCCGTAGCGCATGTACACCCTTGTAGGACGGGAAAGAGGTTTAGCGAGCTGCTGTTTCGGCCAACGGCGAAACTCGGGCGGAACGCTGCTACCGAGAAAATCAATCATGATAAAAGAAGGGTCAAGAAACTCTGCAGACTGCAGAGAAATTTCGTGGCTGGCAATCTTGAATATATACTTATCTGGGTTCAAGATTAGAGACAGCGGGGAATCTACAGTATTATAATGCTCACTGGCATTCCACTTATACTCCACTTTAGAGTTTCTGGGTTGTGCAATGAGCCTCTTCCAAGGTGATTATCGGCAGTGAGTCACCCGGTAAAAACCCCGCTCAATAACTCTAACAATAGTGTTAAATCGGCAAGTTGTAGCTGTCGCACTATTTTGTTTGCCTGATATTGGCTCATGCGACGGAAGTTGCAAGGCAGAGAATATCAGAACAAAGATTATGCTTTGATCTTGTATATCAGGCGCAACATCTAAAGTTCAGATCAACTGATCACATTGGCTTGGTTGGTAGCCGCCGGCGATCTCGAACCAATTGAATATTGCTTGCGCGTAGGGGTTCGATTCCTCTTCAGGCCCATATACTTTTACTTTTTGTTGCTTTTTATTCTCTACCATTTTCCCTTTTAGAATAATTTTTTTTTTAATTCGGCAGTTATTGCTATCCTTTTTGGAATCTTGAGCCCTCCAGATCTACCAACTCGATGTCTCCGTTACTTCAAGGTATAAAAAAAATATAGCCAACCAGACTCCATGGTAGGTTACCTCGACACAGACACCGGCGTATATGCATGACTCGCATGATATGATTCATGTACAACCACAAAGTAGCAGGTGTTGCTTACATTCAATGGCTTAGTTGGTAGCCGCCGGCATTTCAACTTTGAATAATGCGTGCGCGTGAGGGTTCGATTCCTTCGTAGGCCCAAGAAATTATTTCTTCTTTCCCCAGGGTGCCTTTTTTGCTGTTTTATGGTCACAAAAGACTATACAGCTGGACTTGTGCCTGGATAAATGATGGGTTTTGTAACAGACAGTCCCCGGGCATGTGCCCAGTACAGAATTCTTGATATACGACAGCAAAATAAAGACAAGAATATATTAATGTCACCGGCCTTTGGCTACCTAGTCATAACGCCTTCACAGAGAAGGAAAATGGGACCCGCAATCACTTAAAAGCGTATTGCACCCCTTCAGTACGAGCACTTGAGCCAAGTATCATACTCATACCTTTGAATCCAATGAGACTTCATGTAATAACAATGCACTACGTTACATTATTACTGTCTCTGCTCAATGAATGCTTGAGCCTCTGAACCGGAATTAGCAACGGCGTCGTCCCTCATGTAATCAAGTGACTACTTACGTGTGTAGCGATCCATTTGCTTACTGAGTTCATTCTTGAAGTCAGAAACAATCTCAACGACATCTTCGAGATACGCAACTCCAAGTTTCTCGTCCTTTGAGGCTGCAAGACCGACGGCAGATGTAATGACGTTGCGAATCTGGCGCCCATCGAACCCCTTTTTCGGTAATTTCTTCTCGCACCAATTGTTGATATCGTTCCATTCCTCCATGTTCACCATGTCATTCTTCTTGTACTGCTTCAAAAACATTTTGAAGATGTCAGCAGTTTGTTTTGGCGTGAGTGACTCGTATTTGAATGCAATGTTGATCCGAGATTGGACAGCAACATCGAATTGGGCAATCTGGTTCGTGGTGAGGATCATGATACCTCGGTAATACTCGAGGACTCGTAGAAACACTGGAGTAAGAATGAGAGTCAACTCCTTAGGTGTGGAAGTCTTAAACAGTATCTACCTGACACCAGTGCATTTCGTTCTGTAGTTGCTCCAACCTGTCCAGAACCTCTGCTTTGTAGGAAGACATCGGCTTCATCACTGCAAACATAAAAATCAGCGACACAATCAGGGTTTTTTATCTTGTTGATTTGCACCAGGAAAGCTCGTTATAACTTACATCAGTAAGATCGCTTTCCATGTCTGCGCAAGATCAAAAATCCTCTCGAGGTTGGGCTCCACATATCTCGCCGACGTACCAACGTCGGCAACGCCAATGGAGAGCAACGGTTTGCGAGTCGCGATCGCAATAGTCTCAGCTTTTTAGGCGTTAGAATGGGTATTGGAGAGCTGAGGGATGGACGTTACCTGTGGATGTTTTACCAACACCAGGAGGGCCTGTACGTATCAGTAGAGCTCTCCCTTCCGCAGTCAATATGGAGACATACCATATAGAAGTATGATCAAACCTTTGCCCTTACCGGGCACAATATCCTCCAGCTGATAGAGATTGTCACTATATGCTGCGTAGTGGCTCTTGACAAGCCCCATGAGGACAGCCTTCCGGTCCAATACGGGGTCTTCAGGCAGCACCAATCTGTCGTTGAACGCGGTGTGTGAGCCATCCACGTCAATGTCCTCGATGCCATCAACAAGAAACTGTGCCCACATCTTCTCCTGGAGTATATACCCCATGACGCGGGCAGAGCATAGCATGAACTGCTCGTCTTCCCAGTCGTATTCTGGTGCACCAGGGATACGATCATATCTGGTTCAGAGAGCTTTCTGGAGGTTATCATTGCGCAAGCATAATTTGCAGCGGCACTCTGACGTGTCATCATTGAGTGCAGCCGTGCCCACACATTGCCCAACTTGAGCATACTTGTAGTGAGAGGCGAAATCTACCATCACCAGCTCAATTGAACCCTAGGCGCCAATCAGCTTCTTTGATTCTTCATTCACTTCTGCTGATTCTGTTTTCTTCCTCTTTTGTTTCTTTTCAAAATCAGCAGCCCAACATCCGCCGCGCGACTCACATGATAACCAATATTCTTCAAAAAGGGTCCTCGCATTTGAGGTTGCATCGTCGGAAACGTAGAGCCTGGATAAGCAGTGCCCCCATCATCGTCCTGTTAAAGTTAACGATTCGTCCTAACCATGCCAAATGATTTACTTGCCCTTTCTGTGACGAATCCGAATCCTTTTCTGTCAATCATCGCCTGGCCTTGATATCTGAACATACCACTGCCGAATGAATCATAACATATTCTTCGAAACTTTTTACCTCTCTCTATTAGCTTTCCCTTCATTTCCTCCTTGTTTGGGACATATTTCCAAGGATATATCGGCAGTGCTGATATGGGTTTCGTTTCATCGAACCTATCGATTGAGAAGGTGATCAAGTAACGATCAAAGGAAATCCCATCCCAATCATATATAAGACATCTCAGTAGCCAATGATTTGAGCCAGGCGTCCCGTACGATGGAGGTCGGCTATCCAGCACCAGAAGCACTTGGTCCTGATCCAGAATTGTTTTTGAATATACCAAGGTCCCGGGAGGAAAGATTGTCCACAATGCCTCAAATGTGATACTATCGGCGAAGACTAGGTCTCTTCGGGCCTGCATATATCGATCGAGGTTGGCGTCTCCAGACCATTCGCTGAGTTGCGACAGAAGGTCCCGGAGATCTGATCGTGCGGTTTGGTCCTCTTCAGTGCCCCCTTCTTTCTGCGTCTCTGATTCGAGCGCATCCCAATGGTGTATGATCTGATAGAATGGAGATATCAGTTTCAACGTCCCTTCGGATAATGGATGCAGAGTGTATGATTTGACAACTGTCCGAAGCAAGCTCCCCAATTCGGGTGACATGATTGTCAGCTCCGAAGAAGAAACTTCTCCGTTTCCTGGGGGGAGTTTGCACAGGATAAATGATTTCGGAGTCACCCCTGCTCGCTGTTTGTCGACGTTTCTCTTCTCAAGATGTTTCTTGTAGTTGAAGTTTCTTTCCCTTATGGTTCCAGTTCGGATATCCCTTGTCTGGATGACCACTTGGTATCTGGCATTTTCATCTGCACAATCTGAACAGCCCTCTTCCTCGTCCTCCGTCCCCTCACTGTACAATGGCTGCATATCACTGTACATCGGCCGATCACCTTGTTCAATTCTCTGATCTCGACGTTGGATAGGGGGAGCGTCTACCAAATCGATTTAGTCTCTGCTGATAAACACCCGTACTCATTAGTCTGCTTACTGGCGAATGGTCTTGGTGGGATCGGCGGCCGAGGCCCCCATTGAGAGCTCTGCATTCTTCTGGGCAATGCATGCATTGTAACACATCCATATGTAGCGCAGCTATATTCCGACTTGGACGTTGACACTGTGTGCGCAGCCTCGATATAGAGCAGTTCTGAGACCTGAATGTAGAAGTGACAAGCAATGAAGTAGATGAGAAAGTTTCGAGGGCGGTGTTAATCTGCTCTGATTTTATGGCTTTACAGGAAGTTACCACAAGGTGTAAGTGACGAAGGTGCACTGCTAGGAAGGCCACCTATCTAAGAATTTGTTTGCATTGCACAAGGGCGCCTACGGTCATGTATAAAGCCGCAAGTTATGCCTGATCGAATTAATGCCGTGTGACTACAATGGCGTGGTGGCAGAGTCTTTGGCCAATACATATATTACAATGGGCACAACGATTAGTATCAAGCTAATGTAATGCAGGGAGGAATTCAAAGGCAATATGCGGTATTACATGCCCTCATACAAAACGCGTCTCACAACAGAGGTGTATATAGGTAACCAAGGAGATGGCATCGCCACTGGTCAAAGTCCAGTACTCCCGCGGGGATGCAGGCAGGCGCGCCACCAAGCACAGCCTCGTGAAGAGGTAATTTGTGCTTCGCTTGTCCGTTATAGATTTGGTGGCCATATCTACCCCGACCCTTGTGTGCGTTTAGTCTATTTCGGCTCCCTGGATTGTACCATCGGTAGTCATCAAAATGGATAATCTCCTAGATTCGTGGCCAAAGGAGGTAGGTCTGCAGAAAACAGATCTTGATTCACGGGAGTTGTAAGTGCCTTGATATACGATCATGTATATGAGCATTAGCTAACTTCAGAGGTTTTACAGCATCCAACTGGTTGAGATCGAAGAGAAGCAGAAGTGCTTTCATGCCTGGCTGGAAAGAAGGCAACTTGCACTGGAGGAAAGACAAGCTCTACATTGTCGCAACTATGGCGAGTTTGCTGCCTATTGGTCGGAAGTCAGCGAAGGTGCTCAGTCAAGCTTTTCCCTAAGACATGAAAAAGGGTGGCGCAAATGGACCAAGACGTGTCAAAGCTATGCGATCGAAATTCATGACCTCATGATGAACATCAAGCCACTACTTGACATTGTCAGTTCCCTTGGAGCACCATACAGTGGAGCTGCTATTGGAACGCTGACAGGACTATTCGCGGTATGTATCGATGAGCATTCGCGTTTGATTGATCAAATTGCTCAGTTGCTAATCTGGCATGCATAGATAGCTGTAACGAAAACCGAGCTGGACAGCACCGTTTGCTCTGCCATCACAGGCATTAGAGACAGACTTCCCGGCTTTCAGATGTATGAAAAAATCTATCAGCACAACTCTGATCTCAAAAAGAAGATTGCCCTGTCCTATATTCGTTTCATTGAACTTTCAATGTCCATCACAAAGTACTGCTTGCGATCAGGTTCATGTAAGCTCTATTGAGCAAACGTGAGTTGGGAAATTTACTGATACAATCAGATCGATGGGCTATTGCGCTCTTTGATCCCACCAAGTTCATGGACCAGATGAACCTAGCAAATGAAGCCGTGATGCAGGTTCGACTCAAATGTGAGGAGCTACTCAACGAGAGAGTGTATGATCTGGATAAGCATATCAAATCCCTCAAGACTGAAACCCTGGATCTGAAGACTGAGATTAGAGGTAAGCCGGCGAGCTATCCCTACACCCAAACTCTACTAACAAAACCCAGGGCTGCGAGACTCGGCGAATAGTACGTAAGGACAACTGACAAAACTCTCCAAACTTACTGATTTGTCTACAGGAGTCCAAAAGGAGAAGCACACAGAAGTCTTACTCAGCCTCAAAGCAGATTTAGGAATTCAAACCTTTGACTTTCAGCTTCAACGCCAAGAGCTCGACAAGTATCACAAGGGGTTGCTCAACGAGAGCAGAGAAGAAGGCCACTTCTTCCAACAAATGTCCGCCCACCGAATCAAAGAGCTGCAAGAAACCCGCGCTTTCGTGTCGTGGTCCACAGACGACACGTCCAGCGTCTTGTTCCTGCAGGGGCAAAACAGTCCGGAAATCGGCTATCACAAGAGCAGTAGCTGGATTTCACCCTTTGCGGTGGATCAAGTGATGCAGTTGCAAAAGACTGATCCCGGTGATCCCTTTGGTTACTGCATGTTGCCCGAGGATTCATCTGGCATTCATTCCGTGCTTCCCAGAATTCTATTCCACTTGCTAAATCACCGTCTCTGCGACCTGGGACCGTCCGAGAATCGCTCAAAGCTCCAGCACGAAATAAAAATGTACGCGGCCTGTCATCTAGACAAGCAAACGTCAGAGCGTCGCAGGGCCCCGAGCAGCGAGGGCGACAAAGATGATGAACCGACGGCCATACTGCAGCGGGTGGCTCTCGCCGTCCTTGCGCTATACCCAGCGCATCAGCCTGTCCGCATCGTCCTCGATCGTATCGACAGGTGTCCCAAGGACGAGCAGTACGATTTGATGGATCTGCTGGGGTCGCTGATTCAAAAAGCTGCCTGTAATTTAAAGATTCTTTGTGTGGCTGACTCTGCCGCTTGGAGTGTATCCAAAGCAACATATGGCCGAACGTTTGGTGGTAGAGTGCACCTGGTGGAACTACAACAGAAGCTTCTGACAATGGGAGGTGAGACTGATTATTGAATCAGCAAACCGGGATAGGCGTTGTGTTGTCAGACTTTCACACTCGGTATTGCGTAGTATGCTTTGGGTAAAGAGTATTGATGGTTTCTTTTGGGGGAGCTTTTATCTATAATCCTTGGGCAAGGTTCTATGCTTTCTATACAATGGTATCTCGACTCGTAATCATGACAAGGTTTTGTTTATACACGCCTGCATCGGCTCTCCAAATACTTGGGAAATTCACGTGTGGCGCCCATCTCTGGCGCCCCAACTGCCTACCAGGGCCATTGCCTTTTCATCGCCATTGGCAAGTCGCTCATCTTGCAAGGCATCAGAAAGGCATCTCCACGGATCACGACTGCCGCCCCATTTCAGGAGATTCTCCTTGAGCCTCTCGCCATTGGCGCGATCAAGAGCGCCGCCATTCTGGCCGCCGGAAAAGACAACCTGCCAGACGCGTTCCGACAATGTCTGGTCGAATAGGTAGCTGTAATATGTGCTGCCGTACCCGAAGAGATGACCGAAAAAGCCCTGCCACCTTGTGCCGGGCGCATCTGGTGGTAATCTCCCATGATCATGCTGGAGTTGGTGGTAGATGGCCGTGGAGTCAAAGCCCGGTTGTGATGGTTTTGACGAGTGCAACTCTTGGTCCAGCATTGCTAAAACAATCTGAGTCTCTCGCTCCGACGCCTCGAACCGCTTCCAAATGCCCAGTTTATCTGCAACAAGTCCATAGGGGAGCTTTTGGTCTGTTTTATAATGTCTAGCAAAGAGGGATAGAACTGTAGGATCGGCGCAAAAGTGCTCCATTAGCGTCGACGGCAGCTCGGCGAAATCCGTCGCACATCTGGTGCCCGCCACATTCTGCATTGAAGTTCTCGCCAGCACCGAGTGGATCGCGTGGCCCATCTCGTGGAATAGAGTCTCCATCTGATAGTAATCCAAAAGAGCCGGCGAGTTCTTTGCGTCTCTTTCATGATGGAAATCGCAGACCAGAGCAATTGTTGGTAACTGCTTGATGGTGCCAGACTGTTGCGAGACGTGCATGCCATCATTGGCTGCATCGATAGCCTCTTCCATAGTCGTGGCGCCGGTTGCGTGTGCTGCCTCTTGTAGCTCTTGGTTGGAAATTTCTCTCGAGCAGCGAACAGTGAAGTGCGCCGGATTAGGCGACTTGTCGCTGCGGTAGAACAAGTCGACATATAATACGGCAACATGGCCATCAGTATCCGACACCACATCTAACCGCCTTACATCTGGGTGCCAAGTCTCTCCAGGCAGAACATCGCGGGGAACCAGTCTGATGCCGTAGAGTCGAGAGAATAGTCTCGACAAGCCTTGCATCACAGTGCCTAGTGAGAAGAAGGAAGACAAGATATCGCTCTCTCGTTTGCGCGACCTTATAGTCTTGCGAATCGTTTCCATGTAATAATCCTTGTCCCATGGTTGCAGGTCCCCAGGACTAGACGTGTGCGGATTTTCTTGCTTCGCTTTCAAAAGAGCTGCAACCTCTTCTTCCACAAAACGCGCATTGTGTTTCGACAGAGCCTGAAGGAACTGGTGCACAGACTCTGGCGACTTGGCCATCATTCTGTCCCTCAGAGCCATTTGACCATAACTCTGGAATCCAGATAGCTCAGCTAGCTCAGCACGTAATCTCAACAATGTCTCTAGACATTCAATGGACTGCGTCGAAGCTGTTCGTGTGGCGTGATATATTCTCTTCCTCGTGTCTTCATCCATGACGCTCCTCAATGCAACAGTCGCTTCCGGCGACATGGTGGGCAGATGGACTCTTCCAAAACTTGAGTATTTCCGCGCCAGCCTCGGATCCATTCCCTGGAATTTGCTGCTGGGCAAGGATATTTGATGTGTTTCAGGAGACATGCGATCAACAAAGGCGGAGCCCAGTTCGCTGATATCCTGAGAAAGAGACACAAATCTATCCCGGGATTCTTTTGGGAGATGAATGGCCGACTTGAGAAAGTCTTGCCTCAGTAGGATCGCTACCGTCTCCTCTTCCTCGGACCAGCTCGAGCGCACTTCTGGCATTGCCAAGGCCGTACCCAGCTGATCGCATAGTCCCGTTGTCGTGTTGAGCTCGTTCATATACTGATATACGAGCGCCCATGCCTGCGAAGCTGCGGCCTGTATTTTGGGGTCGGGATGAGTTACCCTGACAAAATCGGACACATCCAAGACTCTACAAAGCAGATCGCTGAGCCTATCCAAGTCCCGAACTATGGCCTTGTACTCTTCCACGGACGAAGCCTTGAGCACCGTGTGGACGAGCTTATGTGCTTTTTCCAGATTGTCTTGGGCAAACGCTAGGAAGCCCGCTGGCGACGTTAGATATTTGTTCCTGAACAGCCCCACGTTTCCGTTGATCGCTCGGCTCGACGGCGGCGCAAAGTCCCTAAAGGTCTGCGGAGAGTCGAACAGCTTCCGGAGAAGGGTATCGTCATATTTTGTGCCCGGATCGCTGTGGTCGGTGGGTATACTCGTGGCATCGAATTTGGGCTGGGGTGCTGTGTTCGAAGCTGTTGTAAGCCAGCGCCGATGCGACGGGCTTAGGGGCTTTCGCGGCGTCTGGCGAAGGCATCGCGTGCAGGTCCATAGACCCGATCTGGCGGTTCTGATCATGTTATACTGGGCGCCACAGCTCACATAGCTGGAATAATCAATACAAAGACAAGATCATAAGAACATTAGACACGGGTATCGGAAGAGTGCGCGACGACGAGCAACCGCCAAAGAAGGAGAAAAGAATAAGTCTTGTTTGCTCCAAAAAGTTTGAGGCGTGACGCAAGGCTAAGGTAGGTATTAATTGGACTGATTGACTTATCGCTGGCGAGCTTGAGGTGTCTGCCCCAGTTAAAAATTCCCGAAGTCCGGGATTAGCCGCAAAAAGGTGGTAGTACATCACAAGCTTTAAGCCAGCCAAGTGAGTTCCAAGTGCTGGCTCTGACGTCCGACTTTGAGAGAAATCGACGACCAACAACCAATTGTGATTTTTCCCATCCAGCAATTGAGCACAACAATGGCTGCGAGAGTGCTGTTGGGACGGGTCAGTTCTATATATGATCTCATCAATTGATTTTTGGGACCTTTTGGCTAACGAGACCTTTTTTTATAGCGTGTCGCCGCGCCTTTCATGGCCGCAACTCTCGCTGGAGGAGCTCTAATTCCCTCGGTCGCCTTTGCTGAGGCCCCGGAAGATCTGGTACGAGTCCCTGCCGACAAACGAGATCCCACTGATCAATCTGGTCACTAACCTACGGCTCCTTGTTTGAAATTACTGCAGTCCAAGAAGCCCATCTACGACGACTTCGAGATCCCTATCCCCCAAGGCCGCCGGCCCAACGCCATCGCCCTTTTCAGACACCATCCCGCGGGCCTCGTCACCAGAGTCGCCATCAGCAGAGACACAGCCGCTGCCGTCGTCATCCTCGCCGGCGCGCGGACCTACGCCCACAGACCGCCTGGCCGTGCAGATTGGCCGCGCCCGGCTGTTCCTGTACGAGCACGCCACGCGGGCCGAGGACGCCGTGAACCGGGGCATGGACCAGGCCTTCCACCTGGAGAAGTCCTTCACGCAGACGGTGGCCTCGCTGGCGCCGCCGCGCGAGAGCGGCGAGCAGCTGATGCCGGGCCTCGTCTACGTCCTGGTCGCCGGCATGGCGGGAAGCATCGTCAGCCGCAACCGCAACATCCTGCTCCGCGCCGCGGCCCCCCTCGCCTTGGGAGTCGGCGCCGGCTGGCTCGTTCTCCCCGTCACCATGAACAATGTCAGCGGCCTGCTCTGGAAGTACGAGCAAAAGTTCCCCGTCATTGCCGAGGCCCACATCCGGACGCGTGAGAACATCTTCAAGAGCTTGGAGATGGCCAAGGTGCACTCTCAGGTTAGCAGACAATATGTAGACGAAAAGGTCACTGGTGTGCGAGACGCAGTCGAGGACTGGGTTAAGAAGGGCAAATAAAACAGGAGTCCAAGGCGGAAATGTGTTGATAGAGAGTAAAGGCCATACAAGCCTTGTATCATAGCGAATAGAGCTTATCTTCTATGTTCACAGTCTATCGTTCTAGTTCGAAGCACGTGCTTTCCTGCGTTAGATTATCGTGACCACCGTGAGCTCGAGTCCAATTTAGAAGGAGTCAAGATAGACATGCCATGAGTTTCGTGGCGTTCCCCGATCTTGTTACATTTTGAGCTCATGACTCCCTACTTTGGGGAGGGGATGAATGTGCTACATATTATTGGCAAGTGATATTACCAGATGTATGCAGAGAACACTAATAGTCTGTACTCAACGTTCGCTAGTCACTACTCAAGGGCGAATATATATTACTGGAAATTCTACTTTGCGGGAGCACCATATTGGACAACCAGTAGCATAGGCCCAGACTAGTCAGTTTCGCCTTCTCTCATGGTAAAATCACAATTGGATTGTCATTACTTTCTAAGCCAGTGCCGTGACTCTATGATGGGGTATATTGATGCAGCCATATTCCGATCCTCCTATTCAAACTTTTAATACAAAACCTAGACTCATTGTCCGCCTCATGAAACAGCTCTTTTTTCGGCTCCATCGAGGGACTTTCCCGTCAGCAGGTTCAACACCCGTTCATATGTCCAAACAGTTACCGCACTAAGGGGTGCCGCCTTGAATAGACTGACGGTTAATCCTTTGTATAACCCTCGAACGCCTTCGTGGGCCAAGATCATTCTGATGGCCTTGATCGCGCCCATGTCGTAGACTGGTATGTTCTTGTGAACATACTTTGCCCTCGTTGGGCCCTGTACTTGTATCCTCTTCCTGACCAGATCTAGCGGAAAGATGCCCGTCTTTGCAATAACACTAGCAATCACGCCTGCAGAGGCATCTCCGCCAGCAAACGGTAAATTGAATTGCGAAAGGGGGATCCGAAGTGATTCATAAATGGCGAAAAACATTCCCATGTATGGAATAATCTGTGCAAGGCCGGGACCGATTCCGCGGAAAAAGCCTTTGGTTCCCTCGTCACGTCTGATATCCCGTATAGCCTTGAACAGAGAAGAATACACCTTTTCGGTCCCTTGAGCGGCAAACCTCGTCCGAAGCAGATCCAGCGGGTACGTAACCGCAGTGGCAGCAGCTCCGGCTCCGGCTCCAGCAACGAAGCTCTCTGCACTCTTGTTCATTCCCTTCTCTCCAGCCAGCTCGTTCAGCGCCATGCTAATGGTCCGATAGGTTGTGAATTGTACGGCGGCGTAGCTCACGTACAAGAGTTCGGCGGGGACATTGCCCTTCCACAGACCGGTGATGCCCTCATGTCGTAGTATGTGTCGAGCGGTGGCAATAGTGCCTTTATATATCGGCGCGCCTTTCGTGAGCTCGGCTTGTGATAAAGGGTCCGACAGGGAATGGGCTTGGAGTTGCAGACGAATCTTGACCACGTCCAGGGGAGCGATCACGAAGCGCGAGACGAGACCTGAAATGGCGCCCGCTGTGACGACTTGAAGTCGGGAGCCCTGTATTTAAAGCTAGGTCAGCTCTGGGGGTACCACACGACGTCTCGCGGAAGAGTGTGATATGGTTTCCTGGGAATCTGGCAGGGTATCACACGTGCGAGTGCACATACCTCATCCTGAAGGCGCTGTCCGCTCTTCGACATACATCCGCAAATGCCCTGACCTGGGCTAGGGAACGCTGGGTGTCAGATTCTAGTCTGAAGCTTGCTTGCTTTCTTGGGTGGATGGTATGTTGACGCAGTACAAGGAACGTTTGCGGCTGGTCCGTCCGGCCGTGGGGAGTTCTCTAACTTCTGCAATGCCGCGAAGATTCGACGGATCCGCGATAGCTCTGATAGCTAACCTAGCACTGATAGCGTCCAAGGTAGATAACAGGAACCGGAGTTGCCTTAGAATGAGCTTGAATGTCTCTATGCACGTGAGATGGCAATTTACTATTGCTGGTCAAAAAGTCATGTAAAGTTTGGCCCCTGACTTGAAGGAATTCACATTGGATAGTGTTTCCACTATTGCGCGGACCTGAGCAGAGTTGATTCCAAGCCAGGTACGGTGCAGGTGTAACACCTAACTAGCACTTGTAAATAACCTACATCATCAATCGAGACCTCACTCTTAGCATGTTTGCATCGTTGCTGCCATTGAAGAAATGGCTGAGAGTAGCGCTTTTCCATTGAGGACAAGTGACGTATGGTGTCTGGCTGCTGGCTGCTGGCACATGCCAAGTATGCTGAGGTACATAAGTAAGTAAGGTATGTATGCATGACTTAGGTGGCACGAGGTACAGTAATCAAATGTTCGAAAGTGGCCATGCTGCAAAGAAACAGACTGAAAGTCGCTACCCACTATCATGTTCGGTATAATTAGTAGTGCCGCAATCATCCTACCCTCGATCCTATGGCTGCTCCTCACGGCAGCATCCCGCGGACATTTAATTAGTAGTGCAATTGATTGAGATGTTGGGGGGCTCGAGCCAGCTTGACTGGAGGCTCTCTTCTGGGGCTCGGCTATGTCTTATCTATAGCAGCGTAGCATTGAAGGAAAGATCGAGGACATGAACTTGATTCCGATCTCTAATATCTCCCGTCTTCAAATCTCAGCCATGAAACGGAATCGCCATACCCGCGAAGGACATTCCGCTCCTGGGCGGTGCGGCCGGCCTGGTTCCACTGCAGTGAACTTCCTTCTGGCCGAAGGCGACCTTTTAGCAGCCACTGGATTGGCTGTCTGGGGTTGTCTTGAGAGGGGGCCAGCAATGGGCGGGCCGGCTAAGCCTTTCCTCCTAGTTTACATGCAGACGGGGAGATTTGCACTAGGGGCCTTGGGGGTCTTTCTTGCACTAGAACCTACCCTGTGAGGGGCCCCGGTGGTAGGGGAGAATGATGCCGGTACCTTGGTGGACGACACATCTGATACCTACATACCTTACCACTCTCAGTCAGTCCACGGGACATCGTATCCATCCTCTGATTCAAACTCTACCTACCTTCCTACTTGACTTCTTCAATCCCTCTCATCTACCGAGCTAACACAAAAATTTCTCCTCATTTGCATTCTCGTTATCAAGCTCCCCTGCATTTTCCCGTGTACCATACACGAACAGCAGACTCTGTCGAGACTTTTTCGCTTATCGTGTTCTTCCACGACAGAGCTCAGGTCGTACTCAGTGAGGCTGTGATCGAGCCAGCCCCGGTCATATTGCATGTGATAGTTCATCTCCTCTGTCTGCCAGGAAGAACGCGCGCACGTGCAGGCTTTCTTAAAAGTCACAACAACCACAACAGAAAGAAATTGGACAAAAAAGTGTTCTCTCGAATCATTTAGCGCATCATGTCATTCACAAACGTCAAGGCGCCAGATTTGCGAGAGACTCTTGGTCCTGTCTTGCAGTCCCTGCCTCCTGCAGCAATCGCTACATCGCCAGCAGAAAATGTCTTGGCTTACCTCTCACCAATCCTGAAGCAGCGAGTCCAGCTCTTGTCTTCGTCCAGTTCAGATCCATGGATCAAACTATTATGCTACGATACGGCAAAGGCTGCCGGGCTTATTGAGATTGCCCAGAGTGATCGGTTGGAGCCGCACCCTGTCAGTGGCGAGGTCGAGGTCGATTGGGATTATGATGCAGAGATTCGCTATCGAAGACTCGACGAGGAGACATTACAGGCTCTCGTGGTTTTGGAGGAGAAGGGTCTCTCGTTTCGGCTCGTATACTGCACTGGCGAAGTCGACGGGTGGAGAGTAGGCGAAATTTCTACTCCGGAAACCCCATCGCCGTTTTCATCGTTCGGAGGTGTGTCGACTATCGAAGAAGCCGATCGTCAATTTCGAGATGGACACTCTAAAAAGAACGCTGCATCAGCATCATCCAAGAATAGCTTTCCAAATGGTGGTGATCTTGTCGAAGATGAGGATGACGACGATGATGACTACTGGGCTCGATATGACGCGACGCCGGCAAGAACCCCTGCCGAAAAGCGCTCGCCGGCTCCTCCTTCGACTTCTGCACGTGGTGCGGGTGCAGATGAGGACGACTATTATGCGCAGTACGACTCTGTGCAACCGGCCATGGATCCCCACGATCCTGACGAGGAGGCCGGCATGGCAGATTTGGCTCCGCCCCTGGGTTTGGCAGCGCCGAGACCAACGCGGCCAGCAGACCATGTAGACTATGGCGGTGGATATGAGGAGGCCGAGCTCAACGAGACCCAAGGTGCGTGGACAATCGCCGAGCCACCGAGGTCGCCATCAGTTGGCTCGAGAAGTGGCGACGACCCAAATCTAGCTCACCCTCGACCGGCGTCAAGTGCCGACTCGCATTCTTCGGTAGCGAAACTCGAGGAGGCGGCAGAGAACTTTGGTGTGAGGCAACACATATCCCGGAGCATCAAGAACTTGTCCATGCTTGCGCGAGCCTCGGGTATAGACCATGATGACTTTGAAAGTCTCGTGAAAAGAGAGTTGGAGGTTCTACGAATGATGGAGGATTGAGCAGATTCAGAGTCACATGCAAGGTGGTTCGATTATTATTGTAAACAAGAGGTCACGCGTCTAAAGGCCGATACTTTGGGTTTGTGTTTAACTGTAAGCCGACAGGTCGTTGGCCGTAAGGAAGTTTGGCGGGGATATCCGGGGTTCATACAGAGTCCGACATGATGGAAAGTTCATATGGCTAGGCATTGATGCATTTTTTGGCGCAAGATTGGGTTTTCTCTTTTTGTTTCTTGTCCCCCGGGTTTCGGACTACATTATGATAGCGATTCAATCATGATCTGGGCAGCATTAAACAATCCATATATCAGACTCATTAAGGATGTAGATGAATGATATACCTAGGTTTTTATCGACAAGAGTTATAGTATCCCGTAAGCATTGACATTCCGAACTTCCGAGAAGTATTCCGAGCTTTACAAAAAAAAAAATCATGCAATGAAAGAAAGAAGAGAGGGATACAAAGTAGTACTCCCCTAGCGCGACCGGCCCTTGATTGGGGGCTACGTTGCCGCTTGCCTGGGGGCTCGAATACTGCCCCGCGTCAGGTACGCCTCAATGCATGTGTGAAATTTACCCCTCTATGACTCAAAAAAAATACACGCGATTCGAGGTTGGACAGACTTTGAGCCGGGTCAACTCTTTTTCTGTTTTTTTTTTCTCGAGACCCCTGAATTATAACGGCGGATAGTCTTCTTGTGCAGAAGCATCGAGAGTATACGTGGAATTGTCACTTCTCAGCCATCAACACGCCCATTTCATCATGACCCCCGAGGAGTCGCTCGCCCTGATCAAGGCCAACCTGGCCGAGGTGCTCAACCCCGAGATCATCGACAATGTCGTCCTGAACGAGAAGAGACCACTCAAGGTCTACTGGGGTACCGCGACCACCGGAAAGCCTCACTGCGGATACTTTGTTCCCATTGTCAAGATTGCCGAGCTGCTGGCCGCCGGCTGCCACGTCAAGATCCTCCTCGCCGACATTCATGCCTACCTCGACAACATGAAGGCACCGCTCGAGCTGGTCGAGCAGCGCTGCAAGTACTACGAGTTCATCATCAAGAGCCTGCTGCGCGCCGTCGGTGTCGACATTTCCAAGCTCGAGTTCGTCAAGGGCAGCTCCTACCAACTGACACAGGAGTACACCATGGACCGCTTCAAGCTCGAAGGTATTACGAGGATATCCGTCGCCCAAAAGGCTGGCGCCGAGGTCGTCAAGCAGACCGACGACCCTGCGCTCGGTGGTCTCATCTACCCCCTTATGCAGGCTCTGGACGAGCAGTACCTTGACGTTGACGTCCAGATTGGCGGTGTCGACCAGCGCAAGATCTTCACGTTTGCCCTCGAGAACCTGCCGCGAATCGGCTACAAGGTCCGCGCCCACCTGATGAACACCATGGTTCCGGGTCTGGGTCAGGCGCAAAAGATGAGCTCGAGCGAGCCCGACTCCAAGATTGACCTCCTGGACGCCCCCGAGGTGGTGGGCAAGAAGCTCAAGAAGGCCCACTGCGCCACCGGTGTCGTCGAGGGCAATGGTGTCGTTGCTTTCGTGGAGCACGTCATTTTCCGCGTCCAGGCGCTCAAGTCGGGAGGCAAGGCCAAATTCATTGTCGAGAGAGAACGGGACGGCAAGGAGCCGTTGGTCTACGAGGATATCGCAGACCTCAAGGCTGACTTTGAAAAGGATATTGTAAGTCCCATGAGGAGTACATCATACGTCGTGTTTTGAGAAGCAAGAGAAAAGCTAATTCGGGGCTATTCTAGTTGACTCCCCAACTGCTCAAGGCGGCCCTTACCAAGGCGCTCAACGAGCTCCTGGCGCCCATCCAGGCCGAATACCAAGCCTCCGAGGAGTGGCAGAGAACCACGGAGCTGGCCTACCCGCCCGAGAAGAAGGCGGTGAACCCCAAGAAGGAGAAGAAGCAAAAGGGCGGCGACCCGGCCATGCGCGAGGCGGCAGCGGCAGCCAGAGCCGCCAAGGCAGCCGAGAAGAATGCGCCCGCCGACGCATCGCACGGCATCGAGACGTTGAAGATTGATGCCGAGACAAAGGCAGCATAAAAGAACAAACTTTAGAAGATGAAAAAAAAAACTATTTAATACCCCCTTAACATCCTTTCGGGCTTACTTGATGTTTCTTGGTGTCCATGTCGCAGCAGAATTAGATAAAGTGCATTGGCCGGAGTTGGTTGAACTGTGTAAGGGAAAAACAGAGAAAAGGCTTCGAATTGTTCCTCAAAGAGATACATATATAGAAAGGCCATGTTTCTATGCATGTATGTACAATACAGTGTACAGACCTTCCACAACATTGGGCAATTATTGAAAACGATCCTACTGCTTGAGATGAGTCAAGTTGAATATGAGCCGTCATAACTTTACATTCAATCGTTCTTTGGAGATTAAGCCCTTTGAATTAGAGCCTATTCTTGGCAGGTCTCAGTAAAACCGGAAGTTGGAATGTGAATGGTATCTCAAATATATTCGTCATGTCATAAAACGGGGCATTATAATCGTTCTATATATCCAAGGGGCCCAGGCCGCGCTGCTTCACCGCATTCTGTACCTCGGCCTTGATGCCTTGTACCACAGCGAGCCATTTTGTCTTGCCGCGGGACTCGGCCTCGTTCTCTTCGACCAGATAATCCAACCACTGGACGAGTTTCGTTGCCTTGTCCATATCCTTCTCCTCGAGGACGACTCTAGCCAGATACTTTTCCAGCATCTCGACATCTCGCCTATGGGGGCCCTCGGCTGCCGTTTCCTTGTGCCAAACATTGAGCATATCCCGAATATCAGACAGCGAGGTCAATCCGGCATTGGTAAAGGCGATCTTGCTTGGCCGCGCATTAAACTGCAGCTTTGTCTGCCCTCCCTGAAGCGCCTCATCGCTATCGGCCTCTCGTTGGCGCTTGTGCGAAATCTTCAGGTCCAGTCCAGAGCGCTGTGCCTTTCTGCGCCGAAAGTCGGCAATCACTTCTTTCCGCACCGACTCTGGGAGCTCGGCTAGAAAATCTTGGTCTAGCTCATCAACATCACTGAGACCTGCTTCTTCGCCAGCGTTGAAGGCGAGACTGGTCTGGACAACCTTGTTCTGTGCGTCGGCATGCCGTTCTCGAGCCCTAGCAAAAATCCCCGGAACGCGCTTCTTTGTTGGCGTTGTCTTCTTCATGGGCTTAATGATGCGATCCTTTCGCGGAGACTGTGGCAGGAGTTGTTGAGCAGGTCTTGGCCTTTTGTAAGAGGCTAGTACTTCGGCTTTCATGTCATCCGGCAGCGCATTGAAAACTTCCGGGTCGATATCGGGCGGTATTTCATCAACTAATGCAGGGCTTTCCGTTCTTGATCGAGGAGCAGGTGGAGATTCGACCGCTGCCGATGGCTTTGGCTTCGATTTCGCCTGCGCCAGCAACTTGTTCCGTATATCCGGAGGTAATTCAGCCAGTACCGCTGGGTCGGCATTCGCTGGCAGGACAAATTGCGTTCCACCAATGTTGAGAGGTGTGTTGGCTTTTGCGTCATGCTCATTGGCCTTTGAAATAGCGAGTGCCGGATGTGAGGTATTGGGTTTTGCTTTTCGTGGAGTCAGAGGCCCGTCCGTAATGGGATCCTCCGTTTCAGCGCGGCCCTGGGTTGGACTCGGCCTCAGCGGGCCAGCAACCTCTTGAATGGGATCTTCCGCAGGTTTCCTGACTGGCGCTGGGCTTTTGAAAGCACCAAAGCTCAGTTTCTTCTGACTGCTCTCGAGCCCGCCAGGCGTCGAGATCTTGATAGGCTCCAGTCTCGTGAGTTGAACACCAAGCCCGCGCAAATCGCCGGGGCTGAATCTGTAGGAACGCAGGATGGATATAGCCTCTTTTCCAATAAGCTTATGATCGTTGGTGGAAACGCCAAATAATGTGCTTTTGTTGAATGTATCGCACTTTCCATGACCAAGGTGCTTTGGAGGATCCAGTGGTGCGTCGAGCGAACGTCTCATGATCTTCATGGTCAACTGTTTGCCTTTGACTTGTTCATTTAGAAGCCGCTTTTCCAATTCCTTGCAAAGATTCAAAACAAATTCTTCCGCTTCTTCTTGGTTGATGAACCGTATGCCCCAATTGACCTCGGCTGACACAGATTTTCGTATAGGTTGGTCGCCAACCTCGGTGCGATCGATCCCACGTGCGTATTCCCATAGCTTTTCTCCCGTCTTTGGGCCAAGCGTAGTAATGAGTCGTTCCTTGGAAACTTCTCGTATGTCCTTGACATACTTGATTCCGATTTCTTCCAGTTTACCTGCGATGCTATACGCCACTCCGGGGAGTTTGTCAACCTGGAGTTCTGCCAGAAATGATAACACAGCTTCTGGTTTCAATTGAAATTGCCCAGCCGGCTTGGCCTTTCGCAGCGCAACCTTGGCAAGCAGGATATTCCCCCCAATTCCTACAGAGACAGCGCAGCCTGTTTTGATCTTGATTTTTTGCCTAAGGTCTCGGGCAATGCTGTCAGCTTTCTCTTGCTCCCTCCAAATGCTGCCTTCATCGATGCCATCTCCTTTGGAGCCAACGGCATTGAAAATGACTTGGGTCACGTCCACCAGAGCCTCATCGATACTGACACTCTGCACGACACCGCCGACATCTAATATTGCCTCATAAAATAGCTTGCTGGCTTCTTCATATGCCGGAAAGTCATATGGCAACACTTTGAGGTCGGGACACAACTCCTTGGCCCGCTTCATCCACATGCCATTCTTTACGCCGAATTCCCGTGCCGGATAATTGCAGCTTGCAATTTCGGACCCAGTTCCGTTGCCATGAGCCACAACGGCGGGCTTGGTAACGAATTCCGGGGCACTTTTGAGAGAGATAGCGCAGAAGAAGCTGTCAAAGTCGACATGCATGATATAACGTCTGGACCCTGGCTTTCTCCTAATCGGTTTTTCTTGTGTTCCCCTTTCGGCTGCGAGCCTCTGCATCCTCGACTTGAGATCGGCTTTCCAAGTTGACAGGTGGTGGAGACGGCTTTCTGAGTAGTACTGTTGAATGAAATCTGGATTTGCTGTCGAAGATTTCCGCATTCGTGGGTCTTGGAGTAGCAGGGCGTTGTGTTCTTCGGATGTCATCTCTTCTAGTGGCTTATCAGGTGGTTGCAGTATAGATGGTTTTGACATGAGAGCATCATCACGATCCTGCTTCTGCACTGTTTCGAGGTGAGAAGTCTCCATTGCTTCTATGTCCGCAGGTGCTTCGATCATGTTCATGTCAAATGAAAGACGTCTTGTTTCTCGGTCCACGAGAGGACTACTTTCACAGGCCCCAACGAAGGCTGTTGTCGCGGCAGGCGATTGACTTTTGGTAGGCTTCCCATCAATAGCTTCGGCGAAGCCCTTCAACTGACTGGTGTAGAAGCTGTTGTCGGTCTGCTCCCGATATCTAAGAGGCGATTGCTGCGTATTTGATTGTGTAGACATCATGCCTCCTGTGAATTTGATGGTTTTCTGTCGAGGAGTCTCTTCAATGACTCTGTAATCTGACCAAGGCAGCAGCTTTCCTGCCTGGATAGAATCAGTCACCCAGGCGGGTTTGACGATTCTATATTTATTGAACTCGACCATCTTCTTTGGCGGTAAAGTAGAAGCTATGATGTGTGTTGCCATGGTTTTGGAATCTAGATACTGGATGAAGCCCGCTCCATGTTCTACCAGTTCTTTGTGGAGGACATGTAGTGGCGGTTGTGTGTAACCAGTCACATGAGCCACGATACCTTTGAAGATCTGAGGCTTGTTGGCAGCAGCTCGTATCTCCGAGTCGAGGTTTTGAAGTTTAATCTTCTTGCGGCGAAAGTACTCTGGAAAGCCTCCAAAGGCACTCGGCTCATACTCATCGCCAGCTTCATCGGTGAAGGAGTGGTTCTCGATGCGTTTCCGCACCTCCTTGGAGTTCTTCTCCAGCCGGCTGCCCATTTTCGTGCTGCTTGAAAATCAAGATCACACAGACCAGTTTAAAGTTGGGCGATTCGAGTACGCCACAGGCTCTGCGTATCGTGTCGCCGCCGCTCTCATGGCGCTTGCCGGAATGAGGATGCTGGAGTCATCAGATCAGGGCAACACGACGCGACACCAGCGCTAGCAGTGGAGGAGTCTGGATTAAAGAACACAACTGAGGTCTATGTCAAACAAGTTGGATTTAGCTGTCGAAGAAACCCAAGTAGTTGATAACATTGGCATTAAGGCGTGGGACGCGCCTTCGGAACAGATTTGGTGGGGCAACGTGAGGTCTCTTTACACGTCATCCCGTGACTACCTTCTGTAATGTAAATCAATTAGGCACCATATTGGCGCTGTAAACGGCGACTGGGGTGTCGCTTTAGTACAACTTTTAGGTACAATTTAGTGAATGCTTTCATCCTCTGGCCTTGGCACTTCAAGCCAGAATACCGAAAGATTGCAAAATCTCGCCAATCCACAACCCAAGCACCAGATCTCGGGGATTGCTCTCAAGTGTCCCTTGTATATATTCCCTGCAATGAACAACGACCAATTTCGCAAGCTGATTGCAGCGAAGTCGCCCAAAGAGTCTTCCAGCAGCAATGGCGCATCGCCAGCTGCACCTCGCGCTGTTGCGCTTGGTTCTAGGCAGAGATCGAGCATACCGATGACGCCGTAAGTTTTTGGACAAGCTACTCAGACAGTTCCACATACTCATAGGTTTCACAGAAGGTCTGTAGGTGTCAGTCATTCCGATTTCCAGCGACAGCTCGCCGAGCGAAATCAAGCACAACGTCCACAACAACAAAAATTCAAAACATCCGCACCAAAGGGAAGCAAGCTCGCGCAAGGTTACACAGACCGAACAAAACAACGCGATGACGAGGAAGCGGACGACAGAGCTGTGCGCCTCAAGGCGCTCGAAGAAGCTCTCAAGAAAGAGGAAATCGACCAAGCGACATACGACAGCCTCCGAGTCCGAATAGCGGGCGGCGATCTTGAAAGTACACATTTGGTGAAAGGTCTGGACTTCAAACTCCTGGAGAGGATACGCAAAGGCGAGGATGTTTACGGCAATAAGACTTCGGAAAATGGCGACGCCGGTGCCGACGAGCCAGAGGACGTGGACGACGTCCTGGATCAGCTGGAAGAAAGCAATGTTGAGGTTGTTATGCGAGAGTCATCCAAGAAGCAGGGTCAGGTTGCGAGTGGAGCGGCCCTGAAGCCCGGTCAAAAGCGCTCGAGGGCCATGATTTTGGCAGAAATGAAAGCGGCGCGGGAAGCTGCCAAAGCCCAGGAACAGTCTGCCCTTGGCTCAAAATTCAAAAAGATTGGCGACAAGACCCCAGGGTCGCGCATTGAGAGAGACAGCAAAGGCAGGGAAGTTCTCATCATTGTCGATGAAGATGGCAACGAAAAACGCAAAGTACGCAAAATCCAAACACCACAAGATGCAGAGGAGGAGGCCAAAGCAAGAGAATCGTTTGTGCCGGACAAGAACGCAAAACCGCTGGGAATGGAGGTACCGGATATTTACAAACAGAAAGCCATCGAGTCGGAGGATGATAACGACGACATATTTGACGGTGTAGGGGATGATTATGATCCCCTCGCTGGCCTAGATGAGGACGACTCCGACGATGACGAGGCTCCAGGCTCCAAGAAGCCCGTCAAGTTGCCGTCAGAAGAGGACAAGACGGCTAACGACAAGGATATGCCACCGCCACCTAAACCCGCACCTGCAAGTGGTCCGCGCAACTATTTCAAAGATTCGAAAACAGAATTGGCTTCAGCCCAAACCCTCCAAGCACCATCCATGTCTGACCCGGCTATCCAAGCTGCTCTCAAGAAGGCGGCGTCACTCAATCGCAGGCCGGCCGAGGAAGATGACGAGGAAGCCAAAGCAAAGGCAGAACGCCACAAACGAATGCTGCAGAGCGTCGATCGTGATGCTGAGGATATGGACATGGGCTTTGGAACTAGTCGATTTGAAGATGAAGCCGACTTTGATGAATCTGACGTGAAGCTATCAAATTGGGCCAACGGCGATGAAGATGACGGCGAAGGTGGCTCAGGAAAGGCAAAACGGAAAAGAGGCGGCAAAAAGCGCAAGGGCGATGTTAACAATGCAGACGATGTTATGCGAATCGTTGAACAGCGCAAAGCTGAAAAATAGGAGCATCATTCATAGTAGTATGTAAATGATGTCCGTCAGTCTCGCCATGCACTATACTCCTTCAGTTAATGATTATTTTACTGAAACCCAAGTATAGATCTCAAGTATTACTGCTATATTGAATTCCATGATTGAGAGAGAAAAAAGTGAGGCTTGCTTGCCGACCTTGTTTGGTCGACTGTACTATGGTAGCTCATATTTAGTATAATACATTCGTAGTTCCGATGTTCCGATAGTCATTGGTCTGGGTCCACCTCCACTGTTATTACATGCCAAACTGACCGACGGTGACCGGCTGTGGCTCAACTGTCTAGCAACAAAACACCATTTTGTGTAGAAAGACAGATACAAGCTCACTACAGCCATTACATCCGTGGTGGTTTAGTCAAAAAAAGCAAATCTTGATTGCCGTGCCGAAGAAGTTGCTTGAAAACGGACCTTGCCCATAAGCACAAGCGCTTCATTACTAGCCATGTCAGCACCAGTGCCAGTCTGGCTGGACTGCGATCCAGGTCACGATGTGAGTACAGATGAACACTTCAGTTCCGGAGCCGCCAATAGCGCCGAGGGGATTGCAAATCCAGCACGGTTCATCAGAGACCTCAAGACTCCGGCGATGCGGAAGTCACATACTTCCACCCGGCTGCGGATGTAACATGGCCCCCGTGCTCAATTAGCCCCTCCCCGATTACCCGGCACGGGATTGACACATTTTATCTTGATAGTCAGCATCAACCACAAACGCTGACCAGAATTCCACAGGATGTCTTTGCCATCTTGCTGGCAGCTTACCACCCGGGAATCCGGCTACTGAATATCAGCACTGTACATGGCAATGCTTCGTTGGACAAGACTACCAACAATGCACTTTCGGTGCTCAAGGCCATTGGCAAGCACGAGGAGGTGACGGTCTACCCAGGATATGCACAAGCTCTCGAGCGACCGTCGATCCTTGCGCCCACGGAGATCCATGGCGAGTCGGGCCTGGACGGAACGGACCTTCTGCCCAAGCCAGCGACGCAGGCAGACCGGTCGGTGAGCGCCGTGGACGCCATGGCCGCAGCACTCCGGGCCACGGAACCCGGCACGGCGTGGCTGGTGGCGACGGGCGGGCTGACCAATGCCGGGGCTCTGTTCCTCAAGTACCCAGAGCTCGCGGGCCACATCAAGGGCCTCAGCATCATGGGCGGCAGCGTCGGCGGCGGGTTCACGGCCGCGCCGCTGGGCAAGGTCGACGGCGTCGAGCGCATTGGCAATTACACCAAGTGGGCCGAGTTCAACGTCCTCATTGACCCCGAGGCGGCGGCCAGCCTCTTTGACAATGAGGTGCTCAAGGGCAAGACCACGCTCGTTGCGCTCGACCTGACCCACCTCGTGCTGGCCACGAAAGAGGTGCAGGAGCAGATCTTGTACGGACCAAACTACCAGGGAGAAAAGACCGGAAAGGGCAAGACGGAGTTGAGAACCATGTTGGTTGAGCTACTGAACTTCTTTGCTGCGACTTATAGGTTCGTTGATTCCCCCCTTACTACACCTCGAAATGGCCTGCACTGGTATGGTCACTAACACTACGAGCAGAGATACCTTTGGTATCGTAGAGGGCCCTCCACTACACGACCCACTGGCCGTGGCCGCAGTCCTTACCGGCACCGCCCATGAGATCCCCTTTTACGACTTTGACCCCACGGGCGAGGAGAAGCGTCCAGAGCGTTTCGACGTGAAGGTGGTCACCGAGGGGTCGATACAGGATGCGCTGCAGCACGGGCACCTGGAGACGGGACGCACGCTGGTCACGCCGCTGCCGCCAGGAACGCCTGGCGTGCGCATTCCCCGCGGCCTGGACATGGCGCTGTTCTGGAAGGTCATTGAGGAGTGCTGCCAGAGGGCAGATGAAACCAACTCCAAGGCAGCAGCAGCAGCAGCAGCTACCGCCGTTTAAAGGCAAATCAATTTTCGTACTGGGCAAGGTTTGGGCATTTCTTGGTAGACTGTTATAGATGATTACGACTAGACCTCAATGACCTATCAATGTTCTCTCGATCCATTAAAAAAGCAGGGAACTCATACGTTATTTTCGGGTATGATTTTGCACAGATATGGCTCAGAGTTTCATTATGTAACAAACAGCGACAGTTTGTAAGCCAGTCTCAGCAGTTATAGCGTCGTTTCTATAACAGGACTAATTACACTTCGACGTCTTGAAACCAGTCCTTCTCGCCGAACTCGCCAAGAAGCTTAAAGATCTTGAAGATTCCGAGCTTCCTGCCTTCGTAGATCCGATCCGTCCATGGCGAGGCAGTGAGTCTCTTGATCTCCAGCATGTCAGGGGAATCGACCTCAAACTCGTGAAGAGTCAACCAGACGGGGGGCTGCGGAGGAGCCTCTTCCGCCGCCGACGTCAAGCCCTTCAATGCCCGAGACTGCGCATTGGTTCTTGCAAATGCGAGCTTGAACCTTGTCGACCGCAGGTAGCCTGTTGCTTTGGAAAGAAGTAGCAGATGCTATAGGCGAGAAATCAGTCATGATTCAAGCAGATGTGGCATGAGAAGAAGAAAACTATACCTCTTCACGATACCATTTATCAAAATCCTCTGCATCGGCCCCTTCTTTGAGTTCGATTTGAACCGAAATAATGGATTTGGTATGCCCTGGTATATGTTCACAATCATTCCTTGTTTCAACTCGGATCATTTGTGCGTAGTCGGAGCCTACCTTTGCCTTTTTCTGTAGGGTCGTACACCTGAATCAGGTTGTCGTATCGAACGTCAAAGTCGGCCAAATCATACACGATTCCCGTTTCCGGTAGGTTATCACTCTTGATCTTGATGTTCTTGAACTGCTCGCTACCCAGAAAGGCGAGATCGGCCAGGGGGTATAAGGCCAGGTACGGCTTCTCCGCCTCCGGGTCTACATTCTTGAAGCGCCTGGCAGATTTGATGCCCCCAGTTGCTAGAATCTCTGGGATATGCTCCTCATCATACCACTTCAGGTAAGTCTCTTCGTCCAAGACATCAGATCGCGATATCTTGGATTCGACGTAGAGAGAACCGATGCCGCGAAGGTTTTCCGTCATGGTTACGAATTGTAAGTTTGTAATGGGGAATATGGCAGATTTGTTGTAGCCTTTGGATTGTATATTTATGTTGCAAAAGACTCGGACGTCCGATGCAATACCAGATCTCCCGGAGCAGAGTTGAGGTATAATTGGTGAAATCGGGTATTGTTTCCCAGTCCGAAAACGGCAGCCTCAGAAGCGGGGGGTGGTCGTCACTATATGGCCAGTGGGGTCGAGTCCTTCATCATACAAAGACAACTAGCCTCGCTATAACCAAGGCGACATGATACTTCATATAAAATCCCTACGACATCTGCATCCGCGACCACATTACTAACCCAGTAAGTGTCCAAAGCGTTGGATAAGGATCTATGTCATGTTGGCCGGCAGTTTCCTGGGTATACCGAGGAGAGTCCAATAATTGGGATGGAAACGAAAAGTCAAGTCAACCGCTTTCATGGGCGGACTATGCGCGGGAATTCACAGAAACCTCAACTCCAGAACACACTGACAAGACTAGAATAATGCCACTAATGAACATGACAACCTGTTACACTTCCGATACGAGTACAGAAATGTTTGTCGTGGTTGGTGTTCTTTCTTTTAACCCAGTTGCAAAACTAGACCGACATCAGTGTTAGGACCAGTGCCAACGGCGAGTTGTTGCATCTCATCGGCCAGATCGGCTGGGCTGAGTCAATCCGTCAAGGACCACGCTTCTTCACAGCAGGCGACTGGGTAATTTGTGCAATAACAACTGCACTGAATTCAACTTCAGAGGCTCCGATGTCTCTGTCATTTAAGCAGCTTCTAGACTAATGACAGAGCTTCTGCTTTGATCGAGTATAGGTTGGGTGACTGATAGACCTTCCTATCTGGTATAATATGCCATTACCCTGGGAAAGGGCCATTGACTGGCAAGCGGCGGTGCCTCAGGAAATAGTATTGTGTTGCCAAAGCATACCTCCGCAGTCGTCGCTCGTCATACCCCTCATACGTTGCAATCCGGGCAGTGTGCGACACACTTGTAGGTGGCCAGCTTGTACGAAGCGATATGCTTAATGTCTCTCATCTTAAAGATCGAGCGCAAGCCATGTGCGCCTGCGAGAGGTTTGTCGTCTCGATTGTCACCGGTTAGTGTAGTTTGGTTCCTGGATTATTGACGGCATGGAATGCAACTCGAATCTCTCAATTCGACCATCGAGTCCCCAGATTGCATGGGATAAATGAGTGGCGAAGCAGTTCATCCTTCTACTTTGCCATCTTGAGCCTGAGCGGTACCATTGCCAGCCTTGGGCTCACCCTCGGCGTCGAAACCAAGCGCCTCTAATTCCCTAATGAGCTCGTTGATTTTGATAACCTTGGCGATCTGTTCGGGAAGAAGCGATTGTCCTTCATCCTTCTTGCTCTTCAACTCCTTCGCTTGCTTCAATTTCTTCTTGAGGTTGCGAGCCTTCTTCTCCTTCTCGGCTTCGGGGTCGAGCTCTTCAGCCTTGGGCTCCTCCTTAGGCTGCTCAGATGTGGAGGGTTCGCCCTGCGTCTCCTTGGCCTTCTTGCGAGCCTCACGGCGTTTGGCGTTCTTATTGCTTGCAGCAGAGGAGGCATCGACCTTCTGTTCTTTTAGTCCTTCTGCGCCAATGACGCCGCCCTTGCCGCGATTTCTGAAACCCTCGGCAGTGCGGTTTTTGTAGATCTCGACATCCTCTGGGGGACGGTAGCCAGGTCGAATTTTAATCGCCTTTCGAGTAGTGCCATCAGCGCGGACGGATTCTGGGATCTGCCGCTCGCCGCTGGTCTCGTCAGTGACGATGCCAGATCGGGACGGCTCTGAAGGCATCGTAAGGCGGACGGCGGGGTACGACCTGAACTGCGGCGTTCCGGGATCTCCAGCAGCAAAAGTAACGATTATGAATCAAGTGACCTCAAAAGATACAAAACCAGAACTGATTCCCAGGCTTTGTTATATAACAATTGCAAAGGACATAAAACACAAAAAGAAATTGCCTCGAAATACAGGCGACCCAAAAGTTTCGGCACGCAGCCAGAAGCTTGAAAAGCTGCTCTGCTCCAGCAGCGCCAGGCTTAGAGTTGAGCGTGCTGCGGATAGTGAGCGTGTACTGCGGGTCCGGCTACAGGAAAGCTCCAGCCAATCGGAAACGACCAATTCCCAAATCTGAGCAAGAAGTTCGAGAGCCTCATCATTCCTGCGTCGAAAGATTTGTTCGCAACAAACGAAGTCAATTGAGCGACGTCAACCTCGAATCCCACCAATCCTCGTCCGCACACATCTCATCGCGAACGACTGCTTATACTCTTCACAATGGTATGCATCCGACACGCTTGCATCCCTCGTAGATTTCCATGATACTAATCGCGCAGCAGGCCGGCTCTCCTATCTACAAGTTCGTCCATGCGATCCGAAACGCGGCGTGCTCTCTATTAACGGTCATCATCTAGCGCTCTGTTCCGAAGGAACTACACGATGTTGGGTGCCGTCTTTGCTGGCGGTTTCGCTTTCGAGCTGTGGGTGCATTCGGACGAATGGCCAAGGGAACAACAGTTACTGACAAATGGTAGCTTCTTCAACCAGGGCATGAACAAGCTGTGGGACAACACCAACCGTGGCGTACGTTATTACCAGGATTGTTACCAAGTTTCTGTTTACTGACGAATCTGGCAGCGCCAATGGAAGGACATCCGAAGCAAATACGTCCAGGCCGAGGACGAGGACGAGGAATAGATGGTGGCAACAACCGAGTAACGAAAGACTTGCGACAATGGACACCAGAGCCTGAACTTCTGTACATTATCATAGACGGTCAAGACACATTTTATTGAAACGAATCGCGAATGACCTTACTACGACTCCGATCGATGTGGCTCTGTTATGCATGCGCTTTTTCCATGAGATATCATCACGGGTGGTGGTGCAAGAAGGGTGATGCAAGAACTCTACGTAATTGGTGAAAATTCAACATCAATCAATATCTGCATTTTCATATTGGCAGAGCTTCCGGCTGATGCTGGGCGCCACGATGCTGATATGTTAATGGTCGCCTCGGTTACTTGATGAACATAGGAAGAGGGATTACAAACTCGGGTTATTGTGGTTGCATCACCTGGAAATTGATTGATCAAGTGCTTGTGAACATGCAAATGACTCCTGGATATGACCAAGATTCCTTCAGAAACCACGGCTGCATCCAGAACTTGGTATCCACGACCAACAACTCTCCACGAAACACTGCAGTCACTGCCCCTCTGTTGCGGCAACTTCGACCTTCCTAACAAGAAACGGATAGCAACAGCGAAAGCAGACCAAGAAGATACCCAACTTTTGTAGATCCTTTCCATGTAATTTTGATTTCTTTCCCCAACAACGTGGAAACGGCTTTGTAATCTACTGCGTGCTTTCTGGTTTGTGGCAAACAGACTGTTATAGCTAGCCAGCCATTGTATCATCAAAACCCCACCATCAGCTGGTCGACCCAAACGTCTAAACCTAGCACCCAACTACCGATACCGCGACGCTCTGTCTTTGCAAAGGTCTTTCTTTCACATTTGCAAGACCTTTTGCAATCGTATTCGATCGCGAATCCGATCCGAGAAGAATTCACTTTGACCGATATCAACTTATCGGCCCAATAACATCGCCGAAACTCGGCCCCTCCGGCACAGGTCTATGATGATCCATCCTAAGCCCTGATGATGACGGAGCCGACTTTGTCGACCCAAGAGCTGCAGCTCTGCCAGCATTTGATAGAGCTTCCGCGGCGGCACGGATACCGATACGGCGATGGCGCCTCGAAAGACCTCCTCTACAACCTTTTCTGGTCCATGGCCGGCGGGAGACCCGAGTACATGCGCCTGCTGTTTCCCGATGGCAAGATCACTCCGCAGAGCGCCCTCAAGCTGAGAGAAGCCCAGGGCGCTGTTGAGGGTGCAGAATACACAGAGGCGGCTCGGGGAAAAGCCTGCGGTCACATATTCCGTGCTGGCGAGGCATCCTACGGGTGCCGCACTTGCAGCGCCGACGAGACTTGCGTCCTTTGCAGCAAATGCTTCGATGCAACTGACCACGAAGGCCACATGGTCAAGATCACAATCTCGCCGGGAAATAGTGGGTGTTGCGACTGCGGTGATCCAGAAGCATGGAAACGGCCCGTATACTGTACTATACACTCTGAACTCCATGGCGACCAGTCCAAGGGCAAGGGTAAGGAGGCAGCAGGTCTGCCTGCCGATCTCGTTGGCAACATTCGAATGACGGTGGCCCGGGTTTTGGACTTTATCTGCGATGTCATTTCTTGCGCGCCAGAGCAGTTGCGACAGACCAAGACGAGAGAATCCATCGAGCAGGATGAGAAATCGTCGCGCCTCAACTCTGTTTATTGCGGCGGCGATGTGGAGTCACCCGGTGAATGGGCTGTGCTACTCTGGAACGATGAAAAACATACTGTTGACGAAGTCGAATCTCAAGTCGCCAGGGCTTGTAGAACTACCATGGCAGAAGGCTATAAGAGAGCCCTAGAGACCGACAGCATTGGACGCAGCTTGCTCATGTATAGCAGCGATATCGACCACCTCTTGAATGTAGCCAAGATTCTGGAGCAAATCAAGGTCACCGTCACCATCCGTTCATCACGCGACACCTTCCGCGAGCAGATGTGTGGTATCATGATTGGCTGGTTGAACGACATTGCTGGCTGCCTTGTGGGATCCGATGGCAGTATCCTTCGGCAGATTGTCTGTGAAGAGCTTTTGAGGCCATGGAGAGAGGGCAGTCCTGCTTCGCACAAGAGCAACCCTCCCGGGATCGAGGACGAGGCGCTCATTGAAAAAGAACACGAGTTAAACGAGTCAAATCGCTATTTCATGCGACGCGCGCGAATCCTGGCTCGCATGAACGCTGCAGGACAAATGACCGCCACAGCCCTAATCGACATGCTAGATAACTCCGAGGACGAAGATGACGATGGGAATCAGACACCTGGCAGCGATGACGATGATCATGACGACGATGAGGATGACGACGATCTCGATGGCGATGTCATGATGATTGATGCCGGGGCTGGTGCAGAAGTTAATCTGCCGCCACTATTTGGAAACAATGATGGCCCTGGAGATGTACTTGATGATGACGAGGCTACAATGGCAGGATATCCGCCTCCTCCACCGCCTCCGCCACCGGTACCAAGACGTACAACGCGAGACCGAGAGCTCACGCCTTCAGACTCTGACACTGCTGAACCGTTGATATCATCAAATGTTTACGCCAAGGTCAATCTTGAAGTCCCCAAAACTCCCGGTCAGAAGCAGGGAGACAACTCGGAGCCCCCGCGGCCAGGGCGATACTGGCTTGAGGCGCCACCAGCCTATTTGGAGCCTGCACCAGCGCACAGCTTTGAGGATGTTTTTGAAAGGGTTCGTCTAGACTGGTTAATTCTGTTCGATCTGAGGATGTGGAAGAAGGTTCGCCAAGATCTTCGGTCCCTATACATTTCGACTGTAGTCACCATACCCGAATTCAAGCGCATCTTGGGGCTGCGATTCGCTGCGCTCTATACCACGCTTGCTCAATTGTACCTTATCGGGGACCGCGAGCCAGACCACTCCATTATCAACATCTCACTGCAGATGTTGACAACGCCTTCCATTACGGCCGAAGTGGTTGAGCGCGGCAACTTTTTAACAAATCTCCTGGCCATTCTCTATACGTTCCTAACCACCAGACAAGTTGGGCATCCGTGGGAAGTGTCCTCGAGTGCTGTTCTCGGTTTTGATACAGGATCCGTCACCAATCGAAGGATGTACCATTTCTATGTTGATATCAAGTACCTGTTTGGGTCGCCTCACGTCCAAGAGCGGATGAGAACGGAAGAGAGATATCTGCTGCAGTTTCTGGATCTCGTCAAGCTTCACCAAGGTATCTGCCCAAACACGCGAGCTATTGGTGAGCACGTTGAATACGAAACAGACAGCTGGATCGGAGCGTCATTAATGACACGCGAGATCAATCAGCTTTGTCGACTGCTGGCCGACTCCTTCCGCAACCTTTCAGAAGATGACTTGCAGCATATCTCCAAGGCAACCAGACTGACTGCAAAGAGTGTCATCATCAACTCTATTGGAGCCGAACGTGCTCGCTTCACCCATGCAGAGATCAAAGACGAGGTTCGCTTCAAGACTCTCAGTGATTTTGAGTTTGCTGGCGAATCCATCAAGTATGATGTCGTCAAGTTTGTGGTTGATGAACAGCCTATAAGCTTTCACCACGCTCTTCACTACACATTGTCTTGGCTCATTGAGTGCGGCAAGCACATGTCCCCACAACAGCTTGTTTCCATTCTGAGCTTCACTGCTCAAGATCTTAAGATGAAGCCAAAGTCGATGGGCCGAAAGGCCATGCCTAAGCGTGACTATGCTCCACAGGACTATCTTATGGCTGCTTTTGACTACCCACTCCGTGTCTGCGCCTGGCTTGCTCAAATCAAGGCAGGCATGTGGGTGCGCAATGGCATTAGCCTTCGTCACCAGGCTCTCACGTATCGCAACCAACTTCACCGAAACCACACGCACCACCGGGACATCTTTCTGCTGCAGACTGCAATGGTCGTATGCGATCCTGGTCGTGTGCTTGCGTCCATTGTTGATCGATTTGGCATGGAGCAGTGGGTGAAGGGCATCTTTGAGCAGACAACCGACGGTCAAGACGTGAATCAGCATCTTGACATCATCGAGGACATGATACATCTATTGATTGTGCTGCTGAGCGATCGGACATCGTTGATCCCTACACAGGATAAGCATGAGACTCACTTAATGGCTATGCGCCGAGATGTCACGCATGTTCTCTGCTTCCGGCCCTTGTCTTTCAACGAGATCTGCAGTAAACTTCCCGACAGATTCCACGAGCAGGAAGACTTCCAGCAGGTACTCGATGAAGTGGCCACCTACAAAGCACCCGAGGGTGTTTCCGACGTGGGAACGTTTGAGCTTCGGCCTCATTTGATTGAAGATATCGATCCTTACATTGCCCATTACAACAAAAACCAACGTGAAGAGTCGGAAGCCTCTTATCGCAAGCTCATGGCCCAGAAGACTGGCCAGCCTCTCGAAGATGTCGTATATGAACCCAAGCTGAAACCCATCAGATCGGGAGCATTCGTTGGCATTGGCAACTTCACCAGCACTGGCATGTTTGCGCAGATCATTTACTACTGTCTTCTCTATCCACTTGTGGCACAGAAGCTTACCCCCGATGTTCCCTTCACTCGGGTCGAAGCCTTCTTGCAGGTTGTGTTGCACTTGGTCTTGATCGCAATCGCCGAGGACAGAACCGAAGAGAAGGGTCCCGAAGACAGCTCCTTCGTCTACATTGCTCTCAACACTCAAGGCCGCAGCAACTTCCTCCAAGATACGCCTGCCGCCAAGACCATTGTGTCGCTATTGGAGTTGATAACGTCAAAGGAGGAATTCAAAGCATGTCATGCCAAGATTACCTTGATTCTTAAGAGAATGCGGCAAAAGATGCCCTCACACTTTGACTCTGCATATCTTCGTTTGGGCATACCAATTGACAGACTGGATACTGCTTCTCCAGCCAGTACTCAGAACGCAGATGAAGAGCGAGAGCGTAAGAAGCGGGCGGCGCTCGACCGTCAAGCCAAGGTGATGGCGCAATTCCAACAACAGCAGAAGAGCTTCTTGGAGATGCAGGGCGACATTGATTGGGGTGATGATGATTTGGAAGATATCGACGACGCGCCACCGTTGGAAGAACAAAAGAACTTTTGGAGATATCCCCGAGGAACTTGCATCCTTTGTCAAGAAGAGGCGGACGATGGACGCCTATATGGCACATTTGGGTTGTTCCTTGAGAGTCATATCCTTCGTCAAACGGATTTCCAGGATCCCGACTTTGTTCGCGAAGCCGCCAAGACTCCAGTCAACCTCGACAGGACAGCTGAGCCTGACAGGCCTTTTGGTTTGGCGCACGAGAACCGCAAGATGGTCCAAAAAGTAAACGCAGCTGGCGAAGTATTCACTGCTGAGAAGCAGGGTATCGGGAAAGGATTCCCTGCAAAGCTGTGTCGCCAGGGGCCTGTGGCTGTGTCTTGTGGTCATATCATGCACTACAGCTGCTTCGAGACATATATCGAGGCGACCTCACGACGACACGTTCACCAGATTGCACGTCACCACCCTGAATCTCTGGAGCGAAAGGAATTTGTTTGTCCACTATGCAAAGCTCTAGGCAATGCCTTCTTGCCCATTACCTGGGACGGCAAGGAGGAATCGTACCCCGGTATCCTGCAGAATCCGGCAGACCTCTCGTCGTTCTTGGAGACGCCGACACAACTTGAACCGTCAGACTTCTACCAGGCTGGGCAGCAAGCGTTTGCAGATTATGTCAAGGTGAAAATGCCCGAGACACTCAGTGAGGCATCCTCCCAACATGGCGGTTCAGATTCAAGCTGGGATGTCTTTGTTTCGCAATCAACAGGCATTGGTACCCCATTTAGCGACGCGTTCTCGCCCGTGGCCACACCAGATTCCAGCTTGAGATCTAGGAGCCCCGAGATTCCCCATGACAAGGTCCTCAGGCGAGCCTATCACCGTCTGCGAGAAACACTTTCTAGCAACAAGTTGTTGAACAGACTGGATCCGGATGTGAAGAATGAGGATGTCGGCGGCAACAGGGCCCTAGCGCAGGCTGTGGGTTTCTCGATTTCGGCAACAGAAATCGCCCAGAGGGGCATAGAAGCGCAATATGGAATGACTCTTGTTGAAAAAGTTCCGGAACAGGGACTGATACAATTGCGGATTCTGTCGGAGACGGTTGCTGCATACATTGCCATTGGCGGGTTGCGATATGGTGGAGAGAGTCGTGTCAACAGTGAGTATCGGAGAGACGTTGAGCGCCAGATTTGCCAAGTGTTCATCTCGGAATACGAAGGCTACGAGACGAGCAAAGGACGACCGGCGATTGACAGCTTTGCGCCTCTCCTGAGTGAGGATCCGTTCATTGTCTTGTGCGAGAGTGTTTTTGGAATTGGCATGTCTCGGTACACGGATATCAATAACCTGGTAAGGCTGTACTATCTAGCCGAAATTGTGAAGGCGGTCTATCACATTGCGCGGAATATGCCAGTAGGAAAGTGGCTGGAACATATGGTGAACCGGGACCCTGAGGACAATGCGCTGGCCAATTTTGCCGCCTTCTGCAACACCATCACTTTGACGGGCATCAAATACAGCGGTGAGGTTGGTGAACTTTCCGAGGACCTGCCCAATCTCGGTTTTGAACAGCCGTGTATGAGCAGCCTCCAGGACTTTTACGCCTTTGTCAAGAAATATGCCCTCGTCTTCCTCCGCAAGACGACCATTCTCTTGCATGTCCACTATGGCGTCGATTTCAACAGCTATGTGCCGACAGCACCCGAGGAGGACGAACTGTCCCGACTCACAGCCGCTCTGCGTGTCCCGACCTTTGACGAGATGTGTGCCGCTCTGACACAATTTGCTCCTCAATGCGGATGGCCATCACGCATCGAGTCGACTGTGCAAGGGTGGATCAAGCATCAAGTCTACTACCCTCCTCCTGCACCCCCAACCAGAAGGGAAGGCCCCCATGTACTGCCGAGATCTGCGCAGCTCAGTCACCCGGGTATTTTTGAATTGGTCGGTCTGCCCAAGAATTACGATACATTGATCGAACAATGTGCACAGCGACGTTGTCCCAGCACTGGCAAAGATCTTGCAGACCCAATCATTTGTCTGTTCTGCGGAGATATTTTCTGTGGCCAGACTCTTTGTTGTCTTATGGACTACAAGGAAGACGGGCGAGACGACAAGCCAGCCATGAAGATTGGCGGTGCAAGCCAGCACATGTTGTTCAAGTAGGTTATCCCAATGCTTGCCAGTAGACGGTTTTTTTTTTTTTTTTTTTTTTTTACTGACTTGATTTCTAGGTGTCAACGCAATATTGGTCTTTTCATCAATATTCGCAAGTGTTCCATCTTTTACCTGCATCGAGTGAGCGGCTCGTTTAGTAACGCTCCTTACATTGATCGGTACGGCGAAGTCGATGTAGGTCTCCGGCACGGACGTCTCCTCTACCTGAACCAGAAGCGTTATGATTCCCTGAGAAACATTTGGCTCTCCCATGGTATTCCCAGCTTCATCAGCCGGAAGCTGGAGGCAGACATTAACAATGGTGGATGGGAAACTATTTGATCCATAGGGGTCAGGATTGGTTCTTTGTGACAAATAGACGATAGGAGTAGACAAGACGACTGGAGACATGCAGAGCATATACGGGCATTTCGTTAGACCCTATTCGAGGGCCGAAAAGATGGTCGGCGGATCATGCGAGGTATCAGCCAGCACAGCATTTGCAATTTTCTGGCCTCTCGTTCATACCTATTTAGCACGCAAGGTTCAATTGTGGTTCAGTACCACGAGGCCACGGGGTTTTAGGTGTATTCGGGTAGCTGTCATGACTTACAATATATAGATGCCTGATGCCTAGTCCTGATGAATATTTCGATTGTTGAAATGGGAAGCAGCTCAAATATGTAACCATGAGCAATGCCATGTGACCAGATGGAATCAAATGATCAAGATGGATACGGCAAAGTGAATTTCAATACAATACGCGTGTCTTGGGTATATACTAAAGATAAAATCATGTACGTAATCCTGGTATCAGTGCTTGTTCATTATAAAAGTTTCCACCTGGAATCAGTGCCACCAGCGTTACGACTTGTCCCTACTACCCTCTCGACTAGTCCTCGGCGGCAGCGGGTCCTCCTCATGGTGATGCGCAGCAGGCGATGCGCCCCTTGCTCCACGCTCGGCCGCCACGGCATAGGTGCGCACGTTTTCAATCTCCCACTCAAACTCCTTGAGGGCGCGCATCTCGGAGCCGACAAAGAGGAGGGCAATCAGGCCGTCGACGACGCCGACGGCCAGGCCGAGGCTGGACAGCACCATGAGGATAAAGGCGACATAGTGCGGCGTCCACCACACGCCAATGTAGCAGATGATGGTGACGATGAGCCATGTGCCAAAGTGGATGCCGCGCCAGCGCCGCTGGAACCGCTCCCGGGCCATGTAGGCGCGAATCTCCTCGAGGATCTCGTCGTAGGTGCGCGCGGGGAGGTAGGCGACGGGCTGTGCGGCGGCGGCCAGCTGCGCCGCGTACGACGACTGCAGTTGCGCGTGGGGGCTTTCGTTCTTGGTCTGCGGCAGATGCGTCTCGGAAGTCGAGGGGGACTGTAGGTAGACACCATTCTCCAAGTCTGCGTTTGGTATCTCGGTCGCTTTGGTTTCGGCCAGGGATACGGCGGCACCCCCGGGAGGTCGAGGCAAAAGGTTTTGTCCGTATTGCGCAGATCGGCCCTGATACTGATATTGATCGCCCATGGGAGAAGACGGCACGGTGGGGTTCTCGCGGTGCAAAACAAGTGTCGCCTCGACGGAGAAATGGTCCGAAAGGCTGCAGCCAAGTTCTGGATGCCGGCCCATCATGCCGACTCGAGCGTCATGGACGACCCAAGCAGCCCGGTCAGCATCCTCATTTTCAGCAAGGCCCGACGACGCAAAAATATAGTCGATGCGCTGGCCTCTGGGGTCGAGGGTATCCGGAGATATCTGGGGCCAGTCATTTTCGCGGCCTTTGCCAAGGAGTCTTTGCTGTGCCTTGGGCCATCTCCATGTGTTGTATATGGTATTACTCGTGGCGCCGTTTTCATTAATATTGTATTCTACTGTTGGAACAGGTCGCCGCCGGGCACGTTCTGACTCGTCATCGGCTGAACCCACGGATGAATCAGGGTGAAGGACCCTCCAAACGTCCTTTACGGTAGAGTGGGAAGTGATGATACGATGCATGAGGGACATGGGTGTATCGTTGAAATCCCCCAGTGCCAGGACTAGATGACCACGAGCAGCAGCCCCGCGCAAAAGCTTGGATAGTTCCCAGGCTTGAGAAAGTCGATGGGCGGTATATGTACACTTGGTTCCATGTTCATAGCTGGGATGAGTCTAGGACGTCTATCGTTAATACTTGTGTTGTGTATATAATGGTCCTTCTTTCGGCCGACTTACATGAGTATTGAAGACTTCAACCACATCTCTCGGACCAGTCCCGTACCGAATTTTGGCACAGGCGACTCCCTTTCCGACAAACCAGTCTCCGCGGAAGAAGGCAGTCGGGCGTCCGTTCAAGGGATACTGGTGCATGGAGCTCTCCTCTATCGGCCATTTGGAGAGGATAGCGAGACCGCCTCCAAACGCTCCGCTATGGTAGAATTTGCCATATGGCAATATGAAGCGGGTGGCCCGGCGAATGGCCAGGTAATCTTCCTGAGTCCAACATTCCTGCAAAGCTACAATGTGCGGTGTAGGTGTCGTGGAGCCAATGGTGTGGCCTATGACCTGGAGTCTGGCGGCGCGCTGAGCAGAGAGATGCAAGAGACCCCAGCAATTCAAGGTCAATATGTTGAGCTCGGTGAGCTCTGTAGGGAGGTCATCCATTTGTGTTGTGCCGTATTTTTATCTATTTGGTTGTTGCAGGGAGTATGAATGGTATGTTGAAGACTTCTGTCTATGAAAGAGGAAGCAAGATGAGTAAGAAAAAAAAGATTAAAAAAAGATCAAAGCCGTATATAGGCACCAAGGTAAGAGCAGATTGAAATTGATACAACGAACGACAATAATTCACAAAAGGAAATAATAATGGGAATTCTCTACCTTATCCATGCCACTACCAAGTTAGTGATGTCCGCCTAAGCTTCGGGGCGTTGCTGATTCCGGCAGTCCTGCCGAGCTACCCGCCAGCTACCTCACAGTGCTACAGAGCACAACGTACCGGAGGCCGTGTAGTTTGTAGAAAATATCAGGTAGCGTGGGAGGATCAGCAGCTATTCTAGCAGATCTGGATCAAAGGGATCGAAGTGCAGAATTTGCTGGAAATGACATGTCCGTACATATTTTATGCGCGGTTACCACCCACTCATTCACCCAAGTCACTCAAACAAATTGATTGCTGTCTGCCAGTGACAGGGACCCGGAAGAAGAGGAAATGAGCCAATGCAGGGGTCGGGAATAGCCTCCGCAGATATCACCTGCCATCCATGGCGACGGTAAAGGAATGCTCTGAGAGCCTCGCCACTTGAATAGGGTTGAGGGGGCGGAAGAAGGGGGCCAGAAGGAAGAGCTGGGAGGATGCTTTGCCGAGAGACTTTACGAGAATCTGTGACCTGATCCTCTCAAAGAGGAAGAAGGGCGGCGTCTGGGGATGTGACGAGCTTTCCAATCCGGTGCTTCTTTAACACGGTAATGCCAAGGCGTGTCGACAACTCCAGCATCGGACCTCGAGAAGGTTGAGCTCCAGCTCCCTCGACTTGACGTGCTTGCTGCTTGTCCCCACTGATAGGGTGCCCACCTGTACCAAGGTATTCCGCACAGAGAATGGAGCTGCTGTGCTGACGATGATCTCCAGCTCCACTTGGAGGTTCACGAGGGTGACCTGAAGGAACGATGGTACATTCTTGTCCGACACAAGCAGCTCGACGGTTCGGGGGAGGTGGATTCAAAGGAGCTCCTGTATGCACAATCCTCAATTGATGTAGAACTCCTGGTCTCTGCAGCAGCAATCATCAACAGGTATACCAAGATATCAAGCTGCAAGATTCAGGGTTCTTGAAATGCAGGTGAAATATGCGGTTGTGTCCGCGAATCCTTAGAGTCTGCAGTTCAACAGGTACGTACCACCTGTCTACCGTTGTTTTAGTGCAATTACAGGGGTTACCTCTTGACGGGAATCCACTCTGTCAAGGAATTACCGAACTCCAGGGCGTTTGTTCATGCACTAAAGCCATTCCAGCTTAGAACAAACATGTGCTGACCTTCAGCCTTGTCGCAACATTTCCATTCCCAACCCCACAGTCCCGAGGCTGCGAATGGAATTATTTCTCCCAAGAAGTGTTGCACATGAATTAAGCAATCGACGACACCAATGCCTGGGAATTCCCTTTGATCGATGGCTCTCTCCCCAGCCTGATTAGCAAATCACACGCCATCTTTCACCCGCCAACGCGATTGAAATTCCCGAAATCCCTACGACCCTCGTTCCCCAACACCACGAAGCTACCCACATCCTGACGCCGCGGCTACCAAGTCACGACTCTTGGTTGCGCCATCACATCTCAAGACCCCAATCCGTCTCGCCTACACTCAGAAACCATCCTTGGCCAATGCGTGCATCATAGCATCGACTTTGCCGACATAACCAATGTCAGACACGGAGCCAACCAGCGAGGCGCCAGCCGCCCAACCCCGGTCCAAGCGACGCAGAGCTCACAATGATGAGGATGAGGCCGCCAGCGGCGACGACAAGAGATCTTTAAAGGTTCCCATGCGCGCGCGCAAGCCAAAGGAAAGCCGGAGCCCAAGCCACGCCACCGACCATGACGATAACAAAGATGACGACAAGGAAGAGAAGGCCGATGGCTACTACACGGATCGTAGCACATCGCGGAGTCGGTCGCGCTCCCAGTCCAGCACCAGGTCGTCTCGAAGGTCCAGATCAGGGACGCGCTCAAGGTCAGAATCAAGATCAAGATCGCGATCCCGCTCCGAAGAGTCCAGGTCGAGGTCACAGTCGCAATCGGATTCCCGGTCCGTCTCTCGCTCCCCTTCTCCCGTGTCGGCATCTGGGGAGCCCACACCGCTCGAAACACCACATAACGAGGCCGGTACGGCCACGCCGGCAGAAGTGCCAGAAGAAGAAGACAATCAGAAGCGCGTCAAGCCCAATTTCAAGCCACGCCTGGTGCTAGGGGGCCACCAGAAGCCCATATCGCAAGTGCGCATATCGCCCGACGGTCGGTGGATAGCGTCGGCGTCGGCAGACGGCACCATCAAGATCTGGGAGGCCGCAACGGGGCGACACATGGATACGCTGGTGGGACACATGGCGGGTGTATCAACGGTGGCCTGGTCGCCCGACTCCAAGGTGCTCGCATCAGGGTCCGACGACAAGGCCATCCGGCTGTGGGACCGGGTGACGGGCCGGCCCAAGCGGGCGCGGCCCCTGCTTGGACATCACAACTACGTCTACTGTCTGGCCTTTTCGCCCAAGGGCAACATTCTCGCCAGCGGCAGCTATGATGAGGCCGTGTTCCTCTGGGACGTGAGGGCTGGTAGGCTAATGAGGAGTCTTCCGGCCCACAGCGATCCGGTCAGCGGTATAGACTTTAGTGTCGACGGGACATTGGTCGTCAGTTGCAGTACCGATGGATTAACGTTAGTATCCTTTTCCTGTTTCTTTTCTCCCTTGCTCATCTTTTGCACATGTTCTTACTCATCTTTTTCTGCAGCCGAATCTGGGATACACTCTCTGGCCAGTGCCTCCGCACCATGGTGCACGAGGACAACCCTCCCGTAACCTCGGTCTGCTTTGCTCCCAATGGGCGCTACGTGCTCGCCTTCAGCATGGACTCGTGTCTGCGCCTCTGGGACTATGTCTCGGGCTCGGTAAAGAAGACGTATCAAGGCCACACCAACAAGGGGTTCAGCATTGGCGGCTGTTTCGGCTCCATTGACGACAATGGTAGCAGTAACGGCAGTAGCAGCAGCGACGAAAACAGCAATAGCAATATTAATAATAATAATCACAGCAGCAGCAGCAAGACGGCCTTTATTGCCGCCGCCAGCGAGGACGGCGATATTGTCCTCTGGGACGTCAAGACCAAGGAGATTGTCCAGCGCATCGAAGGCGCCCACGACGGCGTCTGCTTTTGGGTCGATGTCAATGGCGATACCATGGTAAGCTGTGGCCAGGATGGCAAGATAAAAGTGCTACGACACCAAGCGCCCGAAGCATTGTCGAATGGGGTCGATGAGCCAATGGTTGATTCTGATGGTGCTGCTGCCGCCACGCCGGCTGTGAATGGGGACCAGGAAAAGTCGGGCGAGACTCCGGCGCAAGATGTTGAGATAAAAGACGAGGAATGAAGCATGTTCCAACCGGCAATCATATACCAAATCAAGTGAGATAGCTTCTTTGCAAGCCATATGAATCTATGCCATACGTATAATGCTACACAATCACATTGCAAACTTAACATTGACTTGCGAAACCACTCAGGGATGTTCGCGTGGAAATCTGTTTTCGTAGACCGGCATCAACTTGTGTGATTGTTGCAAGAGACATAGATCATAGGCATAAGGTCTATTGAATACTACCTAGCAATGCTCTTCTCCACCATAAAAGCCCATCTTCCTGTCTAGCAATGATTGTTTTGCAGAAATTTGTACAGAATTCGAAGCTCCAAATTCGTCACCATCGCTTCATTTGACACGCAGCAAAGGAGCTTCGATCCCAACCACGAAACTAACCTCCAATCCTGATCTGGCCACCATACCGGGCTCTGTGCGCAGCTATACTTTCACTCTCTCTTTGGCCATTCGTGTTCACTTCTTCTGAGGGATTTCCTGTTCCTTCTGTCTTGATGGATTCAATGGTTTCTGATAGAAAATTTCTCGCCTCCATTCTCGTCCATGTGTAGCCCAAGAAAGCACTTTGCTTTCGAATCTCCAGTACTACACCTTTTGTTTGGCGGTCCCTCAATAACCGGTCACGGGGCCGCTTGCGCTCCTTCTTTCCAAAGTTGCGCACAAACAGCTTGAGCCTCTCGACCTCGTTTGAGTCGGGCGACATGTGCTCAATCTCACGATGAATGCGTTTGAGGCGTATCGAATCATACGGCGAAGCCACAAACTGCGACATGACTGTTCGAATCGGCTTGGGCCAAGTTGCGAGTGTTGCGTGCATCTCTGCCATCTTTCGTGGGCTGTGGCGAGGCAGAGACACGGGCAAGGCAGCAGCGTGAATGTATGGGGCCGCTGCCACATCTCTAGTACTAGGGGGAGTCATGGGAAGGCTTTCCAATGCCATGCCATCCACTGGCGACGGATAGAATTGTGCTTCGATATCCGTATCAGTATCCGGTTGTGACTCGGACCAATCCGATATTGGTTCGTCCTCCTCAAAATAATGCGCATCCTCTATGTTGGAAAGTCGAGGCACAAAGGGTGGAGGTATCAGATGAAGACAATCCCAGGGAATGTCGCGGAACCACCTGTGTGCTTTTATGTCCTCAGCATCGTACGGATGAACAGCGCGGCCCATCATGTCATGTCGCCGACGCCTGGGAGACCGGAATGTCGGCGATTGATGTTGTTCTTGATCATTGATTTGGTAGCGTTTGGAACATAACCGGCTTTCCTTTTCGCAAATCAGCCAGCTCATGAGCTCCATGCAGCGATTTGAGATCAATGGTCGCGCCGGGAAAGCAAACGTCTGCTTGTGGTTCACGATATTGCGCTTGGTCTCCTGCCGGCCACCTGCTTCGGAAAGAAAAGGTGTATGTCCGTACAGGCACTCATACAGGATAATACCGAGACTCCACCAGTCGCATCTCGCGTCATATACCCCTTCACGGATCACTTCGGGGGCCATGTACTGGCTTGTTCCGACCACTGATCGGGCAGCGGTGCGATTCCCACAACGGTTGCGCCATTCGAGAAGAGGTTCCCAGTCAGCACTGACTGATGCCATGTGTCCATCCTTGCGTTCGTGCTTTCTCATGCCCTTAGCTACATTTCGAGTCCACTTCATGGTGCCCCCAAACCCTTCAGATCGATCCTGGGCATCACCTTCAACGGAAAGACCCAATTTGTGGACAAGACTGTATCTGTGGGTATGGTAGTAGCTTGTGTCGTGTGACCAATGGCCATCAAAGGCCAGCCCGAAGTCCGAGATCTTGAGATGGCCGGAAGCAGACACTAGAAAGTTGTCAGGCTTGATGTCTCGATGAATGAAGCCAAGGCCATGTGCTTCCTCAATGCACAGTATCATTTCCGCTATGTAGAACTTGGTTACTGGCTCACTGAGTATGTTCTCTCGTATCAAGAGGCCAAGAAAGTCGCCACCTGGCATGTATTCCATGACAAGATACAAATTGGCAGGGTCTTGGAAGCTGGCGACCAATGGTACAATCCTAGACGTACAAAATATCAGCTTTGATTATATTATCATGGACAGCGTCTTACCAATTTGATCCATCGGATGACACCAGAAAATCCCTCTCTGCCCTCAGATGGCCTTCTTGACTGGTGCGTATCATTGCAGATTTCCTGATCACCTTCATGGCAAACACAGACGGTCGTCCTTCGGGAGTTTTGGGTTCATCTGAGGTTTTCTCTCGTACAAGCCTTACAACCCCAAAGCTCCCTTTACCCAGAATCTTGAGAACCTCGTATCTGTTATCAAACTTTCCTCTTAGACCCATCATTGTCGGCACAAAACTCCTCGATCTGATGAGTCGAGTCTCTCGGAGATGATTTGTCTCTCTCCGGTAAAACTCTGCGTGTCTGGCATGTTTCCCCTGAGGCGACAGGTCGCTGCGGTATAGCTGGGCTCTGAGATATTGTAGTCGCAGAGCCCTGGGACTCGGCTTGGAAAGATTTTCGTTGTAGTAGGTCTCGAGATAAATCTTTGCCGCGGCAGCCTTTTCAACCGTCCTGATGGTGGGGGCCCAATGATCCAACACTGTCTCTGCAATAGGTTCCAAAGGTGAATCTCTGGAGTCTATTTCGGGTTCTTTGCTGCGTCGAATTACACTTGGAGTTGACTTTAGCTTCTTGTCCCCAGAATGAGTTTTGCTGCTTGACTTTGAGAACTTTGAATCGCAAGATGTTATAGGAGTTGTGTTGTTGTCACTGGCCAGTGCCGATAATGGGCCACTTGACGTTGTATTACTATTGCTGGTGCTATTGGATACTAGTGCATCTTGCAATTGGCTCTCAGAGTCTGATATGAGTGATTGAAGCTGGCTGAGAGAAGGGGCGGATGGTCTTGATTTGGGCCTTCGTCGAACAATTGTCTGATGAGGACTGAAGGGACTTCGCAGAGCTGACAACGAGAATACCCTTTTTAAAGAACGACGTTCGCCGCCATTCTGCAAAGAGGTACCCGCAGCATCAGTAGTAGCCGTATCCCTAAAAGATCCAGATGCGGCTGGGAGTTGTTAGTCACTCTCAACTCTGAGGCTCAAGGATCTCAAGAGCTTCAAAGGTAGCATACCACTATTTGTAAGCGAGCGCAGAGCAGTCAGCATTCGTGAGCTCTGGCGTCTCAATTTTCGAGGTCGCTCATTAGACGCTCTCGGTGACTCTGGAGGCGGTGTTTGGAGAAGTGCTGCATCTGGGGTCGTGTAAGTCTGGGGAGAGGCAGGCGCCCTTCCTTCGTTCACAGGCCTCTTCATGGTATAGCGTGAACGTAGGTCAATATTCGTTGGCGCCGTCAGTTAGTCGTCATGAAGAGAGAAAAAAAACATGACTTAGAGAAGTATCGACCAAAACAATGTACTGTTTGGGTCTGTGACAGACAGCCAGTGTCAGTAAAAGTGATGGATGCCGCGATGGAATGAATGGATGGTACAATTAATATGAACTGATAATTCAGTATTCTCCTGACGGGGACGCCAGGCAACAACACACTGCCTAATGTAGACGGCACGTGTGTCTCCTGAGTATGACAAGAAAAAGGAGAACAAGAGACAAGCCAAGGAGGTTTAAACCAAAAGACATTTTGGAAGGAAATGATGTCATGCATGTGCTCTGATGATAGAAAGTGCCAATCAACCACTATGCTCGTCTTGAGCATGTTAGAAGGGACAACAGCCGCCTCCTTTGACTGCTCTTACTCGTAGAGTTGTGCTTACCTTTATCCTGACGGTGATCGTAGAGGAAGCGAAGATGCAGACTTCATTAGAGTCTCTGCCCCAGTCTCCCTTTGAGCCGCAGAAAGGCTCGTTCCTTGTGTTCTGAAGTAGGCATCCTCGGCTCTTAGTCGAGGAAACACCACAGCAGTAGCATATGCTGCTCTGCATCTGCTGTGAGCATGTTGGTACCTTCACTTACGCCATGATAGGTTGTCATATTTCGTTCCGTGTAGACACGAACGGCGTAGGAAGAGAGGCGGATTTTACACTGAGAACATTATCTTCACAATTAGGACAAGACAGACTGGAAAATTCATTTTGATATGTTTTATTGATATGGAAGTGTTCTCCGCTTCCACGCCATGAGTCAACGCAAATATTCGCAGAAAGGAAACCCAGTACCTTGGTTATCTGAACCAACTTTTCATACGCCTGTGATGCAATGATGGAGCTCGTCATCCCTTGAAACAACATCTGCTTCCCGTATCTGGGAGAAGACCGGATCATCGCAGACTCGCGCAGGTCGGAGACGGAGACCTCACAGCGCAAGATATAATAGGAAATGTTTCGTCATACAAGCCATATGCAAATATGCTAGCTGCAGAGGAAATAAGGGTATTATGTAGAAACTTCGTTCATCTTTTTTTCAGATGAGGTGACAGTTTACTTGATCTCCAGCAGCTTGATGTCGAACACCAGGGTGGAGTTGCCAGGAATGCCGGGCTGAGATCTGCTGCCGTAGGCCAGCTTGGGAGGAATGGTGATGCGGCGCTCTCCACCGACTTGCATACCCTCCAGACCGATCTCCCATCCCTTGATGACCTCGCCCTTGCCGAGGCCGAAAGTGAAAGGCTTGCCCTTCTTGTTGGCTGTGGGGAAAAGAAGTCAGTCTTATATCTTGTCTAGACGTCCGTGGATTTGGAGGAAACTTACAGTCAAAGACCTTGCCATCCTGGAGCTTGCCAATGTATCGGACGCCAACCTTGTTTCCGTTCTTGGCAGGACGGCCCTTGCCAATCTTGCGGTCGTCGATGGTGACGCCCTGAACGACCTTGACACCAGGAGTGGCTCCCTTCTCGGCGTTAGCTGCGGGTCCAGTCGGGCCTTGCTCGAGGTTCTTGGCGAACTGAACCTTTTTGGCGTCCTTGGGGCTCTCCTTGGCCTTGGTCTCGACGGCCTCTCCCTTGTTGTTCTTCAGCTTCTTCTGCTGCTTCTTGCTGTTCTTGTCCTCGGCGGCATCGGCCTTGGCAATCATGGCGTCGAGGCTCTCGGCCTCCTCCTCGGCAGCGCGCTTGTTCTTGCCCTTCTTGGTCTGGGCCAGCTTGGGAGCCTCCTCTTCAGAGTCGACCTCAGTGATGCGAGGGTCGTCGAGACCGTCAAGCTCGTCCTCTTCCGAGTCGGAGCCTTCACCGTACATCTCCTCGAGCTCGTTGGGGAAGTCATCGTAATCTTCCTCATCCTCATCATCCTCGTCATCAATATCCTCGACAATGTAGTTGCCGGTCAAGTGAATGGCGTGAGTACCAACGACACGGAAGAAGACCCTCTCCTTGGGTCCAATGGTGATGTCAATGGGCTGCTGGTAGTTCTGGGAACAGAGTCAGCGGACGAACAACGATATCATGTGTTTCTGTTAAAACTTACGCGCTCAGTATCGAGGGTGCAGATAACGAACTCCTCCATGTCGTAACCCTCATCGTCATCGTCACTGTCCTCCTCGTCATCGTCGCTCGAGGTGGCAGGCTCCTTGCCCTTGGCGGCCTTCTTGCCCTTCTTGCCGTTGACCTTGGCATCAGCATCAGCCATCTCATCATCGGACTCCTCCTCCTCCTCCTGGGCAGCTTGAATAAGCTTCTGGAGAGCAGCCTCGGCCTTTGCCTTCTTGGACTTGGAAGGGTCGCTGGGGCCGCCGTTAGCCTCCTCATCATCGCTGTCCTCCTCATCATCATCGGATCCACCCATGAGAGCATCGAGGTACTCGTTGTCCATCTCCTCATCGAGGTCGGCGAACTTCTGGCGGATGAGCTTCAGGGTAGCACGAGGCTTGTTGGGGATGTTGCCATCCTCGTCAGCCTGAGGAGCCTCGGTAGGGTCGATGGCGGCCATGGTGATGCGGTACTGAGAGCAGGACAAGTCAGCTTGAGTTCTTTGAGATGGTGTTTAAGTGCCATCTTGCGCAATTCCCAGCCAAGATAATATTATTGCCAATGAAGGCATCACCATGTGAGAACGGGCAGAGCAATGAGATGTAGCTTACAGCAGCATTGGGAATGCTATCCTCCCCGGTCGAGGGAATGAGCATGTTTAGAGGAGGGACCTCCAGGCCGTACACGGCAATGGACGACATTGTGAAGGATTAGAGGTTGGAAATTGGACCTTGAGTAAGACTGCGTGTCTGGGGAGAAAAGAAATGTAATTGACACGAGAAAAGAGTCAAAAATATATCGCAATTGAACCAGATGGGAAGAAAATTGACTGCTGATATAAATAAAAGATGCCCAAGGAACGAGAGTTGCAAGGCCCAATTTTTTTTTTCCTCGAGTAGTAACGAGTCGCGAGTCTAGGAGGGAAGAAAAAAAAAAAGTTCTGAGCTCGCCGCTTGCCTCGCTCCTAGGCGCTGCCAAAAACTTCACCCCACTGCTGGGCGATAAGGGACGCTAGTGCTGCAGGTGCTCTTATCTGCGCCGTAGCAACGGCGCTAACGGTTAAGAGCTTTGGGTTAAGAGGGTCCATTGACGTTCTTTCCAGTTCTCTTCTTTGCTAGGATAATAATACGAGGCAGTCGGTTGCCTTAAGTTCCCCAAGGCTGAGGTTGAGTAATGTACGTAGTGCATTTCATTCATGATGAGTGCAGCACCGACTACATTCACGATCGAAGCCCTCTTGTCTCATGTTACAAGCAACTGAACATGAAGACTTGCGACTGGAAGTCCTCAAAGGTATTCACACGGCGAACAACAAGGACTGACTGCATATTGATCTCGGTGTTGCCTGGATCAGTCGTCTCGGCAGCCTACATGTACGACTTACATCAATTAAGATTCCCCATGAATGCAACGTCGGGCAGCATTGAGCTTCGCGGTTAAACAATGGCGTCTCTCTCATGTCTGCCTATGCATACATGATGTAAGCATTGATATTTTCAAGGCCCTCGCCAATCTGACACCCCATTTGGAGCGTTGGGTCCACCTCAGAGGAAAACGTATAGAGCCATATCATGAAAGAAAACGTCGGGGTCCGATGGGTTGTCACGGGGAGATAGTAGAAACCCGAAAAGAAGCTTTTTCTCTCCTGGCTAGGTAGCCATGCTTAAATCTTTTAAACGTTATGCTTTTTCCTCTTGTTCCCTTCTCTCTGGCTCTGAACTCTCCGTGGCTTCCGGCATCTTGTCAGACCCCGTGGACCCCATTGTGGTATGGCGTCGCTAACATTTTTTGCTGGATTTTGCTGGACTGGGGCTCTATGGGCTCTTGGCATTCCCATAAGCCAATGCTCATTGGATCGTGTCACCCTTGATATGACGTTGGACATGGGATGACTGCCGCTGCATCCGCACAAGACAATGTTCAATCCTCCCCGAGCATACCGCCCAGTCTTAAAAATGTAGCCTGCCCGCTGTGTTTTCCTCGTGCGCGTTGCTTCTTGTGTAAGCAGAGAAGACAATGGAAGAAAAAGCTTATTTTCAGTGTATGATATATGTTGCTGGAATTACCAGTATTTACTTCTACACATCTTGAAGTCCGCCAGGCCACCTCGTCTCATGCATCTTTCCAAGCAAAGTGAGACTACATGTGGAACACTCCGAACTATGCATCCTCGACGATTCCCACTACGCTTCGAGACCTGCTTGGAATTAGAGTTGCGCGCGTGTGCCCGACCTGCATCAAAGACCGTTGACAGCCCTCGATGAATACAGTATACACCTTGACCGGCAATTGTTTGACCATGTCGAGCTTATATGTCCTCTCTTATACAAGACTCAGCACTTGGCACTCTACGATCGCCAGACACTCGACACCCAAGCACGGAACGTATTGAACACTATCCCCAGTATGAAACTCGACTGGCTCTTGCCGTATACCTGAGCACGATCACCAGTGTCGGTCGTTTCCAGAAGGACTTCAACTAGAGGCTTGGGGAAGAACTCGGACTTGTGACGAGCATACGCTGCCACCAGGTCGTTTCCATTGGTTACGCCGCCTGATATCTCCCTGGGTCAGCAATCAAATACTGGCAATGCCTTTGCCAAACCTCGAATGAAGCCGACACTTGCGGGAACTTGAACAGGCAGGGGAGGGGAGGGGCAACGGAGAGCTGGAATGTTTTATACTGACCACTACTCCAGAAGTTTCCTGATTGCACCCATCTGAGCTCCGTGCCCTTTTGCACGATATCCTCGCCGAATTTTTCCTTGATGGTGTCTTGCATCCCTCTCGGTCCGCACACTGTCCGACCCTTGAGGAGGCCAGCATAACCACAGACAAATATACCAGTACAAACACTGAGAATGTCCGCTACACCAAGTCTCAAGTCAGCAAGTTGTCTGAAAGAGTAGCAACGGTAGGGCATGTCTCTTTGCCCCAGCACCCAGACAAGCACAAAGCCATTGAAACTCCCGACAAATGAAAGGACGGAGTGTCAGCCATCGGACGAGGAGATACGTACTATTGGGGCTCTCCCCTTGCTGGCGCAACCATTCCAGAGATGGCTTGTCAAACTTGGTACTCGGATCCGGACCCGGCACAATGATGATATCCAGCTTGCCCGGAGCAACCTCATCGTCCGAGAAGTGGTTCGTGGCGAGGACCTTGTGGTTCGCCGTCATGGGAATGGCCTCGCCCGGTTTCACGGTGCCGATATAATGGATCGAGACGCTCGGGGCACTATCTATCAGAACCTTGGGCATGAGATCCGTCAGCGGTGACAGATACTCGTACGACATGGATGCTAGTATGTCGACGCAGGATGCGTCGAGGAGCTGGCACTCGGTGGGAATGAAGACACCCAAGCGGACTGTTTTGCGAGAGGCACCCATATTGGTATCAGATGGTAGCTACAATATCCTACGTTCGTGGGACTTGAGAAGCTGAAGACCGGAGTGAAGAGTAGGAACACGCGAGAGAGAGAGAAGCTGATACGATCAATAGGCTATGCGATGTAACCCAGATTTCGAGACGCGCGATACACGGCACTGAACAGAAAGATATCGACTGGGTCATGTTGACAAAACGAGTATCTTATATAGGCATCAGTGATCTCTTCAGCCACGAAGTGGGACAGCGCCAGAGTCCTACGGCTATTGAGTACGCACTGTAAACGCCGGCCGTGCTCGGGGGAAGTGTCGTCTACAAGCCAAAATGAATCATTGGTGTGATTGGTCGCTTTTGAACAACCTCCGAGACCCTTCGGAGGCATCACGACAGCCCGCAGCCCGGAAGACATCGGACTACAGATGCGCCCAGACTTTCAATCATACCACCCCTGGCATCCTCTTGGAGTACCGTATTCAAACTATTGTAGGGTACATCACATCAGCTACAGAATCGTCATTTCTCACATCACGGTATGGCCAAGATCTCCAAGTCACAAGCCGGTAAGTTGAAATAAATTCATTTGAGAGCAATACAGTGTATCCATTTCATTATATGTCTGAGGACACTACATAGCACCAAGCGGCACGGTGAGTGTGCCACGGCGCCTCTTCTCGTTTCGTGTCCATCGAGTTCGACGCCAGTGTCGCCGTTGGTAGCCTTGCTCGCTTCTTCTCCTTACACATGTATTAAGCATTATTGGGCTAGGATAGATTAGCTGGGCTTCTTCGCATCTGCGAATACCCAGTCTCTTCTTCTCCAACCATTGCTGAGCTAGCCCTAGGCCTCAGCTGGATGATTCATCCTTGCGGGAGCCATCAGCGGTACATGCCGTCCGCTGTTCGACGCCGCCGTCATACTCTTATCTCTTTGCCGTTTAAACGAATGCCGGCAGGAAAGTTTTCATGTCTTTTCCTGCAAAATTGCTCCGAGAACTCCAATGGGCCCAAGGTAAAAAAAAGTTTACCCCCATATCTAGAATGCCAATGCCGATGCCATGCCATGCATTATCAACATCATGTTCTCTATTTACACATGCTTCTGGAGCTGTTGTCAAAAATGGCCACGCAAGGTGGCCTGCTGAGGTGGTGTAAAGGTGGTCGCAGGGAAGAGAAGAACAAAAAGAGGAGGCCGGATCTCTGCGCTTGATCGGCCCCAAAAGAAATATCTGGAAGAGCCAATGGTTGGTAGGTCATTATACCATGGCATCTGCTGATAAGGATTTCGACCTTTGCCGCACGACCTTCTTGCTGACCGTGTATACTAGGTCCTGCGTCCAGAATTGGAAGACCTGGGCTTGCGCACCAGGAATCGAACCGTACATCGGAGCGACCAGAGGGACCATGACGTAGTCGAGATAGTGCATCTTTCTGTCACGGTGTGCAAAGCACATTCCCTTGGCCAAGCCCGCATCGTTCATCTCCTTCTCACGAGCGGAAGCCATGAGCTTGTGGAAAGACTCGTACAGGAACAGGTAGAATGCAATTTGCATGAAACCAGCAGTACGGAGTACGTTGCAGACGGTGAAGATCCAGGTAAGGTGGTGAGGGTCTCCGTTACCTTCGGTGACCCAGAGGTACAAGGTCGATGCGATCACCAGAATAGTCATCTGAACCGGGAGGAAGTGAGCTTCGAACAGACGGTGAGCAAGCGACAAAACCCGGAGCCAGTCGACATCCTTCAGAGTATCGGTGGTGATGTCGGCAAAGACGCCGCTCTCGATGTTCTGGCCAGGAGACAAGTCATCAACCTGAGGAATGTACGTGTCGGACGGGTTGCTCAGCGTGATGTGCAGAGGACGGTAGTTTCTGGACGTGTGCTTTCTCTCCTGCCAGAGCTCCCAGCCCTTTCGCATGGCATAACCCGAGTCCAAGCAACCCCACATGTGTCGCAGGGCCTGCTTGTAGCGCGCCTTCATATCAGTAATAAGACCAGCGACGCCTTTTCCGCCGTCACCGCTGACGTTGCTCTGACTGACAGGGCTGAGCACGGTTCGAGAGGTCAAGTTTCCGTTCATGGCAAAGAAACACTTGAGGTACATGTGCAGATCCTCACCAATGGCTTCTGAATCCGCGTCCCAGCCACCAACTCTGTCGACGAGCACCAATGGAACAGAGTAGACCGAGGTAGGGGGTGCGATGGTGGAACCACTGTACAGACCAGACATGCCAGCGGCAGACCACAGAATGTCAGCAACACGGACGATAGCAGGCACATCGTTGGCATTTCGGTCAAAGATGATTGGAGCCGAGTACAGGGTGGTAGAGGCAGTCTCAGGATAGGCCAGATGCATGCTGGTGAGCGAGGCAAAGAACTTGGAAGAGAGGTGACTGTCGGCTGTTTGTTGCACAAATTGTCAGCGATTCATCCAATAAAAGTGGGCTTCTGTCTTGTCGAGCGGCCATGACATGCAGGTTTTGGAAACCATGTTCGCCTCAGAAATGGCCGAGACATGGGGATTGATGCAGGAGAGAAGGGGGGCGGATTGGTGTGGTGCGCACGTACCATCAATGCCAGTAACAATCACATCTTTGCGCTGGCTCATCGAATAACGCTCAGAGAGCTTTCGTGCTGCCCAAGCCATGTTGCTGCCTTTACCGGGAGCTTCACCAGGAATGTCCGAAGGGTGCAGAGTGAAGTCAATTGAGCGGAACTTCTTGACGAATTCCTGAATCAGGTTCATTGCCTTGAGTTCCGCGTTGTGCTCGCGCTGCTCCATACCAAGGTAGACCTGCAAAGAAATACGAAGGTTAGCCTCTGGAAGACGTTTTTGGAAAGATGGTCTGCATCATTGCAGGTTTGCGTTCAATCAGGGACCACCGGAACGGGGCGAAGTGCCGCGGCTTCTCGGTGGAAGCAAACCCAGTGCTCGGATCGGCAGGTGTGGTGAAAGTCAAATGAGTACTTACATCGTAGCTGTGCCGAGCCTGGGGGTGGGAAGCCAGGACATCCAGGGTCTCTCTCAAGGTGTCAACCTCTTCCTTGTAGTTGGGGATAACAATTGCATGGACAATGTTTTCAATCGAAGAAGCATCGCCGTCGGTGAATTGCTCCTCGAGGTCACCGGCCTCGCTGCTGGTTGCAGATGAGACGGAGCCGTCACGAGAAGAGGTCAGGGTTTCGGAGCTCGAGAGAGAAGTCGACGAGCCACGGCGGCGGTGGGAAAGCTTGATGTCGCGCAGCGCCTTGCTCTTCGCGTTCTTCTTGAGAGCACGCGTGATGCTGAAGATGGACCAGCAGGCTCGGATCGGGAAAGCAGCCACTAGAATGTGAATGAACAGACAGTAGTATGCGAAACCCAACGTCCACATGCCACCACCGGTGGTTGGGCTCTCTAACGCTGCTGCCGACGGTGCTGAGGCGTGATGTGTGTGCATAAGATTGTAGTAGCCATAACCAGTTGATGCTGCTTCCTTGCTCACGACCCAGTAGCTGAGAGCAATGGTCGCAACCATGGCCAGCCCACCGGCTCGCCGCGTAGTCCAGCCAAAAAGAGCCTCCATGGCGAACGTCTGTCGGAGTTGTGTGAATTGCTGGCGTTGATTCCAAAGGTGCAAGCAAGTAGACAGAAAAGGCCCAGTCGACACGCGCGTCAGGTGAAAAGGAGCGAAAAGAAAACGACGTTAAACGTCGTAGGTGCGCCGCCTTGTCTTTGACTGGTCGTGAAGCTGAAGAATGGAATATAGAGAGAGGGAGGAGTGGAATGTGGAGGAGAGGTGAAGAAGAAGATTAGGGACGAGGGAAATCAGGGTGGTGTGCTGACCAGTGCGGTTAGCGGGAAGGTAGAGGCGCAGCCTAGCGATGGGGACTGGAGATTTGGAGATTTGGATCGTTAGGTACCGTGGTAGTAGTGTGATAGGTAGGTGGCCAAGGTACTACTATGTAGGAACCTCCCTCCAGATCCAGCTTTTTCTTTTTCTTTTCTCGTTGACGCGACGAACCAGGACAGTCCAGTTAGCACGTTGTTTTGAGATTTGCTCACTGGGTCGGATCCAGTACTACTAGAGTTGGCAGACCAGGGGGGGGCTGAAAGACAAGAGGGCCGTCTCTCAACTGAGGCTGGTGCTTTTTGGCGGGGACAAGCGGCCAGAGAACAAGACGTTTCTTGGTCTCTTACGCGCTCTGTCTGTGACTATTTCTGGAAAGGGTTGATGGGGACAGATGCCGTATGAGGTGTGTAGCGAGGGGAGGGAAAAATTTTTTAAGAAATGGACCTGGGCCTGGCAAAGGGGGGAGATTTCTACCGTCGCGATGATGGATGTTCGTGAGCTGCTCTGGGTTAATACGCAGAATTAAAAAAAAGGGGAGATGAAGGACGGGCTCATCTTCTGACTTACTGGGTTCCAAGGTTAGCTAGACGTGCTGGGGTGCTGTGCTTGATGGGATCTCGGACAGGGTTAGCAAGTTTAGCTCTGCCTCTGGCGCGCAAGGAGTTCTCTAGTGAGCGCGCTAATTGCTCATTCTGGGGCTGGTCCGGGCGCTGCAAGCAAGAAATTTGGGGGTGAAGAATTCTATGGGGACTCGGCCAAGCTAGAAGTACTTGCCTACAACCCACCTGTAGGTGGTATGCATGTGGTTTAGAGCCATAGGAGCTGGCTATCCTAGGGTTTACAGCGGTTGGCCCCTAATTTGCGCTGCATGCTCGGTAGCTGATAGTTGCATATATTCTCTGGAGTCTACCATGTACGTACATCCTTGATGTCCGGGTATGGCCTCGGGGTCCTGTCCAGGAAAAACGCATGTCGTTTCTTCCTCTCCATAATTGCTAATGCAGCCAAAAACCCAGACGAAATTTCGCTGTCGAATCCGAAATATACGAATTTGCTTTTTATTCCGATTGTTTATCACAACTAAAACGATAACTGGATACATACAATTATGTGCTTACCTTTTACGTACTTGACCTAAGGGACCTCGTATATTGACCAGGAAATAATTTTGATGCCTAATCTAGGTACGGACTAGGTATAAGATGTAGTATATGTTGTAGTATGCAGTAGGTACTATTATAGACATTCGACAGCTAAGCACATGTTACCCAGATGCAAGCGAACAACCGAGTTCGTTTCAAATGCGCCATCTTTATTGCGTGCGCACAGTCAGCTATGTAATACTGCTCCCAATGGAGCGATGGCTGTATGCAGTGTCGACAGTAGTGTAGAGAGCCACTGGCGATTATGCACTCTGGACAGCTGGACACGGCAATTTCCTCTTTGTGACTGTTGCTGTCGCAGCATGCAGGATCCTATACTGACTGTGTGGGCGCCGCCGTACGGAGAATGGGGCACACCTTGGATGTGGTGCTCAACATGGGAAGAAAAAGCTCATCCGTTATTCAAGGGCAGTCAACTTCGTACCATGCTCGGCAATGATCCGTCAATTGTCGTCCTATCTCCTGTTACTAGCCAACGTCTTTGTGGATTGGATGTGGAGTATCACTGTCCTCCAAGCCCCTGTGCTGTGTCTATCTTGCTCCTTCAATGCCGGGGCAAATGACTTGCGTGGCTACGGCGAGATGACGATTGTTCATTGGTTTCCAGCATTTTGACGTCTGATCGTCGGCCCAGTAGCACGTTGTGTTCCCACGGCTCCTTCGTCTTGTCTGGTTGAGGTTTGCTGGGTGTGGCTGGCCCACACGGCTCTGGAGGCGGCTTGAGGTTAAGTTTGGCTTGGTGGACTTTTGGTAGGCTTGGTAGGCCTGCCAATGGCTTTGAATGAGTGGGCTATGTTTAGTATATTTTGTCTTTTGCCAGAGATGTCCATCATATAACGGCTCACGGCAAAGTTGGATGGAGGTGTCCTTTCGATGTCGGCTCCGCTTACTGATGATCCTACCAAATTTATAGAATTATGATGTGTTTTCTAGGTATTTTGACTTTCATCCCTCCCAGGCTGATGGGCAATGCTTCCATGCAGGGCAAAATTTATTACACTGCACAGCAGCCCCCCTGCAGAAGAATTTTGACACTCGTCACCAAAACGGGTGGTTTTCGATACCACAAAACAAAGGTGAACCGACCGAAAAATTGAGCTGTAACAAGGGGAATTAATCTCCAAGAGCAGGGAAATATTACATTTCTTGAATTGTATTTTTTACAATTCTTTTGGTAGATATTTGGCCATCTGAAGTTGGGATACTACTGTGTAGTGGGCGCGAGTATCAAAATTCTTATGCGGGCCTCCTGACAGCTCGCGGTGAGTGGCTATGCAGAAACGAACGAACTGCAGTTCGTCCCTGTTTCTCAATCGTCGTCACCGCTTGGCTTGGATGTTTCCGTACCTTCTTCTTACCAACACATCCACTTGCTGGTCCATTGATTTGTCCGGTTTGCCCAATAGTAAGCAATAGTAATTATCCCAACGGGTGGCTGCCTACAAACCATCCCCGTCTTGATGGCTTGGTTTGCATTTAGCACTTCTAACCGTCCAGCTCCTCCTGCTCCCGACAACTTTTAAGCTTATCGTTCTACAGGATATTCTTTCGCCGCGCTACGTACCCTACCGCCTGCCAGGTGGAAACCCAACCTCCGTACGCTGGGTATTGCATACACCGCACATCTGCTCACCCATATCTTTGGGCCACGTGCACTTTTTTTGCGACTCGATTGCTTGATTTCGAGACTCGTTCACGATCTATCGATACCAGTCACTTGACGGTTCCAAAAAGCCCCTGGAGTAGTGGGAAAACTGGGAATCCAGATCTGTCATCTTGGTGCGCGCGGCGCGCCAGATTCTTCTATTCGCGATAACGGTCACGCCAGAGCTAAGACGAATGCAGCCTCGAACTGTCTCGAGCAGGTATCGTCTCGAGTCATCTTGACCTATCATGGGCCTGCTTGGGGTTTTGGTGGGGGTCCCTGAGCACGTCGCTACTGCATTTCGACATCACTGACACATGCAATGCGGACTACCAAGTTGGAGAGAGAGAGCGAAAGAAAGAGATGTGTGTGCCATCACTCCAACAGAAAGGTGCAGCAGTACCTAGGTATGCTGCGACTCAATGGATGCATGAGCTGCGCAACTCGGGTTGCCGCCAAGGTGGCTCTGCCCCTGCTCTGCCAGCTGAGCCACCCGACTTTGGCCAGTAGCTCGCGGGAATGACTTTCAGGATTCTGCGCCTCTGGCAAGCCTCCTACTGAGTCGTCATCAGTCGTCAACGAGGAGAAAGACAAAAAAAAAAAAAAAGGCAGTGCCCTGTTTATTGCCTCAGTCAGTCGTCACCTGTTGTTCATCTAGGCCACGTTGATCACATCACGGCACCTGGCACAGGAGAATTTGCCCGATGTAGGCTTTTTGTGACAGCAAAACACAGTGGAAAAACATCCGACAATAGGCTTTGAGGCCACAGTCTGGCCGGTCCGAGACAATTTGCTCTTCCAGATTTTGCAACACCTTGGCAATTTGGCAAAGCAAGTCAAGGTGTGTTTACAAACTGGTCGAACGGAGTCCGTACGAACGACATGACTTTGAGATACCTTTTCTCTGCATTGTTTTCTTTGCTTTTCCCTACAGGCATATAGCCGCTGCGGCATGCGCTATTGGCTCTTCACATCTGTGCGGCGGAAATGCCGTATAACTGCATATGTGCACTCATGGACTGGCTGCCCTGCGCTGAAACCACGATCAGGTCGCACAGTGTCACAACGCAGCTTTCGCAAGGTCCCGCAGCCCGTGTACCGATCGCAGAGCCAAGATGGATAATTGCGCCAGCAGCCGTTGGTTGTATGCTGTGCTTGTACAATTCTATAGTACTGCCAGTACTGAAACTAGAGCACTTGCTGTTTATTACAGGTGGTAGATTCCAAGGTATGCTTGGCAACAGCATTAAGCCGGCGCCAATCAGACTTATGGTACGATACCGAGCTTCTGCAGCTGAGATCACTACCTACCTATGACCTCATCTGCAGCGTGAAGCGACGGGGAGCTCTCTAACGGATGCAACCCCAATCTGTCGGGGGACGAGTGAAGAATCGGGCTTCTTTCCACAGCAGTCAAACGTCTACGCACTGCGAACGAGGGTGCATCCTCGGCAACCTATTTTTTCAAGAGTGGTCCGTTCCAATCAATGTGTTGCCAGAAACACAACAGCAGCACAGTCGCGCAAGACCAGTCAACGACTAGGTATCGCATGAAAGTAGCAGTTTGCTTGCTTCGAGTACTATGTAACATGTGACATGTGTTTCACGGCGTCGTCGACCAAAATATTTGGGCGCCATGCAATATACTCACTAACAAGGAGGCAGCCGGTAAGATCTTAAAGGCGCCCATCTACAAGCTACATACTGTAGTTGAGAGATTAACTGATGTTCGCACACCCCGGGCCCACGCTCTTGTGCGACTAATCTTACTACTATGTACTTTAAACTCGTCATGCCTGTCATTGGCTCCGTCGCGCCCACGCACGTCGAGACGGCTTTGTCCATTGGCTCCCTGGTGAGATTAAAATTGGCAATTATGGAGACCTTGGCGTGGAGCAGAACCGCACCCGCTTGAAGATCCCTCATCTGCGCAATATTCCTTCCAACCTGCGAGGACAGGTCAGCTACTACCTACGTGCAATACGTGTATGTTCGGGTTGTTCGCAATCGCCTTTTATTATTAGGCATGTAGTCAGCAGTGAAATGAAAGAAAGTTGGACCCGAAAACTTGTGGGCGCGTTCCCGAAAAGCTTGGACAACATATTGCGCACAAAAAAGTCCGCTCGGGTGTCCCCGCGAATACCATCTTCCTACATACATACCAGTCATAGTGGGAGGATATGAGAGGTGCTACCTAGACTACACCACTGCTGGGGATATGCGCATAGAAAACGGGCGTCCGTGCCGTCCAGTCCACGGAACCGGGACCAACAAATCCACTTGCAACCGGCTTACCATATCTGGGTACGGTGTCAATCGCAACTCAGACCACATGGTCGGCAAAAAAATCCAAATTGGCAGGCTGGGAACTTCGATAACAGGTTCAACAAGATAGGGCTAAGTTCATTCGGTATAGGATGTTCAAAGTCCTTGTTCACCGCCATGGAAAAGAATCTTGTTCCATGTCATGGACTTTACAAACAACATCCACGAGCGTGCTTGCTTTGATGGGCCTCGATCGCTCCAATGTCCAAACAATCCCGCTGTCGACGGACGGCGTATGGGGATGGCTTATTTTTTTTTTTTCATTAAATTTTCTTTAAGTAGATCAATGCCAAGCCTTGGAGGGAGCTATACCCATTATGAGAAAATGATGCACATTATCTCGTTCACTTTGCCCATCACGGGCAGAATTGAGTCTCAATGCTCGGGATCGGAATCGATAAAAAGAAAAAGAGACGACACGCCTCACAGTTCCTAAGAAGTCGTCGTTTCGTTTCGGCTTTCCCACTCCCCCCACTCTCAATTCCCCCCCTCCACCAAAGACGGGTGCGGTGCGACCGGATATATATTCCCCTCCACCGATGACGTTGCCGTGTTCCTCAGAAGGCTGACAAGGCGAGTGGACAGCAGTCCATAAGCCGCGTTGCACGGGGAAAAGGATTGGAAATAGGACGGCCCTCTTTTTGTGGTTATCCGCGTATTTTCTTCATCTTCTTGTAGGGACCGACGAGGCGCATGGTTCATGCCGGACAATTCCAAGTTCCTGCAGGTGCAAAGTAGGACAATTTTTGATTACCCCGGCGCCTCTTGGGGGGAAAACGAAAGGTAGACAAGATCCATTCCCCCAAAGGCACGTTTCATGTTAAGAAATGGCGTTGCCGAGTCTTTGCACCGCGACCACGGCAACCGGGTTACCCAAGGCTGCCAACAAACATTTGGTTTCGTGGAATGAAAATGGGGGGTGGGCTAAGTTAGTGTAACGCCCTTCGAGTCCCTCACTAGAAGGATGTGTAAATGAGATTGAGCCCTACAAACGGGTTTCATGTTGTTCTGGCGTCGGCGGCAGCATCCACTGGACAATCGTCCAACTGTAGGCAAGCCTTGATGATCTGGGGATGCTGGGGATGATCCGGGTACTTGTGACTTGATATTTGCTTGCACCAAGGTACATTTTGATGGTCATCCGTGTCGGTGTCTCGAGGCAGATCTCTTCCTGGAATACGTGATGAGACGTGCCACGTTTAATTGACTCGGAATGGCTCGATCATGTTTGCATCGGAATTCAACTTGACAAAGTGATAAGCTTAATGCACCACTATTATGACTGGCAAGTTATGATATACCACTAGTATCTGATGAATCCCAAGTACTATGATAATCGTGGATGATGAAGCCTTGTACAGAATCTCCTCTCCAATCCTCAGCCTTGCGAGTACTATACCAGCAGCAAATGTGTCTCAAGATTAGAGACATGTGTTGATCCAGACCTTGATTGCACATCACCTGCAAATGCTTTCAAAACATGGCCAATCGAGGGAGAAACGATAGATCATATTATTCCACGCTTCTCCGTGTCTATCTTGTATGAGGGCTTTATAAACACTCGTGGACGGACTCTGGAAAAGGTTCGCGCATTGTGGCTTTGCAAGTAATCCGTCCAAAACGATGAAAACGACTAGCAGACGCCAGCCGTCTATCTCTACCTCAATTCTGAGACCTTTCGTGAAGTCTTTGCCTCCGCAACATTCCGAGGGCATTCCAATGGCACTCTTCTTGAGGCATTCCTACCTCATTTCGACCGTGCTGGCAGCCTGAACCTCGTCGACGTATTTACCTGGTCAATATGACTAGCATCGCAGCGCCGATTCCCTGTCAGTCACGATGAAGGGCCTTGATTATGCCGTGCATTGCATAACCTGAAAGATGCAGCAATAACCAATATACTTCGGGAAAATCTAAGTTTCCATGGCGCCGTGACTTCGTCTCTGGACAGACCGTGACAGCATTGAGAGGTTCAATGTCCTTCGGTCAACGAGCGAGAGCCCACAACCGAAAAGGGGACCGTTAGGCCTATTGTCGATGGCGCGGCTTTCGACTTATTTCCCTGATATCAGACGCCGAATCCATGCCGAACAACTGCAAGCGCCTCTTGTAGTTCTTGTGGATTTTTTGCATCAAAATTGGCCGTACAACTAGGTAATATTCTTCTCGAAAAGCTTCTGAATGGGTTTCGCAGCCTGAAGTCATGTTAGTATTTGGCAGTGAAGATATGCCTCCAATGATTTCAACTCACGTCGATAAACTTCTCCAGCTCCTTGTCCAGGTTGGCCAGGTCGTCCTTTCTCTTCTTGTTGTCCGAAATCAGTTTTTGCTTGCGCTTGAGAAGCTCCATACGCTTCTGTTCCAAGCCTTCACGTTCGGTGCGCTCATGCTCGATTCGGGCAATCATGAGCGCGTTCTCGTCATCTTCGGCATGTTCGGGCTTCAGTGCCAGGAACTCCTCGACCGGAATCAGCGGAAGTTGCTGGTATGTGTGGCTGTGAGCACGGATTGTTAGTTCTTGTATGGAGCAGATTACTCTATAGTGGGGAGCGTACTCATAGGACTCGCAAGCCGCAATCTCGCCTTGCAAATGACGCTGCTCGTAGTACAGATTCTGAAGCTGCAGGTGCAACCGGTCGACCTCTTGACGCGCCTCGGCTGTTTCTGCCTTGGTCTTCCGCGTGCTGAAGGTAGCTGCGCGATGCAAACCACGAACCTGGGCAAGGTGCGTAATCAATAACTTTTGCTGTTTGGATATCTCAAATTGAGCCTCTGCAGATGCGCTTTCCACCGGACCAGTAGCTGTGACCTGATCGACAAGGGCGAGGGCTTGGACACGCGCGTCGCGTGATGCGTTGAGTGCCGCGACCAGATTGGGTTCCTTGACGATATCGTGAGTTGCCATGTTTCTAGTAATGACTATTCCCAAATGGACGACTTCTTCGGAATCTGACAGCGATGCCACAAGCTGCCGGCTCTCAAATCAATGTCGGCACAGTTGGGAAGCCTGAAGAGTTGATGGCAATGTCGGCACGCCTGTACCCGTTCGTTGCGTAAGCAGTTTGTCGTGAAGCTTTAGCAACCACGGTACTACGGTTCGACTGGCGTTGGCTTTATCGATAAGAGTACCAAGAGCACCTAAGGGAAGTACGTAGTAGGTAGTGTACAGAAGCACCAGACTTGAACCTTTCTGGGGAACGGCGCGGCTGTGGCCGACACGGTTGGAGCGGCAAGGATGTATTGAGCGTGCCCGCCCGCAAGGAACGATCTTACATGAGATGAAGGTTCGCTCGGATTGGCTGTGTTGCATACAGTTCAAAGGCCTCTTTCGGCCTTGACGACACGCAAAACTTATTAGGACTCAACTGACGTGTTAGGCGGGGACAAGGCAAGGCTACACTATCTAATTTGGTGCATGCTACATTGTTACGATCGCTGAAAATTCCCCTTGATTGGGGAAAAATAGACATGTTGAAAGTTCTTGGCAAACCTGTTAGCTGCGCAAACTAGTCGCAGCTAATTGAGTGCCGAGTCTCATCTCAGCTGCTTACTCGAGGTGATTTCTCTGTGAAAGATAGTTTGAAGAAATCGTCATTTACAAGTACGAATTGGCACTTGCTTTCCCTTTACTTGAGCACAATGGCAATGTACATAATTCGTGTAAAGGAAATCAAGGGGCATCACTGACAGCAGGGTCTCCCCTCTTGACAGGCATTCCCGCATGTCCTGCACTAAGTAAACAAGCAATGGGAATGTCTCTGATGGCCGGGCCGGAGGCAAAAGACTGGACGCCTTCATATTTTTCTCACTCGTCCCTGCAAATGCCCCCAAATGCGCCCCAGCTCTTCCCAATTTCCCATCTCAGTAGCGGTGCTCCGATTCGCAGCGTATTTGTTGGGCCTAAAAAAGATCCTTACCTTGGTGCTTTAGGTCCCAACGGCCCCTCGATTGGAATCCACATAAAGCCTCCACCCGACCAATTGCTCTCCGACTCTCCGGCTCGTGGCTACGCTTACATGTGAAAGCAAAAGAAGAAGCCTCCCCCGTTGTTCTTCTTCGCCAATCCTGTGCAAACATCTCCTTCTGAGGAAACGTCGTACAGTTTATCAGCAAGCACATGTGGCGATCTGCCTGTCTGCTGAGCTGCAGCTGAAATCCAAAGAACCCCCCCAACCACATCCCGCGACTATCCACTGATCTGGGCCTTGCCTCACACGTGCATCATCTGCAGGGTCCTGGTGTCACTCTTTCAGCTGACTGTCGCTCTCTTTCGCACTCTCCCGCCAAATCTGCCACACGCAAGGAGGGGGGCCGCAATTCGATCAATTCAATTACAATAATACAAACACTTTATTCTTGTCGCTCATTCTGGAAGAAAGGCGCCCCTGGGAAATCTCCTGCGCTATTAGATAAAACTCTTACTTATTTTTATTCATCATGTCTTGTGCATCTTCTTTCGCAATGGGCTCGCAGGAGGACGTAGCCGAAGCGACGAGCTCCAGACCACAGCCTTCGGAAGGACAGCCGAGACAGAGGCGGCGGCGCTCTTCTTTTATGCCGCGCCGAAAATCCATAGTTCACCAGATCATGGATGGTGAGGAAGGGCTTCTTCTCAAGGTACAAACCACCGGTATCTCGCAAGGGTCTCTGGATATATCTTCTAACTTGCATAGGTTGACCTGTTTCTCTCCGAATTGGAAAAGCGCCTCGAGTACCTCGAGAGCCTCGGTGAAGTCAAATTAGATGCAAGCATATCTAGAGCATACTCAACCCTGCAAGCAGTCCAGGCAAGATGCTCCCAAGTATCGGAAGAGGTTATAGGGGCTGGACGGCGGAGGTTGCATGTGATGGTGGAGACATTGGATGCCCGATATCACGATGCGCTTGCCGCTGCTGAGTCCATGAACGAGAAAGCAAAGGTCGGCATCGAGCTGATGGACGACATGCTTACGGACTACGAAACAAGAGCACTCAAGTTCCGCGATCAAGGGCTGGCAAATGCTGCCGAAGCTGCTGGCTCTCTCATGGATGAGGGTCGTCGCGTAGTTGACGAGGGTATTGAGCGAGCTCGTGAGGTCGCCAACGACGGTCTGGAAAAGGCAAAGAGGGCAGCAGAGTCGGTCGAAGAACATGTGCAATATGCCATCACGCGCGCAAGGGAACACGGCCTTTTGAGATACGACGAGTTGCCAGTTCCTTGGAGGGTGAACCCACACATTCTCAAGGGCTATCGTTTCAGCGAGACAAAGCTGGGTTGCGTGCGGTCCATGTTCAACTTTTCCAATGAGACGGTCAACATTTGGACGCATGCCATTGGTCTTCTGCTCGTCCTTTCCTTGGCATTCTACTTCTACCCGATGTCGGCCAACTTCTCGCTCAGCACAAAGACCGATATCTTCATTGCGGCCGTCTTTCTATTTGCAGCCTGCAAATGTCTGGCCTGCAGCACGATCTGGCACACCATGAACTGTGTTGCCGACCAGACGCTGCTTGAGCGTTTTGCCTGCGTCGATTACACTGGCATTGCATTATTGATTGCTGCTTCGATCATGACCACCGAGTACACGGCATTCTACTGCGAGCCCATCAGCTGCTGGACCTATATCACCGCCACTGGACTGCTGGGCATCTTTGGTGTCATCATGCCGTGGCACCCTTACTTCAACCGTGCAGACAAGGCTTGGCTCCGCGTCGGCTTCTTCGTCGGTCTGGGAGCTACTGGATTCCTTCCCGTCTTTCAGATTGTTTATACCAGGGGCCCTGCTTGGGCTTATGACTTCTACATGGGTTCGAATCTAGTCAAGTCCTTGAGCGTCTATGTCATCGGAGCCTGCGTCTATGCCAGCAAAGTCCCAGAGAGATGGTTCCCTGGTTGCTTCGACTATTTTGGAAACGCTCACAACCTTTGGCATGTTGCTGTCCTGGGAGGCATCCTGTACCACTACGTTGCCATGCAAGAGTTCTTTGCTGGTGCATTCCGCCGTGCTCAGTACGAGTGTCCATCCATTTGAGCTCAACATTTTGAAGAAATTGGCGTCAACCAAGCGGATGATGGAAAAATCATCGTATCACAATGCTTTACATACTTGCTTGACCTTTGGGGTCGGCATATCTAGACAGAACCCCTTCGGAGCCGATACACGCAAGGCATGCTTGTATACTTGCAACTCTACGCCATACCACGTTGTTGTTGACATGGCGACCTATACTTCACCACCCAGCGACGAGGATACTAGTCAATCCTACTACAGCCATCGACCGTAGTGCAAAGACCCTCTTCTCAGCTGCGATAGCCACTTGTACGAGCGGCGTGACATTACCAGTGCTATTCGCTGCTTGATTTGCCACCGAGCGGCGTGACATTACCAGTGCTATTCGCTGCTTGATTTGCCACCGATGTGGTCCCAAAGCCAGCCACAGTAGATTGTGTTGACACGCAGTCTGTCGTTACAAGTTGGACGAATGGGTCACTGTCGACTGGGGGCAGACTTAGGGTAGCTGTCTGCTGGCTAGTGTTGGCAAGCGCCGTGGTCGTACTGGATTGGAAGAGCGTTGCACCAGTGGTTGGTGTTGACAATGCAATAGTCATATTGCCTTCGTCGGTACTCATTGCCGTAGCTGAAGCAGCCGCGGCCAACGATGCCGGTAGAGTGAAACCTGCAATGCGGGCACATGTTGGCAGATCCTCATTCTGCATCATTGTTAGGATCTTGCCAAAGATGCTGGTTCATGGAACAGCCTCACCTCATCGCAGCAATATCCGGCCACGGGAGCACAATATGTACCGGCCTCGCAATAGCCCTTGTCTGGACAACACGACTAGGAGACAGTCAGAACGGCCAACAGATAGGCTCGTGGCGGGCTCAACTTACCTGGCCTGCGCCTGCATTGTAACAAAATGTGCTCTCAGGCCCGCCGCAGCTTTCGAATCTTTGTCCATATGTTTGGTTGCATGTCATCAGTTGCCGGCGAGGCAAAGATACCGCCGAAATGGGCGCGTAGCTTTCACTCTTGTTCACAGCAAGCACCGTCAGAGCAAAGGTCAACAAGAGGATGGCGGTGCAATGCATTGTAAGAATTTACTCGGGAGGGATGATTCTGAGAAGTTGAACACGTTCGATACGATGGGGTTCTTTTTTGGATTTGAAAGAGACAAGCGAGTTGATTTCAACGTCAAGAAAGATAGATAAAAGTGTTCGAATTAGACCGTGTCAAGACCATAGACTAGCGTATGTTTTGATGGTAATAGAGCTGCAAATCTTTATGTATAGGTGTCGTGTTTCGTGTATACAAGGTGTGAACTCCTTTCTCTTCTGGGAAATCTGGGGGTCTGATATACTACAGTCTTCAGATTAACAGCCCTCGCTAGTCGGCGACCTCATATCGAGATTCTCGTGAGCCAAAGGAATTCGAACCGACATAGTTGGATATTTCTCCTCAGCCCTGACGATCACGCTCCAGACGCGCTCGCAGAACGCGTGCTCGCTTTTCCTCTTGATTACTATGCATCTCTGACGAGCAATTATGTATCCCTCGCATGTTTCGAGGTGCCACCCATCAAGGGATCGGGTCTCTGTCTCCCTTGTATCGATCGTGGCGTTGGTGGGATCGATTATAGGGAGGACTACAGCCTCCCTTTCGAGGTCACATTTTCTGGAGCAGAGCAGGGCGGAAGTGGTAAACGAGAAACGGAAACGAGTCACTGGATATGAAAGGCTGAGCCCATGAATTTTCAATGGTCAGTACTTTAATCATACGTTCCGAAAGGGGGAAAAACACAATAGATGTCTTCCATGCAAACAAAATGCTTATTAGTCCAATGCAGCCAGCGAGTTATTGCAACGCCAATGCTATTTGCCAGTCATATCCCTGATCCATGCTTTCATTACCATCCCGTCCTTTCCGTGCGTGTCCGTCCTCCTTCATTAAGTCATAACTTTAGGCCCATTTCATTCCGTCTGGTTTCGGAATGGAGCCTTCTCATGCCCTATATCATAAATTCATACTGTGCCGGGAGTTGCAAAATCAACTCAATCTCATGACATAGCTTTCTGTTGTTCTGGTTGTCCTGTTTTCTCATCGGGTCGCTTCCCAGAAAAGTAAAAGGCCGGATTTTTGCTGCTGCGCTTGCACATGATCACTGTGCATGTTTCACAATCTCGTCATAAACGTCGTCTGGAAGGCGGTTGACAAGAGCAAGAGCAGTTTTCTTGATGTCTTCAGCCACCAGAGCCGGAAACGATCGCAGCAATTTGTTTGGGCTGGTGTCACAGTCAGTGTCTCCTCAAACAAGTTTCCTGGCAAGCGATACTTACTTTGACGAGTTGAGCAGATCATGGCGCATCATGACCAGCTGCGCAACAATGCACACAATGTTGAGGTGCGGCCCGTAAGCGAATAGAAAATCCCATAGTCGCAAGACCTCTGGTAAAGGCGGCGTACAAGCGCAAAGAGTCAAGACCGAAGGAAAAGCGTAAATCTTGGCGGATAGGCCCTTGTTGACCAAGTGTAAGTGAAGTCTCACGTCGACAATGGCGAGCACCTTGTCCACTAGTTCCAACCCGTGGTGAACGCCAGTCATGGCTCCCCGAATATAGCCCGGTACCTCCTTGGTCAACAGACGATAAAATGCACTGAAAGCTTCTACTTCGCTGCGAGCGGCATACAAGAATGGCGCCGCCAGCACGTTCATGCCCTGTACATATGTGCCTGACTCTACGGCATTCACCTCGGAGTCCCCTTCGGTTGTCAAAGTCAGAGCCCGAGCTCTATTCTTTGCAGCCGGAGAAGACGTCGCCGTATGAGACGTCGAAGGTCTTGATCCACTGCTATCTGTGCACGGCAGGGACTGTCGCCCACTGCGAGGACGTCTCACCTCTTTCACATCATGTAGTTTCCAGGCGACAGCATTAAGTAGGCGGATCAGACTTGCCTCACTCACACGGCGGCGGAATAGAGGATCTGTCGTCAGTGTCCGAAAGGTATCGTTTCGGATCTTTGCGTAGGCGGGCGAGGCGCCTCGGTGGACAAGGGCGAGATACATGTCGGTCTCGACAACGGGGGCGTTGAGGAAGATGAGCCAGACGTATATGCGAACCGACGACTGTAGCGGTCGTGTTAGCCGAGCTCAATATATGGGATTGAAAGTGGGTTTGCGCTCTCTCAACTCACCATGCCATCGTTGTCACTCTTAATGCCTTGATCCAACACTTTGAGTCTGGCGCTCTCCAGTGCGGAGGCAACGTCGCTATCGGGTGGACCGTCACGGAGAAGGCGCTCCAGCGACACAGCGTCGGCAGCAGCAGAGGTCTTACTCATTGCGAACCGCTGCCGGACGGCCATGGCGCCAGCATTGAGCAGGCTCGCCGGTGAGGTCAGATCGCTGTTGGAGCGATGCCTCCCGGGCGAGCGGTTGCTAACGACCCGCCTCGTAGGGCTGGCATCGCGGTTCTGTAGCTCTTTAAACCTCTGCAGGCTGATCAGACTCGCGGAGGACGTGCTGGAGGATAGGCTCGAGGACAATCGCGCAGCAGCACCTAAATTGTGCGCCGACTGAAGTTTCCGCAGTTGGCGATGAGTGCGTGGCGATGGCGGAGGGTGTAGTTCGGTTGCGAGACTCGGCGCAAAAGCCGGCGGGAGCGACTCTCTGGTCGGGCTCGACATCATGGGGCGCTTCGCAGGTTGGACATTCGATTATCGTGCAATTGAGCTCGGTACACCCGGCACAAGATCGACCAAAAAAGAGGATATCACAGCCCGGCGGAAGCGGTATGCTGCTTCCTTGATTTACTGATTGCCGCACGTTGGAGTGAATGCGTGTATAATTACGAGGTTGGTCATGACACGCCCGGGCCCCCAAAACTGTCAGTCATTTTTTCCCCAAACCGCGTCGCAGAGACGTTGGGGGCAAGTCCCCGCACTGCACGCAAGTTGCAAGTCGCACAGTAGTGAGGGGCGACGTGAAGAGAGAAAAAGGGAAACTACAATTATTACCGTACATGGTGATAGGCATAGGTATTTGGTAATATTCTATAATACCACATTCATGTTTCACAAAGATGGATAGATACGTAGTAGTAAGAACACAGTATTGAACTTGTTGAATTTCTGTTCCGAGCCCAGACTTTTAAGAAATATTCTTGACGTAAAGGCTACGCACATTGAGCCTAGACATGCAAATCACGACCCCTTTACCTAAACAGACTCCGCTGAGGAGTGCGACAATTATTTTCAAGGAAAGTTCGGATTTCCGATCAACACTTAATTCTTTTTTTACAGTCCACACTCCATATATCGGCAGTCAACGACGGCAGATTTTTCTTTACGCAATTGTAACTGTTGCTGGCGTTTGCAGGGTTCCCAGGTGCTGTAGTATTCACCTGCATATGCTCTGTTTTATTTTGACTCGAGTCTCAGTTGAGGAGGCTAGAAGTGTGCATATGGTGCTGTCTTGAACTTTGTACGCGCTCTTCGCGCGATTCATTAACTAAAGAGTATGCTGCTTATTGTGGAGAGAGAGGGAGAGAGGGAGATAGTAAGATTGGTGTACAGTCAGGGTAATAGTAGAAAAAGTCGAAGGCATCTGTAGAGAACGTTAGGTATCAAGTTGTTGGCCAAGCTTGACGATGCATGTAGAGGCGCACATTGAGGTCATGAGGCTCCACGGTCCGTCTAGTCGTCGGTATAGGCGGCAGATGCCAATTTCGAGCACAAGAGCCGAACCGTGTGATGGCCAATCAGCAAGAGCTTCTCAGTTGAGAATACCCCAACTCATCGGCTCTTCGCAACTGAAGTCTGACCAATGAGCAAGAGCTTCTCGAATCGAGATTCTTTTACTCTATTAGCTCGGAATGAGTGAAACGATATTATCGTCGCCCAATCAGCAAGAGCTTCTCACTTTTAGCGTTTGAGCTGTGCTCAGTTATTCATCATACATGAAATAGGAAAATCGGCACACACAGGCAAACCCGTCTATTCTTACGCCACATAATTCAGCTTGATCACTATTGCGAAATTTTTTCTTCTTCAGCCCTCAAAATCCTAACGCGTGATGACCTCAGTACTCGTGCCTACAGGGAATGGTCAAGATGGCCTCATCACGTAAGGAAGTGGTGGGATTGCATCTGACATGCCATTGGGCGAGCTATACCGAGCATGATCAAAATCATCATGGCTTGAATGTGTGAAATGGGTGATGTGTATAGATGCCCAATCTAAGAACTCCAGCTGGAAACATTAGTGAGGTAGCCAGAAGCAGGCGACCAAATAGCTTCGGCTGTGCTATATCAAAACAGTCTCGCCTGTATGTCGCCATCGCAAGCCAGTCCGTCTAGATCTTGTTTGCGAAACAATCGCGGCTGGAACGTGGGATGAGGCTTTCCAACTATAATTCTAGTCGCGGGAGAGCCGCGTACAGGCAATACGGCTCCAGATTGCTCTAGCAGGGGGCTAAGAAGCAAATCGTCGTGTCCCCCCCC